GGCGCAGGGCGACCACCGGCTGGGCCACCAGCTGGCCCAGCCCAAGGGAGGTAAGGCACCCGCCGGGCCCCACGCGCGCCAGCAACCCTCCCTGCGCCCGCCGGCCTCCTACCTCCCACCCCTGGCCCTCTTTTACTTACATTTTTAGTAGTTGCTCAGTAGGGAGGGATGGAAATTTCCAGACAGCTCGCCTTCGCTGCAGACAACTTGCAGCACCGTTTGAAGAATGGGACTTTTGGCGGGCTCAGCAGGGCAGAAACAGCCTGGACAATTCCTATTGGCTTTTGAAAGCCAATAGAATTAGACTCTATTCAAGAGAGTCTATTCTATTGGCTTTCAAAAGCCAATAGCACAGTGGTTCTCAACCTATGGGTCGCGACCCCATTTGGGGTCGATCGACCATTTTTCGGGGGTCGCCAAAGAAGGCGATCCGCCAGTTTCTCCCCTCAAGGGGCGTGCCGCGCATGCACGCCGCGCATGGGGGGCGCCGCGCATGCACACCGCGCATGGGGGCGCCGCGCATGCACACCGCGCATGGGGGCGCGCCCCCATGTGCGCCGCGCCGCACATGCACAGAACGTTTGTATGACGGGGGTCGCCATCACACAAACGTTGAGAACCGCTGCAATAGCATAAAAGGGAGTAGCACAGCTAAGGAAAAGGGGGGGAAAAATGGCAGACTGCGTTGTTTGGCGACCCCCGTGAAATGGTCGTTTGACCCCAAATGGGGTCGCGGCCTACAGGTTGAGAACCACTGCACTAGGTCCATGGTGGTGAAGCTATGGCACGTGTGCCACAGGCGGCATGCAGAGCTGTCTCTGTGGGAACATATGCCATCGCCCCAGAGGGATGGGGGGCCGGGCTGCTCCCCTCCCCCTCTCCACATGCGCCAGTGCTCTCATTCTCTTTCTCCACACTGGGAGTCAGGGAGCAGCTGCAAGAGCTGGGCGGGGAGAGGGGAGAAGCCAGAAGCGGGCAGAGAAAGAGGTGTTGAGACGAGCTCAAGGGCTGAGGAGGGAATGGAGAAAAATATCGCTCTTGCCACAATCTCCCTTCTGCTGGCCACTGGGAAGCCTGGCGGCATGGCTTGGTGTGGCTACACTGGGAAACTCCAGTGCCCTGGACTTGCAAGTGAGTTTTGGTGCTCCCCCAGTTTTAGTGCAGCAATGGGACGAAACTCAGCAAAGCGCTGAATTCTCTTCACGTGGGTTTGTGGTGCCTTCGCAAGAATGGCTGTTTCCCTCCGCCTTCCTGTCTCCCTTTAGCTAAGGGGCACTTTGGCATGGGCAGCTGGGAAAGGGGAGGCTCGGCTTCTCTCAGGGGGCCAAATTAAGCGCACATTAGAAGGGAAACCTCTGAGTCAGGGGCAGCTAAAGTTAGCCCTCCAGCTTCACAGAGGAGTTCCTTCCTTTCTGCACAGAGCGACTCCTGCCTCCCGCAGCAAAATTCTGCAGGGGCGAGAATCACAGAGTTTAAGCGGTGAATAAAACGTGCAAGATGATCAAAAGCCCTTCTTAAGATTTTAGGGGGGCGGTGGAAGGGGGGAAGGCGGCACGGAAAGTTTGGTGGACATTGCTAAGAAGTGAGCGAATGAGTTCAGTTCCAGAATCACATGGAAACATGCGCAATATCTGGAGTGTGGATTGGCAAAGGGCGGGCTATTCTTTTGTGAGTGGAGGTCCCTAAACTGGAGGCAAAGGCGGGGAGGAGGTTTAACCAATATAAAAGTGTCAAGCTCCGCGTGCTTGCCACTAACCGGGTGGGAGAGGCATGGGTGCATCCGGAGCAACAGCAGAGGCTGGCGGCGACAGCTGGAGGCAGCAGCATCGACAGCCCTCCCCCGTTCCTGCTTGTTGACAGGGGGAAGCGCAGTGATCGTCGAACTGGCTGGCTGGCGGTTGCGGACTTCTGGATTTTGCCGGCTCAGCTGTTCGGCGCTCCGCTAAACAGCTGTTCGATGCAGAGAAACAGCGGGGACTTTGAAATCAGCCCTCACTTGCTTTGCTGCCTTGCTGCCACAGACCAGAGCCACGACAATCTGAAGGCTGATGCCGTGGACCAGAGCCCAAGCCAGGCTGACCGCTGGGGGCAGGGGCTGGCCGCTATGAGCTGGGCAGTCATGATCATCATTCCGAATGCTGGTTAGGTGGGTGGGGGTGGGCCCGTGCGGGATCCGTCTATTTAGTGTGCTGGGAGGCAGTTGCTCCCAGCACTGACTTTGTTTGCAACCACTTTGAGCTCACACACCAGAGTGTACCTGAATAAACCTGGTTTCCTTTGATCCCAACATCCTGTTTTCTGTTGGGCTTAGGTCTGTGGTTGGGACCTCTGAAAAAAGGAACAATCTATATGTCGAGGAATTCAATTTTGGAAATGGTATTGAAATACACATCCTCGAATAGCAGAAAGCATTTCTGTCTCTTCCCCCCCCCCAAATTGGGATAAGAATACTTGATAAAAGCAAATTTTGGCGTTATTTTACTCCAGTGGCCAATCAGATTCGGAGGGAAACTAAAATTGGGCAAGAAACAAACAATAACTCTCCGTTGTGTGTATAGAAGGTGTAGTTTTGTATAAGGAAAAGAAAAATAAAATAAATAACACATGCTGGATAAACCAGTACTGTAAACTCCAACTGTACTTGCAGTGTGACAGCTGTTAAATCAGTGGTGCCACATTTCAAAGTTACAGTTAAAGTACTCCTATTGCAGCTGCTTTCTTGCAGGTATGTGGAATGGCGTGGGACCCACAGGTTTTGCAAAGTGAAGAGAGGAAGTTGGTTACAGCTTATTAGGAAAGATAAAATAGATAACCAAAACTGCTTTACTGACCATTCTTCATCCAGATTTTATATCAGTTGCATCTGCTAATACAGGTGTTCTGGGACACTTTTCTGTTTTAACTTTTTTTCCTTGTCGCTTTTGGGAGTTTTCATCCTGCTTTCATGAGAGGGCAGCATTTGGGAGGGGTGTAGCTGCCCCCTCCCCCCCTACGTCATCAGTTGAGCAAGACGCCCGCCTGCCCGTGCTCTTCCCCCTGCCAAAGGCTTTCGTTATCATGAGCATTTCTGTTGAGGATTGGTGGGGGGGGGAGCTGTTTGGTTTTATTCCATTCCCATCTGCTGGGTGGTTGCAGCAGGTTTTGGTCTCTTCTGTCGTGCTTTGAGATTACCCACGAAGCACATTTGTTTTTTGGGGGGATCCCCCTTCCGGTTGCTAAACTTCCTCCTCCTCCTCATCAGACTCCCCCTTTGTCTGCAACCAGCCCCTGCCTCGCATTGCCTTGCCCCGCAACAATGGCACCCCCACCCTGCCCCCTCCCTTGCCTCGCCTCACCCTGCTGGATGAGTGTCCTACCCACCACCCCACCTGCCAGAGACCCCCTGGATCTCCCCCAACCTTGCCCGGCCCCCATAGGCATCCCTTCCCAGGAGCAACATCAAGGTGGCCACACCCACCCTGGCCACACCCACCCAGTCAGCCGTGACCACCATAGTCATGCCCACCCAGTGGCCATGCCCACCCCATGGGCCATGCCCACCCGGCACCCAGTGATACATAAGTGGGTTTGGGGTTGCAGTTTGGGCACTCGGTCTCTAAAAGGTTCGCCATCACTGCACTAGGTTAAGGAAATCTAAAGTAGTGGTTTTGCTTTGCCATAGAGTAGAAAAGAGAAGTATAGTGAAGGGGAAGAGAGGCCTTCTGGAATGCAACTTAATAAATTTGGCCCATCAGGCAAAAACAATCAAGAATGGACCGTGTGGGTGACCAAAGAAAGCATACAAGTGAAAAGGGCAACTGGGTCAGGGTGAAGCCATGCTCTACCATTCTGAGCTACTCCAAGACTCTACTCTGCCTTCATTTGGAAGCTTGTGGAAAAAGTTTATTAGGAGGAGAAAGAAGGGAGCCTAAGCAATCTCTCAACTGCCAGCTACCCATCTGAAACAATGCCAGGGAAAAGATATAATAGGACTTTTATAGATTAAATCCCTGCTGAATATTTTAGGTCAGGGCTTTTCAACCAGTGGTACAGGTACCACCTGTGGTACATTGGCACCTGGCAGGTGATACGTGACCATCCTAGAAAAGTGGTAGCAGGGGAGGAGAATGAGCTGAACCGGTGGCAGCACTGCATAAGCCTGGCTGGAGCTGCAGGGCTGTCAGGGCTCAGCGGAAGCGCCAGGATCAGTGCTGCTTTCCAGTTGATCGGCGCTTCTTCGGGGCTGTCAGGGCTTAGTGGAAGTGCCAGGATCAGCGCCAGGCTCCAGCTGGAACTCGGCGCTGATCCTGGTGCTTCTGCTGAGCCCTGAACAAGCACCAATCAGCTGGAAAGCAACACTTATCCTGGTGCTTCTGCTGAGCCCAGAAGAAGCGCCAATCAGCTGGAATGTTGCAGCATCTCCAGGGTCTTGTGGTTTACATTCAGATGTTTGGCAACTGATTCATATTTATGACGGTCACAGTGTCCCAGGGTCATGTGAAGTGACCAAAACCTGCTGCAACCACCCAGCAGACAGGGGGAATAAAACAAACACCCACCCCACCCCACCCCCACTGCCAATCCTCAACAGAAATGCTCACAACAATAAAAACCTCAGACAGGAGGAAGAGCGCAGCCGGGCAGGCAGGCCGGTGTCTTGCTCGGCTGTGGCTTGGGGGGCACTTTTTGCAGTGCCATTGTAACTTCGAACAGTCACTAAACCAATTGTTGTAAGTCGAGGACTACCTGTACTTTATCACTTTTTTCCTTTTTTTTTGTCATCAAGTTTTTTACATTTTGCTAGGGGACTGGTGGTACTCGGATATTGCCATATCTTAAAAGTGGTACAATGGGTGAAAAGTTGAAAAGCCCTGTTTTAGGTAGACCAGGAACCTAGAAAAAGGAAGGATCACATATAGCACCATCACAATACACACTATAAACCAAACAGTGGTTCATACACTTAAATTATTTTTAAACGACATGCACTGATCAATGCAAATAATAAAAAAAAGAATTACCTTTTAATTGGTGTCTTAAGGTTTGGAAGACATCTGATTTGGTTGCATCTGTTGTAGTTACAGTTTCAGAAAACAATCTAGACCTGATGATCACTGTTGGATCTACATTTTCCACTGGGCTTTCAGACTGAGCTCCAACCTTCTCAGATGGATCAATGGTATAACCAAGATTCAAGCTTGTATTAGTTGACTCTTCCACCTGCACGGGTATCTGGCCTGACCCATTCTGATTATCTTTGCTTCCTTTTGCCGTGGTTTCCAATAATCTTGGTGACAGGTCCTTTTTCACGTCATCGTCCTCCTGTCCTGTTGGTTGCACTATTTGAGGTTGATTTATCTTCAGAAGATGCATAGCTTTCGCCTGGCTGGAAGGCTCTAATTTGGTATCATCCCACTCATCACTTAGCAGCAAGCCTGCAGGGGCCATCATGGTAGTGCTTAAGATGCCTTTGAAGTGCCCCTGGTTCTCTGAGTGTTCCCCTTCCAAATTTAAGGAGGCATCTGCTGGCAACAACCTGGATTCCGGAATAGCATCTGTGCCCATCCAGATTGTTGGGAAGCTACTTCCATCAGATCCTTTTGTCAAATCAACTGGTGGGCTCGTTGGAAGAAATGGATTTTTGAGGAGGTTGCTTGATGATGTAGCAGGAAAACTATTTATTACTTTGGGGATAGTTACCTGGGGATTGTCTGAAGGGTCAACACGGGTGCCTGGTGCAAACAAATCCCCATCCAAATTTCCTTCTCCCCCACCTCCATCCACTGTTTCTTTTGCAGAGCTACTAAGTGTATCATCTTCAACAAGAAGGTCTGGAATTGTCACAACAGTGGCAATCAAAGCTTCCTGTGTCCCATATTTATCCCGTTTTTCATCGGGCCCTTTGAGACTGATTTGCCTTTTGCTTTCTGCAACAATCTCCAGACTTGTGCTGGCAAAAGCATCAATATTGGAGTGCTCCAAGGGATTGTGAACATGCAGAATGGTTGGCAAGGTTGTTTTTACAGTTGTGGTTCTGTTTAATGACCTCCCGGATGGCTCTGCTGAGGCTCCATAAAGGCTTTCAGATGCAGGAGTACTGGCTATATTCATGGATGAGCTTAAGTTACCCTCTGGATTTGATGCATTTGTGTTTGCTAAGCTGTTCCCTGCTGGTGATGCCAGATGCAGTTGTCTTACATGCCTTTCATCCACTTGTCTTAAAACAAGGCATTGCAGGCTGCCAAAGTTGAGCAGAATAAGGCAGAAGGCAAGGAACATGTGATACCCCCTCATGCTGCTCATGTTGAAGGAAAAGTTTGCATGGAAGTGAGCAGAACAAATTATTTCAGCCATCAGGTCCTGGAGAATGAAGCAAAATAGAGCAAAACAGATTTCCATTCCTTTCAAATTAGTATTTTTAAATTAAATTGAAATATCATATAAAGCTCTAGTTAGTATTTATAGCTACTTTGCTATTATATAGGCACATTATTGTATGTATGTGTGCAATTTGTAAAGAAATTACTTTTTTGTTTTTTTAGTTCCATTCAAAACATTTCCTCACTGGATTAACAAGATGCATTTTGCAGAAGCTGGGCCTCAAAACTTCTGAACCAAGCTAATTGTGGCTTATTCAATAAACCCTGGCTAAAGAAACTATTGCTTGGTGTAATGAATGAACCCAATTACAATTGTCCTAATCCTAAACATCTTAATACCAGAGTATTTGATGTTTGCCTCCTTATACGATCCTCTCCAAAGTGTAAGCCAGGCATTAGAAAAAAATTCTGATTGTCAGTAAATAAAGTAAATAAATATGTTTTCTTGTGATAGAACCAAACTTATCTTTGACTAATAGCAAAGAAAGCTCCTGATCAAAGCAGCTGTGCATCAACTAGAAAGTGCATGCTTTAGATGCAAAAGATCCTAAATTCTATCTGCAGCACCTCCAAGTAGATTTAGAAAAACTCCAAGCTGAAATAAGTGAGGGGAATGGACTATGATCTGAACATGGAAGAAGAAAGCTTCTGGTGCTTCTTATTTCTTGGGAGACAAGTTGAAATCTGCTGGCTGAAAACTTTTAGTGCTTGCTAAAATTTATCGTTCTCATGATAGGATTCCAACTTCTTGTGCTTTTATGTTTGTACAAAATGTACAAAACATTATTTTGCACATACTGCTTTTGAATTTATTCATTTCTCAGTTTATTCTATTAATAAGGCCACCCAGTTTATAACATAGTGTAAAACGCAACAGCACACAAAACAGCTGAGAAGCCAAACCAATCCCCAAAACAGCACATCAAACTCTCACCTGGCACTCTGACCCCCCTGCCTGGTACACAGCCATGCCTTAAGGGCCTTCCAAGGGCCAATCTAGTCTCAGAGGGAACTCTATTCCATAAGGCAGTGGCAGCAACCAAAAAAGCTGCTTCTTGATGACATTCTTTGACTGATGGGACCCACAGAATGCCTCTTCTGCCAAATCTAATAGGATGGGTAGAAACAACTTGGAACAAGAGGTCTGCAAAATAGCTTGGCCCGATGCCATGAACAGCTTTCTAGTTGGCAACCAACATCTTGAATTGCACCTGGAAGCACATTTCCAACCAAGGCAGCTCATTGACAGAAGTGTAATATGTGCACATTAAAATGCATTCATAATGGCCTGAATCACTGCATTCGGCAGCAGCTGTAACTTCCAGATGCTTTTCAAATGGAGTGCATTGCAGTAATCCACCCAGCAGGTGACTAAGGTGTGAGTCACTGTAAGCAGAGCTTCCTGATCCAGAAAAGGGAACAGCCGATGTATAAGATGAAGTTTGTACAAAAACCCACCTGGCCTTGTCTGTTATCTGATCACTGAACGGGAGCTGCAAGTCCAGAAGGATCCTCAGATTGCACATCAGTTCTGCTTAGGGCAGTGCAGCCCTGACCCAAAGCCACTTAAGTCTTGCTAGGGTTGAGCTGAAGCCTGTTTTTCCCCTTCCAAACTCCTACAACCTCTAGACACTGAGATAAAACCTTCATGGACAGCAGCTTCATGTAGATGTTAAATGGGACTGGGGAAAGCACCAAGTCCTGAGGGACCCTGCAAAGCAGGGGCTAAGAACCAGAACCCTGCCCTATCAATACTAACTAGAACTGACTCTGGAGGAAGGAGGAGACCCAGCATAAGGCTGTTCACTCTCAACCCCCAAAGCTAGTACAGAAGGTTACCATAGTTGATGGTATCAAAGGATGCTGAGAGTCATGAAGTCCAAGGATGAATATGCTACACCCAGTCATTTGGTCCTCTACCCAGGTGTGAAACAGTATTGAATGGAGGCTAAATAATCCACTTTCTCCCAAGTTCTCTAAAGCTGCAGAATGTAATTGGTTTACAAGTATATGAAATCAATAAATAAACAATTTCAAGAAGGCAGGTTGCAGCATTTCAAAAATGCTTTTTGGAGCTACGTATTTTGCCTTGTCGGAAATCTTTCTCTGTTCTGACCGTAGCTCCTATCTTCTATACCAGTGGTTCTCAATCTTTTTATACCGGCGACCCCGGTCATAAGGAGGCGGCACGCATGCACGGCACCGCCCCCTGCGCGGCACACATGCACGGCGCCGCCCCCTGCGCCGGCTGAGGGAAAAAAATGGCAGATCGCGTTGTTTGGCGACCCCCGTGAAATGGTCGTTCAACCCCAAATGGGGTCGCGACCCACAGGTTGAGAACTGCTGTTCTATACACTTCCAATTCCCATAAATTTTTCATTCCTATACAATAAACAATTGAAATTGAACCCTGAAATATGCATATATTCTAGCACAGGCAAAAATTTAAAATATTTCTATTAAGATATTTTGCCAGGCACAATATTCCATTTCTGGAAGTTCCTGTACAAGCAGGAAGATGTTGAACTTTCACTGATATTTAATACCCAAGAATGGGTAATGAATAATCCAAGATATCTCTAGATATGGAACCTTCATTTAACTACCATGATAGAAACTTTAATCCTTCTCTTCCGTACATCAAAGAAAAATCAAATATAGCAAGCCCATCCTTAAAGGACAGAAATCTTCTTCTAGAAATCCCAAATACCAAAGAATTATTGAGCTACAGAACCTAGTCATAGAAAGAAAGAAAGAAAGAAAGAAAGAAAGAAAGAAAGAAAGAAAGAAAGAAAGAAAGAAAGAAAGAAAGAAAGAAAGGCTTTTCAGCATCATGAAAGGTCCCAGTGTGGATGGACCAGGATGAAATGGATCAGCACATGGAGCTAAATACAGGTCAGTGATGGAACTGAAGGTAAAAGTTTGGATAAGGCTCCAATCATTTAGAAAGGACAACTGTAAGTCGCACCCAAATTGTTCCAAAACAACAAAAGCACTGGATAATTAGTGCAGAAAAGTTCCATCCTAACAGCTTGAGAGAGATGACATCCTGTTGGCTTCATTTAATACAGAGAACTGCTTGAGGCTGCCAGCTGCCATTTTTCAATATGCTACTGCTTGCAGCTAGGTTTAGTCAGAAAGCTCCAATCAATGCAGGTAATTAAATATATCCAATACAGTTGTATTAAGAGAGTACTTTCAATGTTAATGGAGGAGGAGTTAACCTAAGGAAAGTGGATAATAGGGAATCATTAAAAAATGAACTTTGAATGAGCTTAGAGGAGCCATCTCTTTAAAAAGGAGATAAAGCAAGCAAGGGCATTTGAAAGAGAAGAGTATACCAAGAAATAGGTAGCCAGCATAATCATTTTTCCTTTCTGGTGGAAGCTTTCAATCTCTTGCATTCTGAATTAGCAGAGAGTGAAGAGAGCTGTACTACATGACTCTAATAGGAGAAAATTAATTAGCAAAAGTCAAACCTTTGAGTTGAGTTCATTTCCTGGGATTTTTATATGGATGTATCCATGGCAACAGTATATAACTGATTTGTAACATACTCTTTCACACATATATGTGTGTGTTTATTTCCCAATATACCATAATGTCTGATTTTCAGTGGCGGTTTCACTTCCAAACACTAAGCAGTAGATCAAACTCTGGTTTCTGCAATAAACTAAGACCAAGTGTGTATCTTCTGAGACACTAGCTAAATTGTTGCACAGAGATCCCTATCTATTTTAACTGCTCAGGCAATGGATCAGGATTGCAACATTGTCTGTTAGTTCAGAAGATCTGAAGCAGGGGTAGGCAACCTTGGCTCTTTTATGACTCGTGGAGTTCAACTCTCAGAATTCCTGAGCCAGCTGTGCCTACCCCTGATATGAAGGAAGTGAAAAGTAAATTTGGTTAACAGAAGGAAGATGCAGAGTTCATATGAAGCTCCAGGGAAGGTGGTATATTGCAAAGATGTAGTAAAGATCACATACATGAGAAATGAGAGAAGACACCAGATAACATGATCATCCTTAAGCAAGGACTGTAAATGGGACCAACTTTCTCTTTTTGGGGAAAATGTAGAAAAATTAAAAGAGGTTGGATTCCCCACATGATTTTTTAAAAAAATGCAGGTCGACAATGTTTTTCAGAAGTGATTTGCAACTGCATCCTTCTTAGAGATGAGAGAAGGTCACTGGCCCAGGTCACTCAGCTGGATTTGTGTTGAAGGTGGTACTAAAATTCATGGTCTCCTGGTTTCTAGCCTGGTACCTTAACCACTATACCAAATTGGCTCTCAGTTTGTTCCTTAGGTATTTCTAATTTGACAAAGATAAATGTGCAGCTGCAACTATTATATGAACTAGACCAATAGTATTCAATGTTGCATATTATTATATGAACTAGGCCAATAAAATTCAATGTTGCATATCTATCTTTCCTCACAGAAAACAATATTTTCATGCTTACTTGCTGTATTTAACGTTTTAATGACATTTAGAGCAGGACTGCAATGAGGTGGTAGAAAAGGCAATACTTATTAATTAATAAGTGAATCACTAGACTCAATTCAGCTCCAGACACACTGTTTATTCTATAATGTCAGATTCTAGAGAAGCACATATGAGTTATCTGTTAAATTTCTTCTGAACAGTTGAATGAGGGAATCACTAGCAGAGCATTGAATAAAAGATACCATCAGCGAATAAGCCAACAACACTGGGCTATAATGGAGATGAGGAGAATCATGCTAAATTATTTTATGCTACTTTTTCTTGATAAAAAATACCAAAATAATTAGCTGCCTTATTGGATCACTGGTCCAATCAGTATTAGGTATTGTGCCTTCTCCAACTTTGTTTTCCACATGTGTTGCACTAAAACTCCTATCAGCCTTAGACAGCATTAGTTGTAGACCAGCACATGTGGAGAGAGCTTCAGGCAGTGTTTCTCAACCTTGGCAACTTTACGATGTGTGGACTTCAACTCTCAGAATTCTCCAACTAGCATTGCTAGCTGGAGAATTTTGGGAGTTGAAGTCCACACATCGTAAAGTTGCCAAGGTTGAGAAACACTGAAATTCAGCCTAAACCACATTTAGTCCTACCTGAACATGCCAGGGGGAATTAGCATGAAGAATCTTACATTAATTTAAAGTTTATCCTTTAAGAAGCAGCTTTTCTTTCAAAAGAAAAAGAGAGTGAATTCACTCTCATTTTAAGTCATGATTTGCCTAATCATGGTTTGCTGAATAAGACAAAAGGCAGGAGGATCCCAATGAGATCAATAAATATACAGATATGAATGATAGCACACCGTTTAGAGAGGAGGGTAGAAAGAGCAAAAACTATACAGCGGTTATGTTTTCCCATTTTCTTTTCTGAAATCTGGCAACACATTTTCCTAGGTAAAGGACAGTCAAATGCCCATTTAATCTCTGATATACTGATTAAAAACAAAACAAAGAGTAACTTTTTGTTCCAAGGCATTGCATCTCCAGAGAATACACGTGTGTCTCCCGGCACAAATCACTGTGCAGAGTGCCATCTTATGTTGCATTTCATTGGGGGGGGGGTAGCAACCCAAGCAAGCTCTGCACAACAAATGGCATGGAATTGGCTCTCCTCCCCGCCTCCTCCAGATCTCTGATTCAATCATTCCCATGACATTGATAAACAAGAAAAAGAATAGTTCTTTTCATTCTCCTACCTAACAAGAGCAGCAGTTCTATTTTGACTTTTGCATCATACAAAAAGTTGTGTTTTTTTTTTAAAGATTCAACCATCAGTTTTAATTTGTATACTGGTATTATAAAGCCATGCAACCCTGTTTGGCCTCCAAATTCCACAAGGCTGTTGACCCAGAGCCAAGAGGAGAGAGAAATGAATGAAATCAGCCATGAATTGAGGGAAATTTGATCTTTGCACAAGGTGGGGGGAGGAGGTTGCTGTGGAGGGAGAAAAGAGACACAAATCCTCAAACAAAAGGCAGACCAAAGCAGTAGCCGCTAGCTAGCAGCAACATCCATTTCCTCCAGTAAAACAAAGAACAAGGCTGGGCTACAGCTGACCTTTTTTCCCATTCTTGGGGAATCGAGTCTGTATGACATGGGATGTGGAAAGGTAGAGAGAGAAAAAATCCTGCATCCCCCAGCAAGGCCCATTTGCTTCACTAATCCTGTCTCCTCCAGATAAGTGAAGCATAGCATAAATCCATTGTCTAGAAATTGAAACTGAGCCTGGGGCGAAGCAATCTCTGACCAGTCCCTCCAAAAGCAGGTTCTCCCAGGCTCCTCTTCCCTGTGAGCCACAAATACCCAGGTTATCTCAAATTCTGTCTTACCTGAATGCCTGCTCTCTCTTTAGCTGGGTAGCATCTTTAAGGTCCCCGGGAAGAACTTCCTGTGGGTTTTCAGCATCCTGGGCTCAGCTGCTCTGCTGCTGCCTTCATGGCCAGGAGACTAGGAGGAGGAGAGAAGAAAGGGAGGAGGGAGAGAGAAAGAGCACCGATGCTTTTCATATTCATGAGACTCTCCTTCCCCGGCTCAGGGATTGGGCAGAGGCCATAGCCAGATACACCCTGCCTCCCAGAAGCCCTCTTTACAGCTACCCATCCCTAGCTCTACTTAGTGTCCACTGGAGCAAGTAGAAAGAAAACAATAGGAGAGAATAGTAGGAGTAATAAGTGGTACATATAGCATATCAGAGATAGAAAGCACTTGACTTGCAATATGTAGAGCCCAAATCTTTGAGCAAAGCATATGCTTGTCAAGCAAGTTGGACAGGGTCTGAACACAGATGGTACAGCTATTTTGTAGGCTGTGAACAACTGGACTAGAGAACCTTGGAGATTCCAAATATGCTGTCTGGTTTCCATGGGGGTGAAGAATGGAAAAACAAAATCTAAATGAAATAACTTAATAAACTAGGTCCAGGTTTCATTCCCAGCATCTCCGGGAAGATATCTGTGCTACAGGCTGTGAATTGCTGCTGGCAGGCATCTCTAAACTAATATCCTTCTAGAAGGGCAAGACCAAATCAAAACTATGGTTCCCTAACCCATATCAGGAATTACTGAATTAGCAAAGTTTAGAAGGCAGTATCAATGTAAATTGCAAGTAGTAATAATGATAAATTGACCTGCTTTTCAGATCACATTTTAGCCATGATTTCATAGTCCCACTTTTTCACAATGCTCTCTGTCTTTCATTACAGTACTAGAATTCACAGATCATTTGCACTTTCAGCTAACCAGGGTAATGCAAGTTATTGTGCAAATTATTTATATTTAATTTTTTAAACACACTCATCTTCCTTCCACCCTGCTTTCCTCATTATGTATTCCACATATTTCTATAGGTGATCCATCAATTTCTGTAGTCTTCTAACTTGGTAATGACCAGAGTGATGATCTAACTTCATTACCCAGTAAAAGGTTTTTGTAAACAGAGAACAACTAGAAGACTTTTCTTATTTTAAAGGTCTCTTTCCCCCTGTGTCTTTACAAATGTTATTATACTGCTTCTTGTTTCTTCTAATAGCTCTCTAAAATCCTTTGTTAGATTCTTCCCTGAGATCTTTGTCTTTCTTGCCTTTTTTTCCTCAGCAATCAACACACAACATGCCTTCAGAGACAAGGACAGCCATCAACTTCTAGTATCTTTCTATATTGCTGTAATTCAATATCAATGCTGCTTGCTTTAGCTGGGCAGCTGGGCTGACCATGAAGGTTGGGATGACAGGCATATACTCTTGAATAGGGGTCCCCAATCTATGGTCCACGGCCCGGTACCAGGCCGTGGCCTCTTGGCCACTGGGCCATCAGAATAGCTGGCAAGCCCCCCCCCCCTCACTTTATTAACATCGCACGGGCGCTAGCAGCCCTGTTTGCACGTGCTTGGATGACCTAGCACCGCCACCAGCATCACAAGGGCTCTAGTGGCCTGTTCACACACATGTGCGGGCATCAGCGTGCCACTGCAGGTGTGCACAGCCCATTTGTGCATGCACGCACACTAATGGCACCACTGTGTGCGTGCCCGTGTGTGTGTATATGCTAGTGGCGCCACCATACAAATGCCTGCTTGTGGATGTGCGCACACGGGCCATGCACCCGCACATTTCCCTGCTCCTGCCTTTTCTTCCGGGCCATCAAGCTGCAAAGGTTGGGGAGCTCTGCTCTTGAATACACTCCTGACATTCTTCATTCATCCCCCCCCCACCAGGAACACAAAGACAGGAGGGCTTGGGAAGGATTCAGAGAGATTATATATAAAAACAATATATCTGTATTTTAACAGTTAGATAAACCGTTTTCTATATAATAAGCTTTATTTAAAAAAATTCTCCCTTTGATTTTCAAATGTGAGTTTCTCAAGAACGTACCAAAATAAAAATGGGACAATTTACTGCGTTGGCAGGAGAGTTTACTATGACCATTAGGCCAGCCTGCTATAAATTTATTAACTTGAATTAACAGGTTATAAATTCAAAAATGCTCAAGGTTTTCATTTCCTTCTATCCTTTATTTTGTCCAGGACTACTAATATCAATCAATCAGAATACAGCTGAAAGGGAGCTTAGAGGTCCTCTAGTCCAACCCCCTGCTCAAGCAGGAGACCCTATACCAAATCTGGGAATTGTACTTGAGATGCTCCAACCTACATCAGAGCCAGCTTCAGATAAAACTGTCACCTCTTGTATTTTCAAAGGGAAAGTAGGCATTGCTTCTTTGTCCTAGCAGGCCTTTCATGCAGCCTCAGATCTTTTGCTGTAGGCTGAATTAAACTTAATTAGTCTAACTAGAAAAGCAGGAGGTCTGCAGGCTGAGTCAGTGTTCTACTACTATTCTTTATTTACCCCAGCTTTTATTCATAAAGATCTGAAGATTTTAAGAATGCAGTTGGGAATTAAATATGATGCTGAAAGAGAACTTATAAACTCCCTGTACTGATATAATCCACAAGTTTGCTACAAGTGTGGTTTTCAAAGGATTATGATTAAGCAAATTGAAAAGTCAATTAAACAGTTCTGCATGACAGAGAGAGTAGAATATGATGCATATAAAACTAGTGTTACAATTAGCCCATAATGCAAAAATCAGACATTGGCTGGTTCATACATTGCTATAAACAGTAAAGCAGGAATGGTTTGTTGTGGCATAACACACTGATTTTATAGCTCAGTAGTGGCAAACCTATGGCACGGGTGCCAGAGGCGGAGCCCTCTCTGTGGGCACATGTGCCGTTGCCCTAGCCTCGCTTCCCCCCGTGACCCCATCCTCTCCAGCAGCCCCCCTGAAGGAGAGGTGCCCCCGAGCATGGCCCACACAGAGCAGCGCAGCCAAGGACATGGCAGCCAGGCAGCGTAGACAAGACTCTGCCCTCACACCCCATCGTGCACAGTTGATGCTGCAGGGTGCAGGCAGAGGGCATGACCGCCATAGCGCTGCTGGGCTGCCTGGGCGATCTGCGGCGGGCCCTGGAGGCGGTGAGTGGTCCTGCAGGCAGGCGGGGTGGGGATGGGGGGTGGGGCAGGGGGTGGAATGGGGGCGGGGCCAGGTTTGGGGCACTCGGTCTCTAAAAGTTTTGCCATCACTGTTATAGCGGATGTGGGATATGAATTACAGATTGGCCTACAGCTCACATGCCATAGTTATTAATTTATTAGTTATATTCCACTTTTGTTCAATATAGAATAGTTCGTTGCCTATCCACTTTGTTGCTTGTTCAATATAGAATGCTTTGTTGCTGAATTCTCATCGAAGCTTTGCTGGCTGGGGTATTCTGGGAGTTGAAGTCCACATGTCTTAAAGTTGTCAAGGTTGAGAAACAATGGTCTATGTTGTTATTTGTGAAGTAGATTAGGCTAAGAGATACTGACAAATTCACTCTGTGAGCTTTATGAATTTGCATGGACTTGAACCTGGACCATCCCAGTTTTATTTCATCTCTAACCACTATATACTATAGTATTGTGGAATTCTACAGTCTTGCTTCTTCCCTTGACTTTCAGGTTATAAAAACTACTATAAAAATATTTTTTCTTTGTTCCCTGGATTTATTTCCACAGGGTCATCCTGATAGGCAAAACATAACCTGCAAGACACAATTATTTTATTTATTTATTAAATTTATATTATCCCTATCTCATTCTGAAAAGCAACTCCGGGCAGCACATAACTTAGTTCTACCTCTGTTAACTATTTGTGACACAACTGATGATCTTAACATTTCCTTTTTTGTTGTCTGTGATTGCACACAAGAGAACTAACTTTCAGTTTGATTCTTTGCTTACAATGGACCTAAACTGCTGACAATGGGAGAAGAAAATATTTTCTAAAACAAGTCAGCAATTATAATTTAGGAAGCAGAGTTGCTGAATAGAAATACATAGACATTTCTCTTCACTGCCCAAGGTCACCCAAATCAGCTGAAATCCTAGGAGGGGGAAACCTAAAGTAGAGATCTGGTTTCCAGGGCCAAGTAGCATTTCTTTTAAAAGATTTATAAGTCAATGGAATAAATAAATGATTTGATAAAAAGAACAGTTCCAGAAATAAACTAAGGAAACTAGAGATAAAATGAATATCTTTTTTTTAGAACAGAAAAGAATAACAGAGTTGGAAGAACCTTGGAGGTGTTCTAGTCCAGTGATGGCAAACCTTTTAGAGACCGAGTGCCCCAAACTGGCCCCATCCCCACTCTACCCCCTGCCCCACCCCGCTCCACCCCCTGCCCCGCCCCCACTCTACCCCCATCTCCTGCCCTGCCTGCCCGCAGGGCCACTCACCGCCTCCAGGGCCCGCCGCAGATCGCCAGGCAGCCCAGCAGCGCTATGGTGGTCACACTCTCTGCCCGCACCCTGCAGCATCAACTGTGCATGATGGGGTGTGAGGGCAGAGTCTTGTCTACTCTGCCTGGCTGCCATATCCTTGGCTGCGCTGCTCCGGGTGGGCCATGCTCAGGAGTGACTCTCCTTCAGGGGGGCTGCTGGAGGGGGGAGGCGAGGCTGGGGCAACGGCACATGTGCCCACAGAGAGGGCTCCGAGTGCCGCCTCTGGCACCCGTGCCATAAGTTCGCCACCACTGTTCTAGTCTAATCCCCTGGTCAAGCAGGAACCCTATACAATTTCAGATAAATGGCTGTCCAGTCTCTTCTTAGATTAAGGTTGTCAGTTCCAGTAATATTTAGTTTTTTCCTCCGTCTTAAATATTGGACTGCAGAATTAGATTAACGCAGTATTTGCATGTTAGTGTATTAGCTTTTATATTCTTCTTGATCTAAAAAAACAAGACTTCACCAATGCATCCTTCCTTACCCTTACTATAAAATTTATATCCAGCACCAGCAGCATTCCATTGATTCTCTCCATTCTATCAGGTTTCTATTATATCATTTATTCCATGTATTTATCAATTCCATTTATTAATTGTAATTCTAAGTTTACACACTTGACAAGTGACTCTGGGCAACTTAAACATTAACACACACAACATTCTAGCACGTTCGTGTATCTTCCTGACTCAGTACCTGCAGAAAGAGTCAGGTTTTTAAGTCTGCCTAAAAGCCAATATTGCTGGGGCTGTGTGTATTAATGTATTTGTCTGCAACTAAATACACTAATTCTTCCAATTGCTAGTATTATTCAAGAAACTACTATACCCTACATTATTTTCTAAATGTTGCTGGCATGAGATTGTTTCCTGACCATCTTGTCCAGTAAGTGATCCACTTCAAAAAAACACAGTATACTTTCTCACAGACAATTCAAAAATACAGAACATAACACCAAGGAGAACTATGTTTATTGCAATGATCATCGAGTGCCTGGTTTATAAGAAACAATGAACAAGGGAAAGCAAAGACTTTTTAAAGAAGTTGGGGATTACAAGATTACAAGATAGGAAATTCTAGGCATCTTTGGGGAAAGCTAGGCAGATCCTTGTTAGTGTACCTTGAGTATTTCAATTGTTGGTAGCCATTACAGGAAGGGAGCAGTGCTGGGGAAGCCCCTTGTTAAAGGAGATGGAATGTTGAGGGTCTCAGCTGATGAAAGACAGAACTTTGGGGCTTCTCTAGATTGCAATTCCTTTGTAAGAGCTGCCCTTGGGCTGTACCCTAATAAATTTCTTTTAAATGATCTTCTGACTCAGTTGCTTATTGGGAAGGTAAACCAAGGCAGAATCTAGAGCCAGATTTGGCTATCAGATGGCACGGGGACTTAATCTGGGGCAGGCTGTGCCAGTTTTGGGTGGGATTAGGTGAAGAGAGGAACTGAAATTAACCCTGGTCACATCTAAAAGACAGGCAGGAAAAGGGTTCATCCTCTATTTTATTTGCTACATGCATTTTCTCCACCACATATCTTACACTATTCTCTGAAATATTTGCACCCTTCTGAATTGCATGTAGTCCAGCAAAGACACTCTGCCATTTATAAAGCCTAATTTGATTTTAGTTAAAATGAAAACCCTCTTTCAGGTTGCTGCAAAACATTTTTCAAAGTGTAATAAATCTAAACTCTTCCACCAATTCCCTAATGCCTCTCTAACTGACCTAGATTTGGAAAAGGAATACAGTAGCTAGTTCTATATTGGCATTCTGTGCAATAAATAGGAAAACACCATCTTCTCTGTTGGCTTTCTTAATTAGTTTTTTCTTTTTCTTTTTTGCTTTAAGAACTGGTTGACCTTCTATGTAATGCTTCTATAGAGTTTGATGTCCTGATTCACAGTTGCGAAACATACCTTGACACTTTAGTCTTTTCTGAGCAGGAAGTTAGTAGCAGTCAGAAGTCTCTCCTGATCCTCACTGTAGTCAGGGGTTCCAGATTACTTCTCTTTTCAAAGGATGTTGGCTAGGATCAAGCTGTTGACTAAGAAATGCTACACTATCCACAGCTAATCACCTGATCAATGTCAACTGCTGCCATAAGCCTCTCCCTGTCAGGCCATGAGCTCACAAAGTAAGCAAAGACGTCCTTCACTCAGTCAGATGAAAACCACACAACCTCACCCAGTTAGCCAACAAGATTTTTTAAATGCAGTGTATCAGTGCTACAAACATACCGGCTCCCCACAAAACTTCCCTGTTCCATTTGCTCACTCTTAATCCTAAAAGTTCAAGGCACTAATTTTGCACCATAATCCACATTAAAACTTATCTGAATATTTGAACCCCCTCAGGGTATTCTGGAAATTGCATATGGCGAATTGATTTCTCACCCCAAGTTACGATGTTATGTGAGCTGAACAAATTATGGTTAATTCTGTAAGCATACTAAATAACACATTAATCATATACTGTTACTTCCAATTTTCCACCACTCAGCATCACTGAAAGACTCTAGGAAGCATCTCACCTGGCATAGAGGAGGGTTCAAGCACAGTTAGCCTGGAGTTACTGTGCAACTGCAAAAGCATTATGAACGACCCCAGCTGGGTTCCTTGGAGCCTTATCTAGTTGTTACCAAGGGAAGGATGCCAGCTTTGGGAGATTCCTATATTCTTGGCAGAACATAATAAAGTAGTTAGCTTGAACTTTGCATGTGTGGGTCTGATTGTTCATGCTTGTCAGTTTCATAGATTAAACAAGGCCATCTGTCTGGAACTCAAAACACATTTTCTCCATAGCAGCACCAGCCTTCTGGAATTAGGCTAAAATCTGAACAGCTCCCATCCTATTGGTATTTTGAAGCACCCTATGGGCCTGGTTCTTTGCTCAAGCCTTTGGCAAAGATGATGGATGTTCCCCCCTTTTTCCTTTTTGCTCCCCTCCAAGATTTTTTTTTGCCATTGTTTTTATTTTGTGCTGTTTTTGTTTTGGGGTTTGTTTGTTGCATTTTGTTTAATCTCAAATGTTTTTAACATTGTAAACTATCCAGAGTCACTAGAAGTATGACAGCACATATATTTAATAAATAATAAAGACACTATATCTTTTCTCCCTGCCATCCATAATTTTAACCATTATCTATGATGTGCCTCGTTTTTCCCCCTAAGCCAAGAAAAAGTACTGCTGACTTCTGAACAATTCTTGCTGTTGCTGATTTGATAAGCCATAATTCCTCACCTTTTCCCTATCACCCACTGGGAAGGCGATAATAGTTGATGTACTAATTTATTTATTCTCTATAAACAAATCTAATTAAATACAGCTTCTATCTTTCAAATTAACCTGGCCTTGCTCATAAGCTCATATATAGACAAAGCATTTTGTCTGTGAAGCTCACGCCTTTTATTTTCAGCAAGGCTGCTACACCATGTCCCATTCCTATGGTATCTCTTCCCAGACCGGTCTCACAGTGCATACTTGCATTTCCTTTCCATCTCTAAAAGAGAGTTTCAGAGTGAGCTACAGAATAATTTCAATAATGAAGAAAATACTATTTTAAAATTCCAATTAGAATCTTAAGATTTGAGAGGAAATCACGGAGTGCAAGCAGAAAGCAGAATATCCCATCTCTAATCATTTTATGCCCTAGGAAAGGGAGGCAGGAGAGAAGCTGGGCTGGGGAGAGAGCTAGTAGCAATGAAAGAAGAAAAAAAAAGCCGTGCGAACAATCCAGTCGCCAAATAATTTCTGAGACCAGGCACCAAAACAGACAGCTTATTTGCGCGCCGACTACAATGGAAGGACCCCGCCTGCCTCTCGCGGCCATTCAGCATCACGCGCCGGCCGTGGAAGAAAGCCCTCACCGGTCTTGTTTTTCCTATCCCACCTTTTTTGGTTCTTTGTTTGCTCATTCTTTTCCTTCTCAGAGAGGGAGTCGCTGCAATGCCGCTTTACGAGGGTCTCGGCAGCGGCGGGGAAAAAACCGCCGTGGTGATCGATCTGGGCGCGGCCTTCACCAAGTAAGTTAGTTCTCTTTTTTTTTCCTGCCAAATCGCATTAGCCCTGCTTTTTGTGACTGTGCACCTGTTTTCTCTCTCGCCCTCGTATTTTATCTATCAGTTGATTTTATACCGTATTGCTACGCACTGTTTTTGCTCCCATTGCGCGTTGCAATTGTATTCCGCCACCACTATCACCTCGTTTTTTCCCAAGTGGTTTAATGAAAGGAGAGGTTTATTCATCGCGTAACGATCTGGGTTCTTAACTGTGCTTCGTTGAATAAGTGCTGACTGCATTCCCATAATCGTTGACCATGAACTACTTCTTTCTATCCATAATAGCTGTTTTGCATATCTTAGCCCCAAATCTGATGAACCACATCATGCTGCAATGCAAGAACTTAGCTTGAGAGTTCATGTCTAAGACTAGCTGGGGCTGCCTTTGTACAATGTGTTTATAGTTAATTAAACCATAGCTTATTGAATTAATTTAACTGCTGAATTTTCAAAACCACAGCTATAAGTCTTCATAGTTGGGTCCTTTAAGTTACATCACCCTGAGTCACAAGCTAACTGATCACCATAGTTAGTCTGGGGGCAAACCAGGCACAGAATTCTAGTGTTGAAACTTGTACTTATTGATTGACCAGGGAGGAATCTGACCTGATTTTGCTCAGAAATATTCCTAATTGAGATACATTGCTTAGGCTACTTATGTAGTAGTGTGATGCTCTCTGAATTTGGTTTTCTTCCAGATGTTTTATTGCTAATCAAGGTAACATCAATGCATAATCTAGGTAATATCATCAATGCACTTACATAGTAGTACACTATAAAATGCACACTATTATAGAAGAAAAGGGAGAGAAAAAAGAGAATTGAATTTCTGAGCAAGTTGTATGTAAAGAATCAAGTTTTAAAATTCTAGTTGTAGTGTCAAGTAAAACAATCATATTGTGATTGAATTGCATAAATTATGGTTTGTGGGAAAATGTAGCATTGCAGATTCGTATAATTTGAAGATATAAATCTTGGCTTAAAATGACGAGTTACATGTCATATTAATATGATTGGTTTCAGTTTAATATGAAATGTAAACCCAACGACTTACCATGTTAACAAGACACTTAAGCCCTAGCTTTATAGTGCATCTTATCATATTAATCAGTGTTTCTGATTTTTCACTTGTTCAGAATTTGAAATTACAGCTAATTTTAATTAATTTAAAATTAATTTAATTAATCCTAATATTCTACTATTACATATTTAAGGGAAGAGAATGATAAAATTTTAAATTTAAAATATCATTATAGTAATGGTTTAGGAAAAAACCTCTCTGCTAAAGATTTAAAAAATTCTGTCTTTAAAAATAGACAAAACTAGTAAAAGAATAGATGAGGTTAACTCAACACAATTTAACATGACCAATTAACATACTTTAATAAATTAATGGACTCTGTGTGTTTCATGCTTTAAGATTCCAGCTAGCCATTATTACCTGCAAAAGATAGATTCTTAGATTTATCCTTAGAAGAACCATGAATCAGGAGCTTCAAGAATGACATGAAGCATACAGAGTCCATTAATTTATTAGAGTACATTAATTGATCATGTTAAATTGTATTGCGTTAACCTCATTTATACTTTTACCAGTTTTGTCTATTTTTAAAGACAGAAACTTTTAAATCTTTAGCAGAGAGATTTTTTTCTAAACCATTACTATAATGATATTTTAAATGTAAAATGTTATTCTCTTCCCTTAAATATGTAATTGTAGAATATGTACTATACCATAAAATAACAAGGGGGAAATGTCCCAAATGCTCCTGGATATATAGAAGTCCTTAGGTCGTTTTTAATATTATTTTGGATTCAGAAAAATTTAGTATTAGTTTGCTTCTGGCACTATGCAGCTAAATTGGTTCTTAGTAGGATTACCAGATTGGTACTGCCATTTGATTGTTTTGAATGTGTATGTATTGTAGTATTTTTAATTTTCCAGATGTGGCTTTGCAGGAGAAACAGGTCCCAGATGTGTCATACCTAGTGAAATAAAGAAACCTGGTGTTTCAAAGGTAATCTTTTAAGAAAATATAATATAGTTGTGTGGATATCAGAACAAATGGTGGAAATTGCCAATTGCAATCAGTAAATATTCTACTTTAAATACTGTATGCTTTAACTAGCAAATCTGGAGAATGTAGCTAACAGATTAGAAGAGTTCTGTCTACCTACCAATATCACAGAAAGGAGATTCAACAAGTTATTATACAGTATACAATATTTAATTTTATTTGCTAGCAAAATAATGCTTAGGATCAGATTAGATTAGAGCCCAATATGGAAAGAGAGTTCCCAGATTTTCAAAATGGTTTTAGAAAAGGCTGAGGAACAAGAGATATGATACACCCTTAGTAATTGATGTGGTAGAAACAGCAACAAGTATACTTACCAAAAGAATTGGAGAGGACCCAAATAATTGTGTAAGTGTAATCTTTACTGATACCCTAAGCTTTGGGAGCCAAGACATGTTTCAAGAGCATATATGTTACAAATACTTAAATGTTGATTTATGAGCAATATAGTTCAGAAAAAAATATAGGTAGTTATTTTACAAGAAAGGTAAATTAGGGGAGACCTCTGTATTTTTAATGACTAAACAGTATAAAAAATGTGATCACCTTTCTTTTTTGTTACAGTAGGAATTTTTGTGCTAATAGTTTGCTAGGAGTTTTGTCCTTGAAGTACCAGATCTCTTTGGTAACTTGGTATTTCCTCCTAGGTCAAAAGGGGCATTCTTGTCCTGTTTACCACTATTTATAGTACTCTATTTGTAGCTGCTTTGAAACTAAAAAATTCTAAGAAAGCAAGTTTTCATTTACTGTATGTTCAAAGGTTTTCTTTAAGGTTACATTTTATTGCAAATGGAACTTTTTTAAACATTAGAAATTTCTTTCACATTGGAAAAAACAAAATTGAAATGTCAGTATGTGGTTTATTTTATTGTTTTGACCACATCAAGCTATGGAATGTGCTTAAGAAAATAGGAATCTCAGAACATATCATTGCCCTTATATGAAAATTATATTCAGATCAATAAGCCACAGTCTGGACAAAACATGGCAAAACAGGCGGGTTCCATATGAGCAAAGGATACAAAGCTGATCATTTAAGGTTGGGTATTCTTCCCTTATATGTTGAATATATGTTGAGGGAAGCTAGAGTGAAAGAAGATGGGAATCATTTTAAAAGTGGAAAAGGAAGCATCAATATCCTGTGTTGTGCCATTGGTATTATTCTCTTTAAAGTATTATAAGGTTTCAATTTTTAATGCTTTTACCAAAAATTTAATAAAATATATTTAAACCATGTAGGCTTTATAAGCAACTTTCTTGGTTGTAGAGTGACAATCATAATATTACACAGCGTCCTGTCTAAAATGTGATAGTTATCGAAGTAATGTTATAATTATACAATGAAGGTACAACCCAGGATAAAGAATCCTTATTGGCTGTATGGTAGCATTGGATTATTAATATCTGAGACTGTCAGGCACAAACAAACAGATCCACCTATGTGGAGTTTAAGCTAACTATTATATTCTGCCTATAATACAGGAATCTCCCCAGACTGCTTGCCTTCCCTTGGGAACAGATAGATAAAGTTCCATGGAGTTTAGGGAGTTCTGGATCTCCTGCAGCTGCATAACAATTCAGGAGCTAATTCACCACTTGAGCTGGGCATTTTCCAACAAAGACTTATTCAAAGAGAAGATCATAACATTCATAAATCTACCATTACTTAAATGAATTATATGTGTATACAGTAATTAAATATTAAACAGATTTTAAAAATACTTAAAACTACTAGTTTTTTTTAATTCACAGCCTATCAGAGTTGTTCAGTATAACATCAATACAGAAGAATTGTATTCGTACCTGAAGGAATTCATTCACATGCTTTATTTCAGGTAGGAGAGGCTGCAGTAAATATTTTTGCGATGGATTATTATTTTGGAAATGATTGCTTAGATATTGGATTAAGTACGATATCATTATGGCTGTATTATGCATTACAAAGCTTCCATTTCCTATCCTAGGATTTGATATTATAGCAAAATCTATGGTGTTTGCTCTTAGAAGTACATCAGACTTTTTGATATCTAATAAGCCAAAACTTGTCCACCTTCTTAAAGAGCAAGCAAAATTAATATTTATTATAATCATCTTGGCTTGCAATACTCTGATGTGACACCTTGAAACCCAGGCATCACTACCAGATTCAAGCGGTCATTATTTTATTTGCAAATAAACTAGCTTTATTGTGAGTCCAGCTCTTGTGACTTACTTAACAAATTGGCTAAGTATAATTCGTGACCCCAAGTTCACTGTTATGGATTATAGGTCCCAGTCATAATATTATTTTTTTCAAGACTTTTTCAAAATTATCATCTATCAATTGATCAATCTGACTTAAAACAAGACAGAATGCCTTTCTCTTATAAAATAGTCATAAAAAGAGGTAAGATGTGGTTTGTAATATAATTAAAAATGTGAATGTCATTTCACAATATCAATTCTTACATTTATATAAGCATCAAGCACAGATTTTCCTAGGATTGCATAACTGATTTCTAGCCAAGGTAAATCTTTTTTAAGGAATCGTTGACATATGCTTGCTCTGAATCATCTTTTTTTCCTTCAAAACTGGATTTCTCCTCAGCACTATAAAAATGAATATAGGCAAATATAACTAAAGTTCAGCATTAACCTCAATATAAATGCTTCTCTGGAGCTCAGGCATGCGTTAATTATTTCATTATAGAGTACCTAGGAGTCTGAGGGCCACTCAAAATGGAAGGACAATATATTTCCCTTCAACTGAATTTCTGACCTAGGAGTCAATATTTCAATATCTGGTAGTGCTCTTTTTTTTGTCCCCATCCATTGAAAAGTCTCATTGTACTTAGGTAATCTATTCCATTGTAATTTATTCATTCAGTGATTTATAGACCACTCCTATCACAAATTACAATTTACAATAATCATTAATAAAAAGCAATAGACACTAATCCAGCCCAAACTAAGCAATTCTACCTAGGATCGCAATCTCCTTGAAAGTGCACAACTAATACAGTACATTTGTACACAAAGACACGGAAGAAGAAGTAATTTTATTCAGCTTTCTGAACAGACTCATTCATTTTTCAGGCATTTGCTGGTAAACCCTCGAGATCGCCGGGTTGTGATCGTGGAATCTGTATTGTGCCCTTCTCACTTCAGAGAGACACTCACAAAAGTTCTATTCAAGTATTTTGAGGTACAGTAATGCATTCCTTATTGCTTGCTGTAGCTGACAGTTTTAACAGTTGTCAGGTTTTCTTTATTCGCCTGTAATTAAAGCAACCGTGACCTAATTTTTAATAACTTCGCCAGTCACTGTCATTAAATTCTGCATCTGGATCTGTTGAAAGTAGTTCTCAACATAGGATCAAATGGTGGTTGAAGTTCCAGATGTCCCAGAATGCTCCCTGGTCACATGTTTGCAATGTGGGTGCTTGGCAACTGGCTTGCACTAATGAACCATTGCAGTGCCGTGACATCACATCTGCCACCTTTCCTGCCTGCTTCCCAGGACACCCAGTGAGGAAGTTGGCAGGGAAGACCACAGGTTGCTGGAGTAAGTCTTTCCCACCCAGCTCCTCTGTGCTTGCACCAACCTCTCGTGCGCTCTCCCCAGTCCTTGCCATGCCTTCCTTGTACATCCTGCCCCAATTCTCACTGTGCCTCCCTCATGAGCTTTCCCTGTGCCTTGCTGCCCTCACACTTCCCTGTGTATCCTCCCTACCATGCCTCCCTCAAGCACTGTCCTCAAGCCTTGCTGTGCCACCCTTGCATACGCCTGCGCACCTTCTCCTAGCCTTTCCGTACCACCTTTGTGCATCCCCCTCAGGCCCTCCCCTACCCATCAGGCACTACTTACTTGCCTGCTTGCAAGCCACCTGGGATTTGCACCTTCCCCAAACCTTGCCACGCCTGCTGGCTTCCCCACTGACTTGGTTGTGGGACATCAGTAGGAAGTTGCTTCATCAACAACCGTGGGATTTAATTAATGAGGATGGGATTGCAGTTGCTAATCGATGCGGTCACGATTTATGACCGCATTGCTTAATGACTGAAATTCTGGTTCCAGTTGCTGTTGCAAGTTGAGGACTATCTATGGCAGGGGTAGGCAACCTTGGCTCTTGTATGACTCGTGGACTTCAACTCCCAGAATTCCTGAGCCAGCCATTCCTGGCTCAGGAATTCTGGGAGTTGAAGTCCACGATTCATAAAAGAGCCCCGGTTGCCTACTCCTGATCTATGGGATACTTTCCTTTAATGGAAACATTCCGTTACAAAGTACATAAACTTGTATCAGGGATGTTTTAATTTAGACTTTGTCCTGTCCCAGGCCAGACACACACCCACACATACATGCACAAAGGAGTTAAGCTGCAAAAGGCTTTCCTATGGTTTATACAGCTACAAACAAGAGCAGGCAAGACGTGTAGGTAGTCACACACACAGTTTTGAGTAGTCCCAAATCCCTTGGAAGCTTGCCTGGAAGGAGTTTCAAGTAGTCAAAATCCAAAGTAACAGGCTGAAGCATTGTTGGAACACAGCGCAAAGGTCTCAGCACGGTGGGTAAGTCATTAGCTTGTCCATGTTCAAAGGAACAGACTTTCCATAGGCAGAAGTTCAGGATGTATTGACTGTGGGATTTCCTGTATACAGATGATAATAGCAGAGTTTCCAAATTATCACAGACGCCTGAGGAATATTAAAAATTGCACTTCTGTGTTCCTTCTAGGTTCCTTCAGTGTTATTTGCACCAAGTCATCTGATGTCTCTTCTAACACTTGGAATTAATTCTGCAATGGTTTTGGACTGTGGTTATACAGAAAGCTTGGTGTTACCTGTATCTTTTAAAAATCTCTTTTAATCCTATCAGTCAGGAAGCAAGTACCCTAATTACGACAAAATGGACTCCCCAAAATTAACTAAGTTGACTTCTGGGCAAAAAGATTTTGCTTCTCAAATATCCTACTTTAATTAAGCCAGTTGTGCCAATTTACACTTTAAACTAAAAATGTTCCCAGGACATTCTGCAGTATAAAAGAAAAATAAAATGTATAGGAGTGCTCAATTTACAACCACAATTGATGCCCAACTTTCTTTTGCTACGCAAAGCAGCTGCTAGGTGAGTTGTGTCCCCCTTTACAACAGTTTTTGTCTTGGTTGTTAAGAAACATTACAGTTAAGTGAGTCATGCAGTCATCAAGCAAATCTGACTTCCTCCATTGGCTTCGTTTGTCAGAAGCTGCCTAGGAAGATTGCAAGACCCCAGGACACAGCAACCGTCATAAATACATGCTGGTTAATGAGTGCCCATAGTTTGATCACGTAATTGTAGGGATGCTGCAAGAGTCATAAGAGTTGAGAATTGGCCATATGACGTTTTTTTCAGTACCACTGTAACTTAAACTGTCATCAAATGAATGGTTGTAAGTCATAATGGTAATAAAATAACGGTAAAGGCGACAAAATACAAATAGTCCTTGACTTACAACAGTACCTTTAGTGACTGTTCAACGTTACCACAGCACTGAAAAAAGTGACTTATGGCTGTTTATCCATACACAACCATTGCAGCATCCTCAGGTCAGGTGTTCAAAATTTGGGTACTTGGCAATTGACTCATATTTATGATTGTTGCAATGTCCCGGGGTCATCATCAGTGGGGAAGCCAGAGTCACTGTGTTACTAATTTAACAACTGCAGTGATTCATTTAACAATTGTGGCAGGAAAGGTCGTAAAATGTGGCAAAATTCACTTAACAACTGTTTCCTTAACAACAAATTTGGGGCTCAGTTGTCGTAAATTGAGGACTGACTATAAATGAAGCAGAAATAATTGGGGAGGGGGGAGATTGAATGTTGGAAAAACAAAATTGCTACTGAAAAGGATGTAAGGTTAGCGCCCCTGTCTTGAGGAGTGTTCCACAAGCTGCCTGGTTTGAGTGGTTTAGAGCAGAGAAAGCCAAACAAGCTTTTATTACCATTTCCAGAGATCCCATCATTTTTCCATTATCTCCTGTCCAAGCAGTGAAAAGATCCAGGTTTTTTTAGCTTCCACAAATTCGTTGCTTGATGTATCTTCAAGTTATGCCTATGAAGCATGAGATAAAAATCAGCTTTATTTCAGTTCAGTGAAAATTGCAAGGGCTTTGGGGCTTTGATGCATTTGAAGCCAATGCTACCTATTTATAAATAAAAAACTTGCATGCAAAATTTCTTCATGTTAAGATATGTATGCAGAAAAAGCATACATATCTTCAAGGTCATTTAAAATTATGAAATTAAAATTAGTGACAGGTGTTTTCTTTTTTAAAAAAAACACATATTCAGAACAAAAACATAATTGTTGTTCCAAAATTGTGGTTATTATCCTTTAATTCTACCTTAGCAACCCAGGGTTGCTATTACAAGATGGTTGGCCACATAAATTAATTGTAAAACACCGAAATTAAAAATGATTTTTCTCTTCTAGTAATATTGTCATCTGCAATTGTACATTTGTGTTTGGTGCTTGTATTTCATCTTTTGAATAAGAAATGCTGTAAAACAAAACATCCTTAACTGTTTGAAGATTTATGAAGGAATTCCTGTACTTAGTTGCTGGGATGCTCTTCCTTTGGGAGGAAAAGCCATTCACAAGTAAGCTGATAGCAAATATTAAGGCATTTATGAAACAGAGACCACTTTGGCAGTGTTTCTCAACCTCAACAAATTTAAGATGTGTGGACTTCAACTCCCAAAATTCTGGACTTTAGAATTAAGAAATATCTTAAAGCTACTGAGGTTGAGAAACACTGGTTTAGAGTTATATGATTTTGCTAGGTGGGAACTAGGATAGGCCAGTCCTACAAGCCAGTGTTCGGAAAAGAAGCAGATAATGTCCATTTTGAGACCTTTTGGATTTCACCTTTAATCAGCTCTGGTTACATGGATAGTGGGAAGGGAATTATGATAATTGTAGTCCATGACGTTGGGTAGATACTTAGTAGCCTACCTTTGTTTGTAGCCATGAATACCAGTTAGATATTATATAAGGAAAATCTCTTCTGCATAATACTAGAATCTGGGATCATTACTGGAGAAGGTAAAAAAAGGTTAAAAAAAAGGTTTTATGCTTTTTCATACAGCAAATAGTTTATGCGATTTACTTTTAGAAGATGTAATAAATGTAGACAGCATGTAGAAGATGACCAAGCTAATACAAGGAGGATGCCATTAATGACTATTGATTACCATAGTAGTAGTAGTAAGTAGTAGTAGTAGTAGTAGTAGTAGTAGTAGTAGTAGTAGTAGTAGTAATAATAAAAAGTTGGAAGGGACTTGGAGGTCATCAAGTCCAACTCCTTGCTCAGACAAGTAACCCTATACCATTTCGGACAAATGGCTGTCCAGTTTCTTCTTAAAAACTTCCAGTGTTGGAGCATTCACCGCTTCTGGAGGCAGATTGTTCCACTGGTTAATTGTTCTAACTGTCAGGAAGTTTCTCCTTAGTTCTAGGTTGCTTCTCTCTTTGGTTAGTTATATAAGGAAAATCTCTTCTGCATAATACTAGAATCTGGGATCATTACTGGAGAAGGTAAAAAAAGGTTAAAAAAAAGGTTTTATGCTTTTTCATACAGCAAATAGTTTATGCGATTTACTTTTAGAAGATGTAATAAATGTAGACAGCATGTAGAAGATGACCAAGCTAATACAAGGAGGATGCCATTAATGACTATTGATTACCATAGTAGTAGTAGTAAGTAGTAGTAGTAGTAGTAGTAGTAGTAGTAGTAGTAGTAGTAGTAGTAATAATAAAAAGTTGGAAGGGACTTGGAGGTCATCAAGTCCAACTCCTTGCTCAGACAAGTAACCCTATACCATTTCGGACAAATGGCTGTCCAGTTTCTTCTTAAAAACTTCCAGTGTTGGAGCATTCACCGCTTCTGGAGGCTTCCATCAGGAAGGTTCTAGGTTGCTTCTCTCTTTGGTTAGTTTCCATCCATTGCTTCTTGTCCTGCCTTCAGGCGCTTTGGAAAATAGCTTGACTCCCTCTTCTTTGTGGCAGCCCCTGAGATATTGGAACACTGCTATCATGTCCCCCCTCATCTTTGTTCTTTGTTATTTTTCGGTATAAATGGGCAGACGTAGCACTTTCACTACTATTAACAGTGTTAAGAGGGCTGAAAATATTGTATCCCAACTGTCTCTTTTCCAAAATATTTCCTATAATGTATGTTAACCATAACATATCTGATGAGGTCACAAGGCTGAAAATAGTCTGTTGTACAAATGCATCATGTGGGATAGATGGATGGATGCCAGAGAATCAATGACTGATATTTCCTAAACATTTCCTATTCTCAATACTCTCTAGAGAACTGGAGTACCAATTGCTGGAGCAAAGTACAATAGATACAGGAGCCACCAAAGGACAAAGCCTTACCTCAGTGATGGGTAAGATGGGAGAGGGAGATTTATTTTCATCTCACAGTGGTTCTAGGGGAGGATAGGTGATGGATGGATGGATGGATGGATGGATGGACGGACGGACGGACGGACAGACAGACAGACAGATGAATCTTGTTCTAAGAAGCAGTAATTTCAACGCTGAATCCCCTTATTTCTAATAATATTTGTTAAATCAGGAAAGTTTCATTATGCTTAATCTTAGTGTACTCCATTCTAAACCCTTAAAGATCTTGGTTGCAAACCGTAACCTTATCACTCAACTATTAGACCTATCAATGTGGGTGTTTAATTCATGCGGAAGCAGAGTTTTCTAGCTAATTTGGACTTAATTGTCTTCATGGTCTTTATTTGAATTTTGTGTCCTCAGTAGGTGTTAATTCCAGATGTATTGCATTCCTCCTGTTTTAGGTTCTATTCCAGAAGACATTGTAGAAGACATAAAGGGTAAAATACGTTTCTTTATACAAATTTTAGTTTAGTTTTTGTCCAAAAATCTTTAAATGCATAGAAGTAGACTTTCACAAAATAGTGGGATTTCTTTAAATCTGCTTCTTCCATAAATATATCTGAACAGCAGCAGCTAATTGCAGCCTCAGACATTTTGAAGTGCAATTTTCCTTACCATCTTGCAAACCAGCTGCTTCATGTTATATTCTTATTTATAGTGCATAATATACAATCTGACAGCTATATCCATTTCCCCCAAATTTTCTTCCAAACCTTGCTAGCATGATATGCATTTCAGTAGCAGGCTTATCAGTCTTTGCAAAGGGGAATGATTCAAAAAAGTAGACGATATCAATAGAAAAGTGTTTCTCTTGCAGAAATCTCACAAGAGGCTTATATATGAAGGACAATAATCTAAAGACTGTTTTTATATCTCTCTGAAGTTCGCACTTGTTTTGTGAGTGACCTCCAGCGGGGACTGAAAATTCAGGCAGCAAAGTTTGATATGGATGGTAGTGCTGAGGTATGTTGAAAATAAACAGAAGTTTCAATTCAGTAGAACAAATTTAATTATTTAAACTTTAATGTTTCACTTTCTGAGTGTGTTCATTCTTTGTAGCGTCCAACTCCACCGCCAGATGTAGACTATCCATTGGATGGAGAGAAGATTTTGCATATCAATGGAGTAATCAGGTGAGCAATACAGTTACTTTTTTGCATTATTTTTGCCATGGACAATTACCTTTTTAATCTCTTTCACGGGATTTTATTTTCTAGGCAAGAGCAGAATGTAAGATATCCAAGCTATTCTTATTTAGAATGCATAAAGTGTTGTACTAGGGGAGAAGGTTGGTGAAAGGATGAAATATCTGGCTCTAAATCTATATTACTGTCAAGATATATTTCATCAAGCCATACCAACCTTTGAATGGGATTTGGGAACCGCACTGCAAACAACTGGGACTGCACCAACAAGTTTAAAAAGTAGTGATAATATAAAAGTTAAGTAAGTGTTATCACCGAAAGAGGGTTGCTACTTAGAATGAAAGGCAAATAGAGAGATCAAGACACTTGAGTAGGAAAATAAAATTCATGCATATGGCAACAGGAGTATAAGAGACAGCTGTCAAGGTTCTGATAGACGCCAAATAAATCAGAACTCCGAGACTTGAGATTTCCTCAAAGAACATGTTTATTGGTTACATAGTATCGGCACTGTCAAAAGTGAAACCAAAGAGAGACTATTACAAATTTCCCCACCCCAATGCTATGCAAACGGTTACGTTCCCCAATAGAACAGTTTGGTCAGCTTTCTCACCAGATGTTCATGCCCCCCCCCATCTAACTGACAGAAGTGACCTTGGTTCCCATGGGACAATAAAAATGTTCAGACTAGTAAAAAAAAAAAAAAAGATGTTGCGACTTTAGAAAGAGAAGAGCAACAAAGATGATTAGGGGACTGGAAGCTAAAACATATGAAGAGTGGTTGCTGGAATTTGTTATGTCTAATTTAATGAAGAGAAGGACTAGGGGTGACATGATAACAGTATTCCAATATCTCAGGGATTGCCACAAAGAAGAGGGAATCAAGCTATTTTCCAAAGCCCCTGAAAGCAGGACAAGAAGCAACGTATGGAAACTGATTAAGGAGAGAAGCAACCTAGAACTAAGGAGAAACTTCCTGATAATCAGAACAATTAATCAGTGGAACAACCTGCCTCCAGAAGCGGTGAATGTTCCAACAGTGGAAATTTTAAAGAAGAGACTGGACAGCCATTTGTATGAAATGGAATAGGGCAGGGGTAGGCAACCTTGGCTCTTTTATGACTCGTGGACTTCAATTCCCAGAATTCCTGAGCCAGCCATGCTGGCTCAGGAATTCTAGGAGTTGAAGTCCACGAGTCATAAAATTATGAGCCAAGGTTGCCTACTCCTGGTATAGGGTTTCCTGCCTGAGCAGGGGGTTACACTAGAAGACCTCCAAGGTTCCTTCCAACATTATTATTATTACAATTACTACTACTACTACTACTACTACTACTACTATTATTAAAATCCTCTGCACCCCCTCCTATACTTGTGGCAACCTAAAACGAGCAAAATGGCTGCAGCCAGGTTTACTGTAGACTTGACAACAGCACTACGTCAGAGGGGGTAGGGAAGTGAGAAAAGATGGGGCAATAGATTTGGGCCACCAAATTTGGTAGCAGAATGGGGAGTGGGCTTGATCTAGGCTATGTCTGAACCCATGGTAGATTGCATACAGCCCGATGCAAAGGATTATGTATTTTTGTCTGAAGTCAGTACAATCCTTTTCAAATAAGTTAGGTAACCAGGACAGAATGGGTAATATACTCTGGATTCCTGAACACGCTCGGGCCTCATTCCCTGCATATGAACATTGTAAACCACCCAGAATTGCCTCACAGAGACATGGGTGGCAAACAAATTTAATAAATAAATATAATCAATAAAATATATGACTCAAGGTTTCCTATTTTTTTTCTCACAGAGATTCTGTTGTCGAAGTACTCTTTGTCCAGGACAATGAAGAGAAATCCGTGGCTACTTTAATACTGGACTCTCTTATGGAGGTAGCACAAGTTGGATACGGTTGTCTATTTGCGTGTGTGTGTGTGTGTGTGTTATACATCAAGCTCTGTTAGCAACAGATTTTTTACCAATATCCTGACGTAGGTAACATAATATTTAAAGGATAGTGATGACACAGAGGAATCAAGGCAGTAGTGGGAATCAGATATGTGAACAACCGGTTCTCTGTGGATGCCACTTCTGGAAGTCCATTCTGGGCCTGGGCAACAAAAAATTAGCTACCGGTTCTGCCAAAGTGGTGCAAACCGGCTGAATCCCACCGCTGAATCAAGGCCCTGGAAGCTTTTATGCTTCTTTATCATATACAGTAAAACTATTTACAATAGGAATTTACAGAAAGATCCCAGCTTCTGCTAGGTGTCAGGTTTCCTCTTAAGTATCTCTCCTAGAGGTTATTCCCCTCTAACTCTCTTCCTTAAATGCTTAATTTCCTTCCATTTACTCTGTCTCCCTCCTGTTTTTGGGATTATCAAAAGAGATAATCTTTCTCCAAAGACAGCTGTCTTCTTCCTTCCTATCTTGGGCCTTGCATCTCTCAAGGTCTTTGCCTTTCTTTTTTCACCAACTTTTCTTCTCCCTCTCCAATCTCTGGAACCAACAACTGTTCTATAACAACAACAACAACTTTATTGTCACTTTGAATGTACACCAATCAGCATACATCAAAATGAAATTTCATTTCATACAACTCTCAAAGGGCCACCCCCTCCAATATACACTCCTTGTTTGTGGCCAGCTCAAGTTTCAGATCGTCCATTGGGAGCGAACGATGGCAAACAGGACAGATGGAAACGGAGCTCCATGTGGATTAGCCCTCAAATTAGCCTGTATTCCTGCACAGCAACCTTGCTTCCATACTCACATCAACTTTACTTTTCAGCCACTTCATATTACAACAGTCTTTGTGGTTGTTCTCGCCACTCCTCTGTCTCTCCAATTTTGGGTTACAATGGCATGAAGTTCTCCAACAACTGAGGAAATGGGTTCCCCACCTCCCCAGGACTGTAGTCCCCAACTCCTGTGTACAAAACTGGACCAATGGAAATGCTGCCTCTCTGTGCCCACAACAGCCCTGGCTAGCAGCCAGGTCAACACATTAGTCTTCATGCTTCATGACAGTCAGTACCCCTGCATTTCAATGCTACAATCAGCTTCCTCTGCTCTTTTTGCTTCTTCCTGAATCACAACAGCACCTAAACCAGGCCATATACGCTGGCTGAGGAATTATGGGAGTTGAAGTCCACAAGTCATAAAAGGGCCAAGTTTGAAGAGCCCTGTGCTATAGACTGATTTAATACAGAAAGTATCAGCCTTGGTAGACAAAGGCAATCTCATGAGAAAATGGGCAGTTTAAAGTAGGAAGTCAAGTACAGATGTTTTGTTTCAAACCACCTGTTTTCCCAATTTGCTATATATTTGATCATGCCTTAATTAGTAGCCTAATTGAAATGTTTTCTCTTTTTCTTCTCCCCTATCAGTGCCCAATAGATACTAGGAAGCAACTGGCTGAGAACTTGATAGTAATTGGGGGTACAGCTATGTTACCAGGATTCCTGCACAGATTAATGGCTGAAATACGATACCTGGTAGAAAAGCCCAAGTACAAGGAAATCCTAGCCTCAAAGAACTTCCGGGTGCACATGCCGCCAGCCAAGCCGAACTGTGTGGCCTGGTTAGGAGGTTAGTCTGAAAGAGCTGGGAACTGGGGTGGAGATTATGTGGACCTGCACAAAGAATACAGCTTTCGCAACGCCACTCCTAGGAGAGACTGGAAAGCTTGGATACAGAGGTTCTGATGTACAATTTATTTCATAAATTTTAGTATCTTTTCCTCACTCTTTCCCTTGAGGAGATATAGAACTGGGGCCAGATACCCCTTTATATGTGACTCTCAAGGTTCCTGAGACTGTCAAGATACTTGGTCTTAATGTTTTTATAAAGCCCTGTTTATATTTTTATATAGCCCTCTTTAATTTCTGATTGGTATCCAGCTTCTCAGAATCACCATTGCAGGAATTTAGTATTATATCTTTTGAATGGAAAGGAATGAAAAATTATCAGACAAGATTGTTTGGGGTAACAGGAAAAAAATCTTACTTGGGCTGTACCTAATAGAAACACGTTACAATAAAAGTTTGATAGTACTTTTCCCTTTTGCCACCACTTTATTTGTTTCTCCATGTTTTAAACTCTGTCTTATTCTGTGTTACAGGAGCCATTTTTGGAGCTCTCCAGGACATTCTTGGCAGTCGTTCAGTATCGAAGGAATATTATAACCAAACAGGACGCATCCCTGATTGGTGCTGCCTCAATAACCCTCCTTTGGAAATGATGTTTGATGTAGGAAAGACACCTCCACCATTGATGAAGAGGGCTTTTTCCACAGAGAAATAACAGTTCTGATCTTGCTGTGGCGCTGCCTTCTTTTCTCATCTACCTGAAGCTGGACTGTTAAGGAGTTCAGTGGAATATGTTGGATAAATCTGCAAGTTAAATTCTGGGGCACTGGCCACAATTTTGGCTGATTACGTTCCTTTCTGTCCATTACATTGGCTTAAGATGATGTCCCAGTGATGTTTATTTATATACACAAGTAATATCAACATAAATGCTCAAGCTTTTAATGTTATTTAAAGTATATACTGTAGATACCTTTTTTAAAGCTCACTTGCTTAGCATCTGATGCTGCACATATTAGTTCTTCCACCAACTGTAATGCTGTGTTTAATTTGAAATTTGTTGCCTGTTAAAATATGATGAAAATGTCCACAACGGTTTGAGGGTTTTCTTGAAAATTTAGTGAACAATCCTGGCCCTTGCTTTTGTTAAGGTAAGGAATGGCAGTAGGTGCCTTCTTGATAATTGTCAACACCAAGTATAAATTAGAACTTGTAGTTCACGACATTAGGAGAGCCACAATTCCTAGTATCCCTTGCCATTGGCTGGGGCTTCTGGGAATAAATGTTCACTGACATCTGAGGGTGGGCTTGTTCCCTGTTCCTGAAAAAAAGAGGAAGCGACACTTTATGAAAAGCCAATCATAATATAATCTTCTTCAGAGTGCTTAAAGTTGATTCACGTTAAAAACATTGATTTAACCAATCAATACAAATTGTCTACTCTGTTGCTTTTACTTTAATTTCAGCTGCTTTAATTTATTTTACTTAAAACATTATTTCCGTCTCTTCAACTCAGAAATCTTTCACAGCATCTTGCATATGCAAACATTTAGGAAAATCATTTTCAGAAATTTTCTTCTTTTTATCCTATTTGGAACTAGATCCATCTGTGGCTTTGGTTACGTTGATTTTCCTATGAAAGCAAGTCACCTAATACATTTCATTACGATATTCTCATGTAGAAATGATATTAAAATCTCTCAAAACAATGTGTCTCCAAAATACGGTTGTATCTCTGCTTTACTGTAGAGTTCTAGGCCTACAGAACTGGTTCTTCTATAAAGGTTTTTTTTATTTGTTTTTGGGTGGGGTCAAGCTGAATAAAATTTGTTTCACTATCCTGTTTTAAGCAACATCTTCTAGAATTTATTGTGGTTTTCCTAATCAACCTTAGGTGTTACAGATTCTGCTTCTTGTTGGGGCAAACTTGGAAGATGGCATATAATACCATAATTTCTTCTTGAGGTGGAAACACTGATGTATTCAACAAAACTAGGAAGTATTCGCATTGAAAAGAGTTTCCTTTTCACATTTTTCCATGATAATAGGAGAAGTAAAGCTATGTGAAAAGAAAAAGACCACATTCTTACTACATGGGAACAAGTCTATATCCTTTGTTATCTGGATCTATACCTGTATTAAACAGTGATTATGGGAAATAATATAGCATGCAAGCATTGGATTCATATATTGCATTAAACCATGATTTGAAAGAATTACACATCTAGTTCTGTAACACAGAGGGGTTGGCTTGACAAATTATAAGCCATAAAGTATGGTTGACAAACAGTAGCTATTACACAACTTACTAATGCAAATGTAAATCATGTTTGTGGGGGAAAAAAGCACGTGCAGCAAACTGCCATGCTTTCCCCCCAAAAAACCTCATAACCTTTTGATACCCTTTGTCCCAATGAAGCAGCCAGAAGGTCATCCCCTTTTGACTTAATATCTCACCTACCTAAATAAATAATATGCTTAAGTTCCCTCTTATCTCTTCCTGTCTTTGTTAGTTCCTTCTGCTTTTCATCTCCCTGTATTTGTTTTTACCTGGTCTCTGAACAGGTAATAATGTTACTAGAAAATAGTTGCTTATACGAAGGAATTTTCCAATAAAGAAACTTTATGTCAGCATCTAATAGTTAAACTTATGAATGTAAAATGTCAGCATTTAATGGTAAAGCCTATGTATGTAAAAAGTATATAAAAACCAGTAAACACACAGAGACTCTCAAGCTGTGACAAACAGTTCTGCAGCAGCTTCAAATCTCTGCTCAAGACATGCCTGAGTCTTTTTCTTAGCATCTTTACAACGTTATTGCTTAATGTGATGTGTAGATGTAGATTCTTTCTTGCCTTGATTTTTTCTCTGAAAAGTCTTATTGACCTAGACATCTATTTCAAGTATCTATCATTTCCAATTGACTTATTCTGTTTAAAATATAAATCATATTAGAATAGAATAGAATAGAATAGAACAGAACAGAAGTCTTGGAGGTCTTCTAGTCCAGCCCCCTGCTCAAGCAGGAGAACCTATACCATCTCAGACAAGTGACTGTCTAGTCTCTTCTTAAAAATCTCCAGTGATGGAGTGCCCACAATTTCTGGAGGCAAACTGTTCCACTGGTTAATTGTCTTCACTGTCAGGAAGTTTCTTCTTAATTCTAGGTTGCTTCTCTCTTTGATCAGTTTCCAACCATTGTTTCTGGTCCTGCTCTCTGATGCTTTGGTGAATAATGTGACCCCTTCTTCTTTGTGGCAGTCCTACAAATACTGGAATACTGCTATCATGTCTCCCCTATTCTTTTCTGTAGACTAGCCAAACCCAAGTCCTGCAACTGTTCCTTATCCTCAAATGTGTTCTGAGATCTTGACAAGTAAGATATCTTTATCATTTCTGGTATTAGCACTGCATTTTCTAATTCTTCATTTGTCTGAGTCTGACTGTTAGGTCCTTCATCTTTGGATCTGCTTCCTCTAATTTCCCTTCTATTTTCTGGGTTACTGATTCCTTCTTTGTAGTCATTTTTTGAATTTGTAAGTTTAGATTAGAAAGTTGTTCTTTTATCTCCTTTGCATTATTTTTAGCCTCATCATGAGCTAAGACAATTGTCTCTTGTATTGATTTCAATATAGAAAGATTTTTTTTCTGAGATTTATCAACATTTTCTTGTTGGTATGTGAAGCTGGGGATTTTGGAGACAAATGTTAGGGATGGGCTTTTATCATTTAAGACTAAGTGCAGAACATCCATTTTGTTTTTGTATGTGGTCTTTATAGTCCAATTTATTTTGAGATTTAAAAAGTTTCAGTCAATTGTCATTTGAACTCCAAATTATCCAGCCAGCCTGTCAGTCCATCCTTAGGCCTTCCCTAAACAATTATAAACAAAGTCCAGATTTTTCTGTCCAATGAAAAGCATATCCTTTTTGTCCAGTGAGAAAAGAAACAAGTAAAAGTTATTCATCAATCAAAAGTTTATAATCCAAAGTGTTCCATCATCTCGATCAGTCATGCCTGTTTCTTCCACAGGGGAATAGTTCCACGGACACAGCTCTAAAAGTCAATTAGTATTTATATTCATAATCCAAGCAGACCAATTTCAAATGGTTTATCATCTTTGCCATGCAGATAAGCAGTCCAAGAGTTGTTTTTTTCTTCTCCAGCTGTAGTATTCAAAAGTGAAAGTTTCCAAGGACACCCAAAGTCTTATCTGAGTCTGGACTTCCTTTAAGCATAATAAATTGTAGTGCCATGGTTTACCACTAGATGAAGCTAAAAATATAAACTTATATTGCAAGTTTTTCAAGTCTCTTTTCAAAAAGTCTCAAAATCACTTTTAGACCCCAAATTTCAAGGCTATATATCAATATTGATTCCAAATTAATGTTATAATTTTCTCTGTTTTCCCCCAAGCAGTTAGTTAGAGCTAGCCGCTTTTTTTTTTTTCCTGAGGGAATGGAGTGGAAATTCCCTCTCATTTGGGAGGATTCTTTGCTTTGGGAGTTTTTTTTCCAGGAAAAAGTCTTAAAGTTATAAAGAGAGGATAGAGTCTCACCCAGTTTCATCCACATTGCTCAAAAGTTCCTCGTTAGTGCTTATTTCCTTCGGTTGTCAGTAGTTAAGCTTTCCCTATTGATACACAGCAGCCAAATACTGTTTTCTGTAATAGGAATAGACAATATTTGGGGCTGCCATGTGTGGAACTAAGTTGGAAAACAAAGACTCATGTATTCATTTGTGGTAACCTGCACGCACAAGGCACACCCAGCCATGCATGTTGACAATGTTGCTCCCTCTCCCAGTAATCCCAATGCAGATGGAGGTACAACCCCATTCCCCTTGACTTACTTAGCAATAGCACTTAGACTTATATACAACTTCATAGTGCTTTATAGCCCTCTCTGAGCAGTTTACAGAGTCAGCATATTGGCCCCCAACAATTTTGGTCCTCATTTTACCGACCTCGGAAGGATGGAAGGCTGAGTCAACCTTGAGCCAGTGAGAAACTAATACCAAACTGCAGGAGCTGGCAGTCAGTAGAAGTAGCCTGCAGTACTGGATTCTAACCACCATGCCACCAACATTTATTGCCTGTCATGTTTTGGCAAGACACAGTAACCACGGAAGCCTATCATTTCAAAAGCCATTCAGTGTCATAGAGTGACTGAAAGCCGAGTAGTCTGATAGCATTATGCCATGGTTTGTTAAATAAACCACAATTGGTTATGTTCATAATGCTAAACTGCCTAATCCCGGTAAAAAATACATTTGGTTTAAGGTTCCTAAACTTTTTGCAGTCACAGCTTCCTTTAGCATCACTTTAATGTACAGAATTTCCCTAAAAATGCAAACACGTATGTATGCATGCATGCATGCATGTATCATTTGGCACATTTGCATCACATTCAATAAACACAAAAATTCAAAATACAAAATATAAAATGTGAAATTATAAATGTATGTCTAGATTACAGATATAATTTTTACTTCATTTATGACAGCCAGGAAATCAGCAAAGTCTTCATTAAAAGCTCTGTTTTGTCACTGTCACTATATCTTGCATTATTTGTTTTTCAGCCTCACAATTCACAATTTGCCGCAATTTGGTGATGGTGTTTTGCCACACTTATAGAGGGTGCTTGCACATTTACCATGGCCAGTGCGAATTTGGTTCAGTATTTTCCGTATCCACACACCAAATTAACACAAATTAACAATGAAAATACAGTGAAACTTTGGGAAAGGTAGATTTATTGTAACAATATAGGTAAAAGGTTCTTCACACCTTCCTAGAATCTGTCAGTACTTCCTGAAGAGTGTCTTCCTGGAAACCCTGGTTTAAGGTGTTCCCAACAGGTTCTACATGATCCAAATCACACTTTGAACATGGATCACTTCTCGGGGCTTGTGTTTTCATAAGCATTGACCCACAGGTATAAATAATAATAAAATTGAAAGGGAGGTCATCTAGTCCAACCCTCTGCTCAGGCAGGAAACCCTGTTTTATTTCAGACAAATGGCTGTCTGGTCTCTTCTTAAAAACTTCCAGTGTTGGAGCATTCACAGCTTCTGGAGGCAGGTTGTTTCACTGATTAATTGTTCTAACTGTCAGGAAGTTTCTCCTTAGTTCTAGGTTGCTTCTCTCTGGTTAATTTCCATCCGTTGCTTCTTTCCTGCCTTCAGATGCTTTGGAGAATAGCTTGACTCCCTCTTCCTTGTGGTAACCCCTGAGATATTGGAACACTACTATCATGTCACCCCTCATCCTTCTCTTCATTAAACTAGACATACCCAATTCCAGCAACCATTCCTTATATGTTTTAGCCTCCAGTCCCGATCATAGGTTGCCAACTATAATTTAGTTCAATGTGTTGTGTAGTTAGTCTAAGGAACATTGGGTCATATATATCCAAATCTTGATTCAGTTAATTATAGTCAATCTCTTGGAGAAATATATCCATTTTTTCTGGGAAAATCCTACAGAATTAAGGTTTTGGTTCATTTAAAGCAAGATTCAGCAACTTGAGTCCTTAGGGTTACATGGAGGCCTACAAATAATTCCTTTCTTGTAGCCCACAAGCCTCTATTGACCAGAGTTGCCAGAAATTGGAGTTAAGATTTTTGAGGTGGGAAAAAGAAAAAAAATACTATCTAAGTATCATCTTAATTGTCAATAAAGCAAAGAAACAGCACTAAGCTCTTGGTATTACCTATTGTATAACTTAGACTTTTACAACATTAAATGCAACTCTTGGCCATCAAAATATTGCCTACTTGCTTAAGGGATCCACAAGACTTACTGAAGTAGCACACAGGTGATTTTGATGCTCCAATTTTAATGAAAGAACACTTGATTCTCTTCTCAGATAAAGAGGTCCATACTTCATTCAGCTGCCTGGAGTTATTCAGGCTTAAAGGCTTTAAGGTAGAAAGATAATGGCTGCAGTTGACTTTCTTTTAGAATAGCAATTTTTAACTTCTCTCTACTCTAAAAGGCTTTTAACTCATTAACTGAACAAGAAACAAAGCAGGATTGGATTTTTGTTAATTTACTCAGTACTATTAGAAGCCATCCATGGATGGGGAATTCTCATTGGAAAGCTACCTAGATGAGTGTTCAAGCCAGGTAAAGTCCAGGTTGTTAGTTTAGGTTAGTATAAAAATGGCTCTGATGTATCTTTTTGTGCTTGTGTTCACGTGAATGGGGACTACATTTTAATGTATTTTGTTGTGCTAATCTTAAGATGTATATTACTAGTTTATTTTGTGAAGCCATAAAAAGCAATTGTGTATAAGTGTGTATGAACTTCAACCTTTCTCTAATGTCAGTTATTATTTGGAAAATATTACATATTTTTCTATGGCTAGGAAATCCTAGAGTTATACATTAACTGTGAAGTTAAGCAGAGTGGGATTTGGTGAGAAATATTGTGAAATTCTAGGGCTGCAGGCTGGACTAGGAAGCTGTCCAGTTTGGCTAAAAGAAACCATTATCTTTGATTGGTAAAACTTTTTTGTTTCTTGCTTCCTGAAAGTACAAATATCCTGCTTCAATAAATTTAGCAAGTATCTTATCTATGTGACATTCTCAGCCTATTAAATTGGCAGGCAGTCTGTAAGAAGGACAACGTGCCTGTTCTATCTTATTTATTCTACTACATTCAGCTTATATACAGTATATGTGTTCTAATGATAAGATAATTCTAGATAAGTGTTACCAAATGGCAAACTATGCATTGAGGGGTGGTGGATTCTCTGTTAAATTAACAACAGGCTAGAGTAGATTATTTTAACTGGGGATTTGCTGAGTCTTTAGCACTTCCCATTGTTCCACTTGGCACCATAGTTGCCTGAGACAATTAATGAGTTATAGCCAAACAAAAGTGGTGACTTCAAACCTCTAAGGGAACTTCCTAGCTGACCCCTTTCTTGAATAATAGATTTTGAGGAAATTCTCTTCCTCAAAAGTAAATAAGTTTTATTTAATTAGAGTCAACTAAATTTACACAGTGCACTAGGCCATAAATTGCTTTGCCCGGGACTGTTTAAAAACTCAGAATTGATTTAGAGCACATAATCTGCTACACCATAGATCATGGTTTCCGTATCACTGTAGATGGGGAGTTGTATTGATCTATGATGGTGAGAAATGAGAAGTTTGGTAGTGATTTTTCTAACACTTTTTATTAAAAGACATGAGATTTCATGAGCTGCTGTCCACTTGATCACATGTAGAGAATGGCTAGTTCTATCTTTACTTCATCAGATGCATAACCAGATCCTATAACTGATGAAATAAGCAGCAACTCACAAAATCTCATGCCTTTTAAGAAGTATTAGAAAAAGTACTACCAGTATTCTGATTTTTTTAAATCACAACCTAGGGTTATCAATCATACCTAATCAGGATAAACAAGAAGAAATTTCTCTGGCAGGGCCCTCTAAGATTAACATTGATCTCTTCTGAATTCATGGAATAAATAATTAACTTGATTTGTTCAGCCCATTTGCCTAGAAATAAAAATTGGGAAATTCATAGAATTTGCTTCCAAATAAATGTATTAAGAATTATAATGTTGTAGAGAGATTATTCAAGGGAGAAAAACAGTATCTCGTAAAATTCAGGGTCCAGGAGCATCCTGGTTCATTTTAAAAACAATGCCTCTTCCAGCCTGAAAAAAGGCATAAAGCTGTTTATTAGTCTTATTAAAAATAAAAAATCATTTGCTATTGTACATATTGGTAAAATTTCTCGACAAAAAAACTGAGTTTGTTAACTGAGCTTCTGTTTGTGGTTTGCAAGCCTGACTTTAAGTTTTACTACTGTGTGTGTTTAAAAAAACCTCTTCTTCCATTTACCTCCTGTTTTTGTACAACAATCAAAGCGAAGTCATTAAATACCATGCATCATAGTACATAGGAAATTATGGTGTTACTAAGGGGCTGGTACTCTGTAGATATGGATAACTTTGTGTAGTACTTTAGGAATCCATAAAATCAAAGTGCCTGAAATGTTTTCTGCCCTCTATCGTTGAAGGATGATCTTCCATCAAATAGCCCTCAAATGTATTCTCCCATGAGTCCCTTTGGGTCAGATTTGCCTATTTCTGCCATTCCGGGCACATTGTTTACTCCTCAGCCTGACCAAGACAAAGACTTCTCTTCGGTAGATCTCAGCTTCCTGCCAGATGATTTTGGACAAGATGGCAAACATGGCAACAACAACAACATGCTGGAAGAGTATCAAAGCCCCCAGCTCGGAATACAAGACAGTGGAATCTTCTCGGAAGACAGTGGGGGGTCCCAACAGAGGGATGAAAATGCAATTCAGCCATTGCCTGATTTATCTGGGACGTGTCCCTCCATGGCCCCCATGACTCCTGTGACCCCTACTTCAGAAGCTTCTGGCATTATCCCACAGTTACAGTAGGTTTTACTCAAAAGCTAGTTGATTTGGCACATTGGCATTTGCCACATTTTAGTCAAGCATGTTAATGAAAACCCAATTAGTGGGAGTAGTTAATGATTTGGCAGAATATTCAGTCCCAGAATTTTGATTGAGTAAGCTATGAATAAGTCAAGCATATGGCATGAAAAAAGGGGCAAAGATGCAATTGTTAAGTTTCCTAGGCAACAGTACTGAAGTGACTTGCCATTAACGTTTTCCAGAATGACTATGCTTCCCAGTTTAGCATACAGTTCTGATATTCCCTGGTAATCTCCTGTCCAAATATAAATATAGCCTCTATATTTAAATGCAATGTATTTCTATCGTATTATTGGAAACAGACCTGCATAATGTGAGAGTGATAGCTTTTTAGCATATAATTAAGACTAAATTCAAAGTGATTAGAAAATCCAAATATAAAGCAGGATTACAGCTATATTAATAATTGGATGAGTAGATGGGAGTGGATTTTAAAATCTAATGTAAATCATAGAGACCTGCATTTCCATCCTCTCCCTCCCATCAGTTTGCAGTTCATTTTCAGTAAGAGTCACTTTAGATTGTTATTCACATATCATGACTAAGCAATGCTTTTAGAATTAGAATTAGAATAATAGAGTTGGAAGGGACCTTGTAGGTCATCTAGTCCAGCCCAAGCAGGAGACCCTACCCCATTTCTGACAGATAGCAGTCCAGTCTCTTCTTGAAAGAACTCTCACAACATCTGGAGGCAAACTGTCCCATTGGTTGATTGTTCTCACTGTCAGAAAATTTCCCCTTATTTCTAGGTTGAATCTCTCCTTGATCAGTTTCCATTCGTTATTCCTTGTCTTGCCTTCAGGTGCTTTGGAAAATAGGTTGATCTCCTCCTCTCTATGACAGCACCTCAAATATTGGAAAATGCTATCATGTCTCCCCCGGTCCTTCTCTGCACCGGACTAGCCATACATAGTTCCTGTAACTGTTCTTCATTTGTTTTAGCCTCCAGTCCCCTCATCATCTTTGTAGCTCTTCCCTGCACTCTTTCTAGAGTCTCAACATTTTTTTGGATTGCAGTGACCAAAACTGGATGCAATATTCCAAGTGTTGTTTTACCAAGGCATTATAAATTGATATTAACATTTCACATGATCTTGATTGTAATCCCTCTATTGATGCAGCCCAAGACTGCATTGGCTTTTTTGGCAGCTGCAGCACACTGCTGGCTCATACTTAAGTGATTGTCCACTGCGTGAATGTTCCCCCAACAGAACAATTTCTGAGAAAGAAGAGCCGGTCTTAAATGTGGAGAATCTTGTACAATGGAAGGGAAAAACTAATTTGGCTAGTAGAAAATTTACAGAAAAGGGATGGGTGATGGTAGGCAGGGCAAAATGGGATATAACCATGATTAAACCCTTCTCCAGTTTCACACAATCTATATGTGTATACTTTTGGTTTTTCTTGCCTAAGTATAAGACTTTTTCTCTACATTTCTCTCATTTTGTTAGATAGGGTCCAGTATTCAAGTCTGTCAAGATCCACGTGGATCCTGAGTCTACCATCTAGAGTGTTGGCTATTCCTGCTAGCTTAGTATCATCTGCAAATTTGATAAGTTCCCCTTCTATACCCTCATCTAAGCCATTTATGAAGATGTTGAAGAGTACTGGGCCTAGGACAGAGTCTTGTGATACCCCCTGCTCACTTTCCTCCATGTAGACGTGGTTCCATTAAGGACTACTCATTTTCTTTAACTATAACATACTGTATAAATGAGCCACTCTTGGCTGGTTTCAAATGATATTTAATCTAAATTAAATTATGACTTAGGGTAATTTGCGATGCCAGACTCGCTGATACATGCTTAGAAAATCTTCTAAGTTTTTTACCTAGTTCACTTTCAACTGAAAGTAGTAGAATATGGCCTGCTATCTATTAGCTCAGCGGCAGTATCTGATGAACCTTGTGCTGTAAACTAGATAGGGAAATGAGGAAAAAAATAATTCTGGAAGATGACATAGTCTCAAAGAGCCAGATTTGACTAAAAGGAAGGAAATATTAGCATCAGAATCCACAAGACCTCTTCAAAGGTAGCAAGTTGTTGGGTGTATCCATGCCATAGCTGTGCCACTGTTGTGAGGGCTCAGTTGGGCAATTTTATTGGCTGAGTGAGAATATTTTGGTAGCCTACCAACTTCAGTTAAGCATTTGACAGATCTTTTTACTATGTTCTGAGGGTTAAAATATTGTAAAATTCTTTACCAATCAAAGAAGTAAACCTTGAGCCATTTCATAGCAGGGAGGAAGCATAGCCTTTCTCTCTTACTAAAATAGTAAAATGGGCCAGAAGCTACGGCAAATAAATTTGCAAAGAAGAAGAGATGAACTTCAGTAGAAAGAACAGAAGGAGATGATGCTATGGAGTTCTTGGTGCTATTTGAGCTTGATTTTTTTGGGCTTGCAGAGGTTTCATTACCCAACCAAATAATGTTGAATGCTGAAGGGGATGTGTTCCAGTCTTTTTGTTTCCTAGGGAACCACATTTCCTTCATCAGCCAACACTCAGATAAGCAGGCATCAATACTAGACAGGCAGAAAACAAGGTATCCCAGCAAAAGTAGCAGGGCAAGCTATAATATATAAACAGGCAGCAAACCCTACACTGACTCGCACTGAAGATGTTACCTAATTGGGTAGGAGAGGGCTGGAGGTTGCCAAATTGGAAAACCTCTAAAAAGTATTGTTAGTAGGATACATCTACAAAGCCAATATGACAATCTGCATCTACTTAGAAGCAGAGAACAAAACTACGCACCTGAATTTGAGAACAATTGTGCTCATTTCTTGTTTTGAGAAAACCCATTTTAAAAAATGAGAACAAGATTCAGAATTCTGTAATGGATATATTGGGTAAAAGTTTTTTTTTATTTGATTACTCTCATAGGCTGAGGGCATCAAATTATCTATTGCTGCTAACTTCTCTGAATCTGTTGGAAACCAATCATCTTCAAATGACAACGGGACTTTTTATAAGTTAAGATATGGAAATTTATTAAGCAGCTTTGTGTGTGTGCAAAAATTGCCAACTGTAAAACCATACAATATTTTTGAGACATTTATAATAACACAGCATCATTATATTCAACATATGATAAAAAACAGTTTTCCAGAATTGGATGGCCAATTCTTATAATACAAGGTAACAGATATACATAAAACAAGTGAACTATCTTTTGAGTGTTTCAAACTACCCCTGTTTCTACTGTCTACTTCTTTTTTAATCCAAACAATCCTGGACAGTTTCACCACTGTCTATTTCTTACCCTTCTCTTCAAGCAAGACAGCAAATGTCTTATCAAATAGTTCAGCCTCTTAATATTTTCATAGCATGGTTCAGCTGCAAATCCTTCATCTTTAAGGCTATTTCTCCAAGTTTTGAGTTGTTTTGATGTACCCTTGGTAATTGCAGGGTGGAGAGAAGAGAGATTGCTCACCAGCTGGATTAAATAATGAAGGTGTCCACACTCCTTCCCTTCTGATAAACATGACTCAGTATCATGAAAGAGCCATCCAGAATCCTATATAATTACGAAGTAAGAGGAAAAAAAGATGGAGGGGAAGAATAAGATGAGAACTACTCAATAGAATGAAGGGCACAAGTCATAATTCTTTTCCTTTTTTCCTTATCTATTCTTTGATTCTTTTTGCTTGTATTGCAATTAAACATAATTAAAAATGTTATTTTTAAAGAGAACTGCCAGAAGCCAAAAAGACAGTTCAGTAGAGTCAAATTTTGGGTTATAGTTTTCAACAATTCTGTTGAGGATCAGACACTGTTAATCATATCTTTAGATTTAGCAAACTTCTTGAAAAGATTAAGCAGTATGTGGATTTTTCACCTTGATAACATCTTAGCAAAACTACTAAGAAAAGCCTAAAATGGCAAAGTATATGCTGTGGATACTAGGAGATCATCAAGTCTAGCCCCATTGCTATCTATCAGTCTTTGTGTTGGCAGAAAAACATATCAGCAAAAAATTTGCTTCTCTTGTTGCTGGTACCAGTTTTGTCATTAGGAAAAAATATGTTTCCAGGACAGAAATGTTTGTGCCACATTTAGGCACAAGTAGGGAAATGCTGTAAGAATCAGATAGCCCTGAATTATCAGAAAGTTGATAATCTCTAGATCAGGGGTCCCCAACCCCCAGTCCATGGACAGGCGCCCATTCACGCCATGCCAGAAAATAGTCCACACAAACAAGCAAAGCCCCATCCACGAGATGCAGGCAGCATGCAAAATCATGCCCCCTCCGGTCCATGGAAAAACCTCTCTCCACAGAACCTGCTGCTCAAAAGGTTGAGGGCCGCTGCTCAAGATAACACAGTATAAATACCATTGTACCCAAATAACACAATGTATTACTTGTGTTTTTTAATGAAACAATAAAATAATATTTTTAAAAAAATAATTCAAGAGCCTGTGATGACTCCTGGAGTAAAAAGAAAAATGAAAAAGAAACTGTTTTTACTTATGTTATTGCATTTCTTTTATGTAAAGTTCCTAAAGGCTTTTTTGTCCCTGTTGTTCTACCAGGAACATAGTAGCCACTGTAAATTTGGCTTGCAAATTGGACCTAAAGAATATAGCTCTTCAAGCCAGAAATGCAGAATATAATCCAAAGGTAAGCACCAGTTCTCTCTCTCATCTAAGGATTTTTTCCCCACCTCTGAGACTGCTTCTCTTCAAAATCTGACCTCTCTAAATATGTTTCAAGCAATTGCTTGGCCTAAATAGATTCTCTTTAAGTTTGCTTTTTCCAAGGTGGCTTCATAGTAGTGTCCTGGCCAGTGAATGTCTACTTATAATTGCCATGCTTTGTTTGCTCATTTCTTATCTATATTCACTCTGCTATTCTTCTGCTATAGAAGGCTGTCTATACAACGCAGGACACACCCCTGACAACCCCATAACACCTCCGTAACATCTCCAAGCCTTGGCTAGCATATCTTACTGAGCTCAAAAGATACGGTTGCCCAAAGCAGTACTTTTGAGAGTCTGGAAAGTCAACTCTACTTCCACTTATATTTTATAACCAAAGAGCAATTTGTTGTGCTAGTCTATATTATCCCACTCCCTCTGCTATCTCACCTATTCTTCCCTGCTTTTATTGAAAAATTAATTTCTGCTTTGCATGTCTATAGGGATACTCAGTCATCCAGGTCACGGTTGTTCCAAAAGTGCTTTTTCCAAAAAGCAACTGGACTTTCTTCTTTGACAACGTTTCACTTCTCATCCAAGAAGCTTCTTCAGTTCTGAGAATTGAAGTTGTGAGAACTGAGAACTCAAGAGAACTGAAGAAGCTTCTTGGATGAGAAGCGAAACATTTTCAAAGTAAAAAACAAAGTTCAGTTGTCTTTTGGAAACAAACACTTTGAAACATCCTGCCCTGCATGTTCCAAGCCAGTTGTATGTAGCCCACACAATTTCTACATTGTTAATGAATGTAACTGAGCAGTGGGTCTCAAATTCCTTTCCAGCAAGCCAATTCACACTGGTCTGTTTCCTGCTTTGGAGTAATAGCTTGGTAGTTCTTGCTGTAACTACCAGGAAATGCCACATTTGGCATTATCCTTTTAATTTTGGACTCCGAGAGAAAGTTTAATGTTTTCTGATAATTAAAAGTAAATAATATTATTGTTTGGGTAAAAAGCATAGAGGTACTGTATCTGATTAGATGTTTCAAGCCCACCAAAGATTAAGAAAATCTAACTTTATTTTTTGAAAAAATAAAATATAAAAGCCCTGAAAATCACAAAAGAAAATACAGTATTCCAAGCAGATGGTGCTGGTCTGCTACAAAGGAATGCTTTTTCAAGATGTTGCAGATTAACAGACTACCAAAAGATTATAAATAAAAATAATTTCCTGCCTATCTAAAGAATAGTCAGCAAAATTGAGGCTATGCATTTCCTAATTTTGAATAGAGAATAATAATGTTAGATGTTTGTCAGAACAAAGAAAGAAATCAGACTTAATGTAAATTTGGCTAGATTTGATACCTATTTAGAACTAGACTTCTCTTGAAAAGAGGCAATCCCTTGTTTTCAATTAGCTGGATAGTCCTCACAGGCCTGGTAAGTCCAAATATATCAGGACATATAAATCATTTGAATAGATAAAAGGCTACATTCACATTTTTTATTATAGACTTCATTGACAATGTTTATAAGCTATCTTTTATAAGGAGAGACCTATTTATGTAAGGGTTTATATTTTCCCAGGCCGGTAAGGTCATGTGCAACTATTGAAGCAATCTCAAAATAAGGATAGAATGGGAAGAAAAATGTTTATAGTTTTCAATGGTCTAGCAATTAAGGCTAGAAAGCAGGAGATTATGAATTCTAGTCCTTCCTTAGCCATGAAAGCCAGATGGGTGACCTTGGGTCAGTAACTCTCAGCCCAACTCCCCTCACAGGGCTGCTGTTATGGAGAGAATGGAAAGAAGAAAGAGTACTGGATATGTTCACTACCTTGAGTTATTTGTAAAAAAGTAATAGCAAGATACACATAAATAGATATTCATACAGTGATTAATATAGTTTTAAAAGAATTTTAAATTTGGGTTTTTCTGAATTTTAGAGATTTGCTGCTGTAATTATGAGAATTAGAGAACCAAGAACAACTGCCCTTATATTTAGTTCTGGTAAAATGGTGTGCACAGGAGCCAAAAGGTAGGAATGCTAAACTTTACAAAATTCCTCATCTAAGGATAGGATTGTTGTGATATAAGGCTAATGTGATTGATTCAGACCATTAAAACTCCATCTAGTTTAGGCTGGTCATCAAACAACACTGTAACCATCCTAAGAAACAGCCAAAATCTTTTAAATGTTTTTTAAAACAATAAGTACATGTACATTTATTGTATTGGGAATACCAATTAATGTAGTGCCACAAGACCAACTAGTGCAGTGGTTCTCAACCTGTGGGTTGGGACCCCATTTGGGGTCGAACGACCATTTCACGGGGGTCGCCAAACAACGCAGTCTGCCATTTTTTCCCCTTTTCCTTAGCTGTGCTACTCCCTTTTATTCTATTGACTTTTGAAAGCCAATAGAATAGACTCTCTTGAATAGAGTCTAATTCTATTGGCTTTCAAAAGCCAATAGGAATTGTCCAGGCTGTCTCTGCCCTGCTGAGCCCGCCAAAAGTCCCATTCTGCAAACAGTGCTGCACCAGTTGAGTAGTCCTTGACTTATGACCGGTTGAGTAGTCCTCGACTTACGACCGGTTGGGGGTCGCGGCATTAAAAAGGTTGAGAACCACTGAACTAGTGCATTGTCAAATATAGGGCCCTTGGAAATTCCATTAAAAAAAATAGAAATGTTCTTATAATATTCCACCACACTATGGTTAATTAATCTTCCCAAACCTGCTACTTACTAGGTGTGTTGAACTACAGTTCCCATAGATCATCAGCTAGCATGGACAGTGACATGTTCGGCTGAGTATGAAAGGATCTGTACTGGTATTGTTCATTTAACAACAGCAATTGGTTTCAAGAAAATAGTTTGAGTCATTGTGCAATGGCAAGCGGCATAAACTTGATCTCGCCCAAAGTCCATGAGGCCTTACCTGGTCATCCCTAGAGGAATAAAAGCAGTCTGGTGAGGTTTTTGTAGGCAATAAACAATAAAGTGCCTGACTCAAGGTATTTTGAGTAGTTCTGGTTGCTGGTGCCTGACAGCACTCCAATTTTTTTGTTCAGTGGCAGGAAACTATGATAGATATTTCTAGTAATTGTGGCATGAGAAACCTTCAGAAGCCAAAATAACCGGTTGGGAGAATACAGGTGACTAAGAGAATAGAAATTACTCACTCTTGTCGTAAAGCTTTGCTGGCTGGCTTTGTTTTTTCATGCTTGTTGTAAATTTGCAGTGAAGAGCAGTCACGACTGGCAGCCCGAAAATATGCTCGCGTGGTACAGAAACTCGGATTTCCTGCAAAATTCCTGGATTTCAAAATACAGAACATGGTGGGCAGTTGTGATGTGAGATTTCCCATCCGCTTAGAAGGATTAGTTCTAACTCATCAACAATTCAGCAGGTATGTCTCTCCCCATGTGTGTACAAGGAGAAAAAGCACCAGGAAGACTTTGGCTTCCATCATAACTGACCATTCATTTGCTGGTTGAGATGATGGGTGGGGCCTAAAGTTGGGAAAGGCAGATGAATATCAAAATAGTATTTCTACTGGTTGTTCAGATAGGTTGGCTAAATAGTCTTGGGAGGCTACTAAATTCTGGAATATGTGCCCCTTTGCTTCAGATCTAAAGACTGGCATTTGGGTTTTTGCTGTTCTGCGGTGCATATAATGAAAGAGCTTATGGCATCAATTAGCTGTCTTCTAAGAGAAAGCAGTTATATTTATCCATGCAAAAACTATTGCCCAGTTTCTCAATTAATGATGAGTTTGGAAACTCATGACTCAGATATTTTTTTCAGGATCTGAATGATCTCACAAGATTGTGCTATTTGCTCTTTCTTACAAAAATCAGAATTTATTGCCAAAAAATCCTGGGTTGTCTTACTAATCTAAACGCAAATGCTCATGTTGGCTGGGTCTGATGTGTTTTTCTGAAGTCATCATCTTTCATTTTGTTTTTCTGTGCATCCCATTTAGATTTGTTTCAAAAGAACCATATATAACCAGATAGGATTTCACCAACTAGTATTACATACTTGGACACTTTTTTTATTTATATCCCTCTTTTCTATTCAGCTTGAGCACTCAGGGTAACACATTGGATAAGTGTCCATATTTGGGGCAAGAGGCATACGTGGAAATTGGGGTGTGGGCTATGAAAATTCTAGAAAAAGGCTGGCCATTCTAATTTGCATCTGGAAAACAGCTACTACCATAAAGCAACTAGTGTGGGTATTTCTGATCATCCCTCTATCTTTTCAAGGCATTTTAACAACCTTTTACCTTTCTCTTTTTAATGTGAAGGTGGACATATTGTTACTAGGGTTGTTTAATGCTTCAATTTCTATTGGAAAAGATACTTCAAAACATTCAGAAATGCAAATGCAGCTTCTGTAGCTGATTAAAGCAGCCTTGTCTTTTTTTTTAGGCTGGTATCTGCAACCCTGGAAACTGATGCAATTGCTTTAGTGGGTCACAAAACAGGAGCTGCATTTACATTCTTCATGCACTACAACATCTCACCTTCCATTTTATTTTCTTAGATTGAAGGTCTGTATGGGGCTCAGATATATTATTTAAAATATAAATTATATCTGAGGCTGCTACTTTACTTTATAGTGCACAGTTACCAGTTTTCAAAGCATATTAAAATCTGATAGGGCAGAAAATATGGATGGCACTATGAAACATGAGGCAGCATGACCAAAGTAGTAGGCTTTGTACAGAACATGAACCCATAGCTATCCCAATATATAAGGAATTTGTCATATAGAGATGTTATTCAGGGGGGAATGCTGTAGCACTATTGGTGTTTGAACAAAGTCATTTTCCAGCATTTTAAAAATGTATTCACTACAATTTATATGCCACGTACTAGAAAGACTCCAGGCTATTTTCTAGAACAGTGATGGCGAACCTTTTAGAGACCGAGTGCCCAAAAACTGCCCCATGCCTGCCCCACACCCCGAGCTGCCCCCACTCCACCCCTGCCTCACCCACCTGCAGGGCCACCCATCACCTCCATGGCCCGCTGATTGCCCAGGTTGCCCAGCAGCACCATGGCAGCCACGACCTCCACTCGTGCCTAGCAGCAGCATCTGTTTACGATGGGGCACAAGGGTAGAGTCTTGTCCCCACTGCCCTGCTACCATGTCCTTGGCTGTGCTGCTCCAGGGGGCCGTGCCTGGGGCAAGTCTCCTCTGGGGGGGCTACTGGTGTGGAGGGGGCTGTGAGGGGGAGGCGGGGCTGGGGCAACAGCACATGTGCCCACAGAGAAGGCTCTGAGTGTCACCTCTGGCACTCGTGCCATAGGTTCGCCACCACTGTTCTAGAATGTAAACGAAGTAGCTGTCAGCTGATTTTTTTTAATGTGTTTTTGAAAGGAGATATCCAGTTAATTAAGAGTACAGCCTCCCTATTGTAATTATGCAAACTGAAGTAACTTATTTAATTGTAAGTATAAAAATTGAAGTACAAACCATTTTTACATGTAATTTTTGCTTGTCAAAGAGCAAACTAAGGAATTAGAATGTCATTGATAAAGGGAATGGGACAGGATAAAAAGTTAAAAGGAGCCAATAGCAGGGAAGAACAGACTGTATTTTTTAGGCACTAGAAATTCCAAAGCTATTTAAAAAAAAATTGAAGAAATCTCTAAAAGATAACTTGTTGGCTCATAGGTAATAAATTTTGTCTATTTTAATTTTTTCCTGAAAATTGTAGTTATGAACCAGAACTGTTTCCTGGGCTTATCTACAGGATGGTCAAACCAAGAATTGTACTGCTTATTTTTGTGTCTGGAAAAGTTGTTTTAACTGGTAAGTGATTAAGTTGTATATAAGCAGTCTGTTTCTGCATCCCTAACACATACACAAACATTGCAGGGCATATTTATCTTTCTTATATTACTATTATTATTATCAAATTTAGGTATCGCCAAACTTGTGGTTCAAGGAGACTCTGTTGGAGCTGAATGAAACTATTCTTTTAGACTAGTGTTTCTCAATTTTGACAACTTTAAGTTATGTGCACTTTCAATTGTTGGATACTATAGTTGAACTGAATAGGCAAATTCCAATGGAAGAATGCAGTCCTATAGAGCAGGGGTTCCCAACCCCCGATCCATGAACCAGTACTGGGCTGCGGCATGCCAGCAACCGGGCCTCACAAATTAGCAAAGCCCCATTCACAAGATGCAAGTAGCACACAAAACCATGCCCTCTCTGGTCCGTGGAAAAAATTCTCTCCACGGAACCGGTTCCTGGTACCCAAAAGGTTGGGAACCTCTATTGTAGAGCAGCGGTCCCCAACCTTTCTGGCTTGGTGGCCTGTCGTGGGGTGTGTGTCTGAGTAGCAGGCGCACACGCACATGGACAGCTCCATTTGTGTGAGTGACATGAGCATGCTCTCCACTCATGGAGCTTCACACACAAGCAAAAGCACCCTCCACTTACGTGGAGTTTCACAAGCAAATGCAATAGTCCTCTGCTCACGCAAGTGCAGGTTCATGAGCATGCACTTACCCATCTCTCCCACAGCCCAGTATTGAACAGGCTGAGGCCCGGTAATGGGCTGCGGTCCAGGGGCTGGGGACCCCTACTGTAGAGGACCTAAGATTTTATAAGATAGTTACAGCACTTTAAATAACCCTTTTAACACTTACTGGCAACAAGTACAGGCCCCACAATATTGCTGCGATGTGCTCCCATTGAGGAGCTGTGGTGGTGCAATGGTTAGAATGTAGTATTGCAGGCTAACTACACAATGCTAGAAGTTTGATCCTGACCAGCTCAAGGTTGAGTCAGCCTTCCATCCTTCAAAGGTTGATACATGAGGACCAGAGTATTGGGGGGGGGCAATAAGCTGACTATGTAAACTTAGCGAGTGCTGTAAAGCACTATGAAGTGGGGTATGTAAGTCTAAGTGCTATTGCTAATGCTATTGCCAAACAGAATGCACAGAAAGCTGCATTCTGAATCAACTGAAGCTCACAAGTGACTTTCAAAGGTAGCCCATGTTGAGAGCATTGCAATAGTCTAAGATAGTGGTGATGAGGGAATCAATCATTGTAGAAAGTTCCTCCCACTCCGGTATATTGGCAACTGGCACACCAATCAAAGCTTAAAAAGTCCATTCTGGCCACAGCCTCCATCTCCTGTTCTAACAGGAGCTGTGAGTCCAGAACCCCAAATCATACTATCTCCTTCAGGAAAAGTGGCATCTCATCAAGAGACATCTCTGGAGCAGACAATAAATCCCAATGGGCAATAGTAACTCCATCTTACTAGGCTTCTGTTAAGCCCATTCTCTCTCATGCAGACCTTATCAGTCTAGCATGAGGTAACAGTGTAAAGTTGGCCATTATCACTATCTTGATATAAACGTCCAAAGTTTGGATTATCTCTTCCAATGGCTTTATATGAATGTTAAATAGGAAGGGGACAGAACTGACCCTTGGGGCAATCCTCCCCTCCCCACACACAGAGGAATAGCCATTGGTTTGATCTCTCCTATCCCAACTGGAACTGTCCACCAAGAAACTTCGTAACAGAGTGCCCCCAATCCCCAACAATGGAGGGGGTCTAGAAAGGATATCATAGTTGGTTTCAAAGGCCGGTAAGAGTTCTAAAAAATGATGATAGATGTACTTCCTACTTTATAATAAATTCATAATGAAATATAATAGAGATGAACATGAAGTTCTTCACGTAGGAAAAAGAAAGCAATAATGATAGATAAAAAGGTTGGATTATACCATATGTAAAAAGGAACTTCCAAGCTGAATATGAATCAGCAGTACTATATGTGTCTGCTGACTTTAAAAACCGTAATTATATGTTGCATCAGTAAAAATATAATTTCCAAATCAAGGGAAGTAATATTTGTACTCCATTCACCATTAGTCAATATTCACTCAATGCCTCAACATTCTGGACATTGCACTAGGACAGGTGCACAGAAGAGCAGGGGAGACTGAGGAAATTCCATATTTAGTTTGAGAAAAGATTATCTGAACATGTCCCATTATCTGAACATGTCAAAGAACAATTTGAGCATAGGCTTGAGCATCTGAGGATCTACTTACCTCCAATAAAGTCTGCCCTCCAATAAAACTGAGCAGAGTGGGTGCACTCCAGATCCTTTCAGTTCAAAAACAGTGTCATCTATTGGGATGTAGGAAATGGGATTTCTATATTGTGCCTGCTCTCTGGAATTGCATCCCTCTGAAGATATGTACTGTTCTTGTCCCAACGTTTTGAAAGTCACTTAAAACTCAGTTTTGGTTCCAGGTCTGGCAGGGTAGGATGGCTGCTAAGCCCCTCTCATGGTTTTTTTTTTTTAAGGTATTTTTGGAACATTGTATTTATCTATCTGGAAGTTCAGGATTTTTCATGCTTTTTCTTTTTTTTCTTTCTTTTTCTTTCTCTTTCTTTGTTTCTGTCTTTTAATTGATCATGTACGCCACCCAGAGTGATCTGGAATCAGGCAGCCTCTAAATTTAACAAAATAAATACAATGATAATAAGTAAGTCATAGTGTTGCCTGTAGCCCCAGAATGCAGGATACAGAATAATCTTAAATTCAGGAAAGCAATTTCCTATTGATTTTTAGGAACATCTTTAATTCTATTAAGTTAAAAGCATTTTCATATATCTGAATATGCACACCTATATATTATTATATAGAAATACAAATACATTCCATTATTCCCCAAGTTAGTGGTACAGAACTGCAGGTTAAGAACATGCTTTTCGTAGTGGGATGAAATTAAATGTAGTTAGAACTAATTCTAAAATTATTTTTAGGTGCCAAAGACCGTTCTGAAATATATGAAGCATTTGAAAACATATATCCAATTTTAAAAGGTTTCAAGAAAATCACTTAAGTTATTTTTTTGAAAAATTGTAAAGAATAAAAAAGTGTGTATATATAGCAAATGTTCTAGTATTTCAAACCTATACACAGTAATTGATGGACATAGCTTCTTGCCTTAATTTTGTCTCATTTAATGTTCATCACATATTTGTAAATATACCTTAGAAAAAAATTGAATGTTAGTATTCAAATACATGAATTCAGTAGCATACTGAAAATTATTTAAATTGAATTCAGTGTGGAGTAACCTCCATGTAATTATTTTGCATAAAATAAACTAAAATATAAAGTAATGATTTAGTGCTAAATAAATATGTAATTGCCTAAGAGCGATTGATTGTAAGCTGCCTAGAGTGGTTTATTTGGCTTTGATTTCAATAAATCTTAATGAGATCATCACTTACCATGTGTAAATCAGGACATTTAATTATGCAGGTAGTCCTCAACCTACAACCACAACTGAGCCCAAAATTTATGTTTCTAAGTGAGAAATTTGTTAAGTGAGTTTTGCCCCATTTTATGCCTTTTCTTGCCATATTTATTAAGTGAATCACTACAGTTCTTAAATTAGTAACACCATTGTTAAGTGAACCTGGTTTCCTCATTAACTTTGCTTGTCAGGTCACAAAAGACGATCACATGACCCCTGGACACTAAAACGGTCATAGATATGAGTCAGTTGCCAAGCATCCGAATGTAAATCACATGACCATGGGGATGCTGCAATGGTCATAAGTGTGAAAAATCAACTTTTTCACTGCCGTTGTAACTTCAAATAGTCACTAAATATGCTGTTGTAAGTCGAGGACTACCTGTAGTTAATACTGGTTATCTGATCTTGGTTGCAAGCTCATTGAGTTCTGTTTACTTTAATCTAATACTTTTGTTTTAACATCTGAATTTGAGCTAACAGATGTCATGGGGGGGGGGAGGAACCCGGACAACCATACAATTGATTAGAGAGATAAAAATAACTATAACCCGTTGCTGCCTTCTAAAGGTTTTTGCAGAGCAGATTTCTAGCCATATTGTAGAAAGTGGAGGCAAGGAAGAAATACAGGAGTAAAGTATACACAGCCATATAAGTCCTGTAAATAAAAAAAATGAATAGAATAGTATAGAATGTAGAACAGAAACGTTACTGTCACTTTAAATGTACACTAATCAACTTACATTAAAATTAAATCGCAGATGTTTCTCTCAGGCCTATAACATGCACGAAAACTCTACCAGAAATAAAAATCTGCATGTTCCATGGGCTTTTTTTAAAAAAGCAAAACATGTTTATTCGTGGTTTGATTAATAATTTTGAGGATTTTTACCATGCATTGAATTCAAAACCAGCCACGCAAGTTGAGCACGCAGAACACGATGAAACTACAATTAACTTGATCGGTCGGTGGTTTAGTACGTCATGGGAACGCAGTCTTTTTTTCTTTTTACGCCTGCTTTCTGCCCAGTTGCTCGTACCGCACTCGTTCAACCTCTCCGGGTAACTTCAAGGCTCCAACTAAGAAAAGCCGCTATTCCGACTTCATCCCCTAAGTAACTCAGCCTCTGCGGTTTTGCTTAGCTCCGCCCCCAACCTTCAGCACGTGCTGCTCTTCCCCGCCTTTTTTCCCATCGTACCTCTGTTTGAAAACAAAGTCCCACGTGACCGCCGGCCTGCCGCTAGCCTATCACCAATATGGCGTCTTCCAGGGGCGATGGTTGGGCCGGCCAGAGCTGGCGGCGACCCGGTATTGTGGCCGCCGCCGAAGGGCCTTATCCTTCGGAAACGGAAGCCGGGGCCGAGGGCCTCTATGTCGCCGTGGAGCGTTGCCCCCTTTGCAATAGCACGCGCCGCCGCCTGACCTGCGCCAAGTGCGTCCGGAGCGGCGACTTCGTTTTCTTCGATGGCCGCGATTCTGAGCGGTGGGTGCCTGACTTGACGGGGCTGGGTTGGGGCCTGGATTGTTGACCTTATTTGTTTGCCGATTTCTCCCGGGGGGGGGCAGGATTAAAGGTCCGAAACGCAAAGGTTCCAGAATTCCTTAGTAGTCTGGCCGATAGATGCTGGTGCTATATATTTAGCTCCTCTTGGTCGCACATCACACCGTACTACAGACCAGCCAACCACGCTTTAGTGTTTGATGTGTGCTAAATCTCTGTGGTTAACTTATGCTGTAATGGATTGTGGGAACTGACAAATTGGGTCATTTAAATTATCTGTGGTTAAAGTGACTATGGACAAGTGTGATGTGCAAACCCAGCCATTGAGTCTATAGTGGAACACAAGTCTTGTCAAACGTTTTTATAATTAATTAAAGGGATCTGTGAAAGCCAGTTGCAAGGTGTTCATTTCTCAAGTCCTGAGAAGAACTTGTGAGCGCGGGTTATGGGACTAGATAAAGAATCTATATTTGCTGGATGTTCAGTTCCAATTTTCAGTAGTCAATACAATCAGTGGTCAAATATGATGGAACCAGGAGTCCTACTTTTCCATCTCTGAGGTCAACTTAATGTTCTTAAAGATGATTGGCTGGATTGCCAGTTTAATCACTCCAAAATTAAAATATGTTTCCATTTGGGTTTAAGGTATTAGTATTTGCTCTTTGTTTCATTTATTTGGAGGAGAGGGGACACTTAGACCAATATTTAAGACTCCCTATATAACCCCAGGTGAATACATACAAATTACATTCACACAATATGTGAGACTAAACTGAATGGGTACCTGGTCTCAGTAAATATATTACAGATAAATTGTATAAAGAGATTGAATTGAATAAATCATGGCCAGTGGGTTCAGTAAACACTGCTGAGATCTTCAGTGTTTTGATAGTCTGCTCTTGGCAGTAAAATTATGTGCTTTCTTGCATTCCTTAAATTGTGGAATTGGCTGCCATGGTATATATCAAGCAATTTATTATGGAGGGTGTGAGGTGGGCTATCATTAGAGAATGGAAATCTTACGCCTTTTTGTAGCCTCTGAACTTCATCTTCGGAACCAGATAATGGGACTACAGATTATATTGGGTTGTGATTGGTGTTATTAAATGCCAGATCTGCCTGCACTAAATATATTCTCTTCCATGATTTCATTAAGGATGAAGGGGCAAGCTTGCTATGTATTGCTGAGACCTCAATGGGTAAGGGGGCGGGGTTTCTCTCAGAGATCTACTCATCTGGTTTTTAGACTTTGCATCAACCATGACCCCAAGGCAGAGGAGATAGAGTGAAGATTATCATCTAGGAGATTTTCCAGGTCACCAAAGACACCGTTTCATAGATACCCTGGATTTAAGGCACTATTTATGAGGTTGCTTTGAGGATAAAGTTGGGGTCCTACTGTAGTTCCAACTTCCTTGTTGCGCAGCTTGATCTTATGATTGGTGTTGAATTTTCATTGATATTTTGTTATGGGGGACTTTAACATGCTGGGAAGAGAAGCAACTTGTGAATTCTTAGACACCATGACAATCATTAGCTTATCCCAGATGATCATAGACCCAGCCTAGATAAGCAGATAGCCATTAGAGTTGTTTTGTATCTTAGAACAGCTGAAATTTGATATGAGGAAGGGAAACATTTCCATCATTCCCTTGTCTTGCTTCACTCATGACACATTAATAGATTCTGTTGATTTCCAAACAACACATGTGGAGTTTCACAAGCCTTGGAGAGCAATTGAATCAAGGCCCTGGTTGACCTCTAGAATAAGAGGGCAGAGACACCACTTAATAAGATTGTTCCTGAATGACTTCTTTGTAGTCACTGATCCATGAGGAACTTCCATGTATATTGAAGAGTTCCAGGATATAATGCAACAGAAAACATACTTAAAGCTACTGTGGCATCAGACAAAGAATGACACTAAATATAAGTAAGAGTTTGCACCTGAGGTTATACCATGATAATAATGGTTCATTTTTCTTTTATTATATTTCTGGATAACTGCCCAATATCATTTAAAATGATCCGATCACTATTAGAAAAATCATCCTGGAAGCTGGTCTGCTGGAGTGTTGCTAAGCATCCGTAGAATAAAATCTCTCATATTCATTTGCACGCTGGTTAGCCAATTTCTGCAGAGATAATAGAAGCTTAGGCTTGAGTTTTCTGGGATTGATTTGGCCAAAGTTCCCAAAGAAGTGGACAGTGTCCTCTGTGTCATTAGCATTACTTTATATGGATGAGATCTCTACCCTACATTATTGGTGAAAGCATCTGGAGAAGTCACAGGAGGTTGAATGCAGTCAGTGTTAAGTGCATCCTTTAGTGAAAATATGCTATGGTGTTTCCCTGAAAGTAAGGCCCTGTTTTACTTTCTTTTGGGCTCTGAAGTAAGTACTAGGTTTTATTTTCAGGGAGGGCTTACTTTTTACCAGTACCGGTACCAGTAGGCCGTGAGTGCGCTGGGGTGGGATGGAGCTTGTGCCTGGGGTGGAGAAGCAACGCGGCGGAGAGAGCGTGGTGGCGGACCAGGTACGGTGCCAGTGTGGCCATGGTGGGCGGTGGCGGAAACGGCACTGAGCCTGGTGTGGAGCAAGTCGGCCCAGATCTGGAGTGCCACCCCGCTGCTGGCCTGCCAGGGTCCTTCTCCAGCGGTCGCCATTGGAATCACGCCAGCCTCACCTCTGCCTTTGGGTTGTTTGAGCTCCAGCCTGCACACCTACTTGGTGCTGCAGGCGCTGGGCTAAGGGCTGAACCTGGCGCTCTTTGGGCCCTGTTGGGCACTGCAGCTCTCATACCAGCTGGGTGCTTTTGGCCTCTACCGGCTGTTCCCACCAGATTGCCTCCGGCCAGCCAGCTGCTACCGCTGCCACAATGAGGTGAAGAAGCGAGGCAGGTGGCAGGGGGGTGGAGTTGCTTCCCTCCACTTGCCAGACACCTGCCGAAAGCAACCCAAAGGTGGAGGCACGGCCGGTGCAGTTCCACTGGCAGCCGCTGGCAAAGGGCCCTGGCAGGCCGGCAGTGGGACGGCACTCTGGATCTGGGCCAACTTGCCCCACGCCAGGCAGGAACAGCTCAGCAGGGCAGCCCAGAGACACGCAGCTAGGAGGGCAAAGAGCCCCGCGAGCAGAAGCAGCATGGGCAGCCACCTGACGCAGCTGAGAAATGTCCCAGCAGCAGTAGGGCCAGCAGGCAAGGCAGGTGGAGGCTGGGGCTTGCCAAGGGCTTGGTTCATTGCGGCCGCAGGCAAGTAGATGGTGGGATGGAGAGGGCGGTGCCAGCTATAGCCAGTTCCACCAGCGGCTGCTAGTGAAGGGCCCTTGCAGGCCGGAGGTGGGGGGGCACTCCGTCTGTCACACAGAAGAGCTGGGCCGACTCGCCCTGCCCCACGCTAGGGCTTACTTTCTGGGTAGGGCTTATATTACGCCTACCCCCTGAAAATCAGCTGGGGCTTACTTTTGGAGTAGGGTTTACTTTCAGGGAAACACAGTATCTTCTGTCTTGAAAGTGGTGATGGTGTGTTCATTATTCAAGAAACCATTGCTCAATTTACAGATTACAGAATAACAGAGTTGGAAGGGACCTTGGAGGTCTTCTAGTCCAACCCTGCCCTATACTATTTTCTATACCTTACTCTATACCATTCTGGACAACTGAATGAGGACTAAGTACTTCTAACTCCATGTAGCAATACAGTGCAGGTTTACTTACAAGTAAGTTTTCTTCAGTTCAGTGGGTTCAGTACTGTGCCCATAGTTTCCCTGTTCCAAGTTCTTTAAGTGTGGAAAGACTGCTTTCAAGCATTTTACAAACATATATATTTTTTAATTGTATGCCGCCCAGGGTTGTTTAGGATCCTTAAAATACATACATAAGCAGACCTTTCTGAGAGATGGATTAGTATACAGCCTTCTCTTATTGATCGAGAATTTTTAACAGATCAAATATCTCTGCCCTCTTACATACCAGCTAGATTGATAGGATGCATGTTGGATTTTAATTATTTACTACAAATACTCTCACTTTATCTTTTTGTCTATAAAGCTTCCAGCGTGACTGTCAATCACAGTAATGAAATGTAAATAGTAAATGACAAGATAAACAGCCAGCATCAAAAACACAAATTGGCAAAAAGTCATTACACATTCTCCTTCACCTTGATTTTGAAAGAGCATTGCCTTCACTGTTGAAAAATATTGTCAGCAATGGAACAATATTTCTCAACGGAAAGAGCATTCCACAGAGATAGCGTGGTAATAAAAAGGTGGGCTTTTTATGTTTTGTATCTTTATTGGCTGTAAACTGGAACTTACAGGACCTGCTGGAAAGTAGAAATGATGAACAATATCTTCTTATACGTGTTTATGTAGAAATCTGTCCCCTTCCTTGCTGAATGATTAGGTTGCATTATATTATCACTTGTGGTTAATTTACCCATGTTTTATTCAATTTATCCAATTTCTTAGGGTCACAGGGATCAGAAACCATTCACGTAGACTGTGTTTGTGTAACAAACTGTGCTAAGATGTAACTGGCTAATGGGTCAGTATGTCAGGTGGAAACAGCCAAAGGATTACTTCCAAGAAAGATTGTGAAGTCCTGTACTCATTAAGAGTAAATTCTATCCCATTGAACATAGTGGATCTTAGCCTTACCTGTACAGAGAAAATAATTATTGTTTTATGTTATGCATTTAAAAAAAATAAATACACGTTTTCCATCAACAGCTTAAAATCAGTTGTGGTAGAAAGCAATAATCTTAGCTGCAGCCAAGCACAATAATTCCAAAGTTTCAGCCTATAAACTATCCTATTAATAGAATAAGTTATATTGAGGAATGGTAGTGAGATATAATCAGATATAATATAACTGATTTTACACACACACACAATATAATCCTTGTGTGTCTAAACACACTTAGTCAAATAAAGTATTCTATTCTAGTAAATCTGTATAATATTTTTATATAGTTTATATAGTTTCTATGATTGTCAAGATGGACATTTGTTATCAGAGGCCTAGCAGAAGGTGTAATACCTGTTCCACCACATTTTTAAATGTGTATCAGTCTGTGTGGATTTCAGTTGTGGAAAAGAATTGCATAGTCTTACCTGTACAAAGAAAATCATTACTTTTGCATTATGCAAATTTTAAATAAAAATATTTTGCATCTAAGGCTGCCATTAAACAGTCAGTGAGAGATTGTTCATAGTGTCAAATCATAGAATACTAAAGATGGAATACTTACTGTACAACTTCATACTGTACAACTTCACTAAATCAGTCAGACTTAATATATAACTCGTGCTGATAAAATCAATTGCTTTAAATATATTTTAATTTAATACAATAAACAATTACCTTCTACACATAATTAAATAAAAGTTATTCAACCCCTTCTTTAAAAAAGTTTTGGAACTGCATCCCAAAGTTAAGAGCAAGATAGCAATAGCACTTAGATTTATATACTGCTTCATAGCGCTTTACAGCCCTCTCTAAGCAGTTTACAGAGTCAGCATATTGCCCCCAGCAATCTGGGTCCTCGTTTTACCAACCTCGGAAGGATGGAAGGCTGAGTCAACCTTGAGCTAGTGAGAATCGAACTGCTGAACTGCATTCTAACCACTGTGCTATCACCAAATAAGATCCAAAGACCTTGTTTGTTCAAAACATACACAAATGCTGAATCAGCATAACAGAACGTCTTAAATACAGTAGAACCTCCTTGTCGTAAGTCAAGGATTACCTGTATTGGAATCAGGCAAATTTTCTGTGTACCTTATTGACTAATGGTACATAGGACAAACTTTTGTGATTTCCCAGATGTCTGATAGGTGAGGCTTAGTTTCTTCCTAGATTAAAAATACTGTCTTTTATCAATTTTAAATATAAATATACTTTTGGAAGAACAGATGCATCTGTTTAGGAATAATAATTTCCTGTGTAGGAGTAATAATTGTAGCGATTAATATATATGTGTTAGTATATAGTCAGCCTGTTCTATAGCTTTAAAGCAATAAGTTAACACTAGTAACAGTTCAGATTTATGTGGAAAGTTCTTTATCATAGTGTTTTAACCATTGCCCTTTTTAGATCCAATGAGTCTCCCACTTTTTCAATTAATAGTCCTTTTCTTTTGTGGGACCCAGTATGTGTAATACCTTGCTCAAGGAAAGTCGGTCTCCAGCAGAGCTTGCAGCATCCTATCACTGGCTGAGCAGGATTCTTTGGCAAAGAGCCTTCAGCTTATATATTGCATAGCTTTTCTTCCATTCTAATTATTTTTGTGCTTAAGCTCGACTTATTGTTGTTTCATGGTTTATTTCTTTTTATGATATTGTTTTTCCATGGTGTTATTGATATATGTTTTATTATTCCAGTTGTATGAGTTATCTTAATGTTTGAATTCTATACCTAGTTGATAGGATTGAGATTTACTTCTGAGTATACTTGCATAAGAATATATTGTAAAACAGTTTTCTTGGTGTATATCATTTAGATTGCTGCGCTGTATCTTCTATTATCTTCAGCTAGAATGATTGATCTAACCTTTAGTTATTTATAAAAATAATAAAGGTACAATATGAATAAATAAATTTGTTTCGATTCAGAGGACTTTGATACAATATAATATAATACATTGGAAGATAGGTACCAGCCTGAAAGTTTTAATATTGCTATATAAATTTTGCCTTCCCAAATTCAGATAGGACAATCCTGTTTTATTGCATAAGTACAGACTGTGATGTTTCATAGTTTTTATTGATTCCAATGTTCTAAAGACTACCATGATTATCCTGATTTTGGTGAGATCCAAGCTAAATAAGTTCACTATTCTTGCTTAATTTCTAGTTAGTTTGTTGATCAGCCAATTGGCTACTAATGGATAATAATCTGTGTTCTGCCACTTCTGTCTTAACAAGTCTAGTGCATATCTGGAAAATCTTCCAAGTGTCATTTCATTTGTTGTTTCATTCATCTTGTTATTTATGAAGTGAATGACATGTTCAACATAGTATGTAAAAAGGTAAAGTGATAATATTCTAAGCAAGGCCTTTCTAATATAGAGCTGATTCATTTCTCTTTTTTATTTATTGAGAAACACATTTAAATGTTACTCTTTTCTAGGTTTTCTGAAAAAAAAGAGAGATTAAAGCACCTTAGAAAGAAACAGCATGAATTCCAGTCCCAGTAAGTCCCAATTTATTCTATTTTACTTTATTTATTTAAGCTGATGTTAATATACAATCAACTTAACATCTTAAATCAGTATAGAAATATATTTCTGGTTGCTATTAACGTTCTATTTTTTTTCCCACTCCTCCATTTTTTTATAGGTTGTTAAAAGCTATAGAGGGGAAACAGATAGCTGATCAACTGGTGAGCCTTGCAGAATTCTTTCACTTCATATTTCAACTAGTTTTCCTTAGTGCTGTTATTCATGGTGCTCTTTGCATGAGAAGGGGACCGATAATTGTTCCTTATCATGGGTCTGTCTTATATGTAGGTAAAGGTGCCCATATTTTGTAAATAACTGAATTTCAGCCCAAATGAACAATGCTTATTATATCTATAAAGGTTGGGTGCTTAAGATAGATTATATTGAAATAAATCTCTTTTGGAATATCAGAATACTGTTCTGACTTTACCTAAAGCCGGTGCTACTCCAGGCATTCCAAAAGTGGTCATAGCTCAAAATTGCCCTACTTCAAGCTTGCACTTGAAACAAGGTGGTTTCAAGTTCAAAACCCCTACAGGAGGGTTATAGCAGTGCTGGCAAATTTCCAATAAAGTAGGAGCAATTTTTTTCAATCTTAAATCATTTTGTACACCGTTATTAAATAGTACAATAGTAGGATATTTTTTAAAGGATATCAGTTGCTTGTAAGTTTGATATAAGATTTGTGCTTATTGAAAGTGGCACTTGGCTCCCCTGATATGTCCCTGTCTGATATAGAAGTTTTTGTAAGGATTTGACTGCCATTGTTATTTGAGGGGGTGGCACAGTGGCTCAGTGATTCAGATGCTGGGCTTGTCGGCTGGAAAGCTGGCAGCCCAGGTTCAAGACCCGGGTGCCATGTGATGGGATGAGCTCCTGTCCTCACCCTAGCTCCTGCCAACCTAGCAATTTGAAAGCATACAAATGCAAGTAGATAAATAGGTACCACTTTAGTGGGAAGGTAACAGTGCCTGTGACATCATGCTGGCCACATGACCGCGACAATGTCTTTGGACATCGCTGGCTCAGTGGCCTTGAAATGGAGTTAGGCATCATCCCTTATAGTCGGCAACGACTAATGGAATAAAATCTGCAGGGATTCCTTTACCTTTTTCTTTTACCTTTGTTATTTGAGGATCACTGCAGCATGGCTTAGAGAAACTTTCTACTTCTGAGATGGTGCCTAAAGAACTAGCAGATAATAACATTCTACAGCTTGCATTAGACAGTTTGGTTGCAGCATCAATCATTCTGCTATGTAACTCTCTTCTGAACTGAAGGTAAAACTAAAATGCGCACAACTAAAGCATAGATGGTTAATTGTGATGTCAAATTGAAAGGTAAATCTAGGGCAGTGATGGCAAACCTTTTAGAGACCGAGTGCCCAAAAACTGGTCCCGCCCCCATCCCCCACCCCGCCTGCCCGCAGGGCCACTCACTGCCTCCAGGGCTTGCTGCAGATCGCCCAGGCAGCCCAGCATCACAATGGCAGTCATGCCCTCTGTCTGCACCTGCAGCATCAACTGTGCATGATGGGGTGTGAGGGCAGAATCTTGTCTACGCTGCCTGACTGCCATGTCCTTGGCTGCGCTGCTCCGTGTGGGCGATGCTCAGAGGCGACTCTCCTTCGGGGGGATGCTGGAGAGGGGATCACGGGGGGAGGCGAGACTGGGGCAATGGCACATGTGCCCACAGAGAGGCACACCCGTGACATAGGTTTGCCACCACTGATCTAGGGCATCCTAATTATTTAATGTTCCCTTTACAGTAGCCTCAGCAAACGTCTGGGTTGCTGATGAAACTGAATGGATTTTGGAAATGTAATTAGCCATCTGTTTACTTTGACTAAAATTATTTTTTAAAGAATGCAAAAATTGTTTACAGAGGTCCTAATTATGTGTTCTTTTATAGATGTATTTTTATCCAGTGCAAAGATCCTAATAGATGTTCTTTTCCTTTCAGAGATGGAAAATAATGTCTTGCAAGATGAGAATTGAGCAGCTGAAGCAAACAATATGCAAAGAAAATGAAGAAATAGTAAAAAGTAAATGATGGTTGCAGAAGTCTTGGCAGATTCCTGTTAGGGAATTCCTATTCTGTACCCATATCTTCTCTGATAATTGTACAAAGTTAATTTAACCAGTTTCATTAACTTATCAAAGCTTCTTTGATAAAAGGAATAATGGTGTAAAATATTATTGCCTTCATATTTCAAATTTTCCTTTGCACTCCTGTGCTGTTTATTTATTTTATGTATTTATTTAGAAGATTTATATGGTCACCCATTCACTCTGGGCAGCTTACAAACAATAAAAAAAAACCAATACAAAAGATTATAAAACAGTAATCCCACCCCTCCATTACTACTATGAAGTAGTATTGGATGTATGAACTAAATATATTTAATATGTAAAATTGATTAGCCAAATAGGCCTACCTGGCATTTAGGGTACACCCTCAAGTGAGCTTCCAGAATTCTTTGATACTATACTAATAGAGGTTCTTTGGGCAACATGCAGCATTTTCAATACATAACGGGGTCAGAGCAGGTACATAATTTGAAAACCAATGTTCTAGTCCAAAGAGAATTATTTGACAGTAGCACATATACAAAATGTTTCTTGTTTTTATGTGAAAATAACATATATGTTCTTTCACAATAACAACATATTAAAATGTAGGCAACATTTTAGAAATTATCTGTATTTTGAGTGAAATCTTAAAACTACAAAGCAAGAATTCCATGGAAAATGCATTCTCAGCCTAGTATTTTTTTCTGTTGGGTGTTGGTGGGATATATAATCTCTTTTATTCTTTTAATTGTAATTTGTTCATTTATTACATTTATTGCTTGCTTTTCTACTTATATAAGACTTCAGAGCAGCACACATTTAAAACAAAAATACCAGATTAAACTGTAGCATTAAAATCAATAAAATAAATCAATAAAATCAGTTAATGAAGAAAGATGCCTCCTTACTGTGTTTTTAAAATACTGGTGCTTTATGGCTTAATGCATCTTCCTAGAGAGGACATTCCATAGCTTGTGAGAAACACAGTGAGATATCTTCAAAACTTCCTCTTCTACTGATTTATGTGGCAAATAATTAAGCTCTGTGGTGCTTAAGGCTTTAAAGGTCAGCATCTTGGGATGTAACCAAGATATAGATAACCAACTCTGTCCAACCTACTCAAGAAGGGTTGTACCAATAGCAATAGCACATAGACTTATATACCGCTTCAGTGTTTTATAGCCCTCTCTAAGCAGTTTACAGAGTCAGCATATTGCCCCCAACAATCTGGGTCCTCATTTTACCAATCCCGGAAGGATGGAAGGCTGAGTCAACCTTGAGCCGGTGAGACTCAAACTGCCAAACTGCTGGCAGCCAGCAATCAGCAGAAGTAGCTGCAGTACTACATTTTAACCACTGCGCCACCTTGGCTCTTGTAGCTGTTATGGCGGAAATTGTGTAAAGGTGATCCTTATCATAGTCACGTCTTGGGAATGCAATGACAACTAAAGATAACTAGTGGATTGCTATTGCAATAAGAGTGCAGCTCAGTCCAAAACAGGCTGAACATCAATCTTCCTCCAGATCAGCAGTTAAAATGTTGGGATAACTCCATCAGAGGATTATTTTAACAACTCAGATTTATGAATGTGCTCTGAAATCTTAATAACTTCCTATTACTTCTGCCAAATTTTCTTTTGATTAGGGGGAGAAATGTGAGTAGACCTGCAAATGAAATACTAGGCTGCTGCTGGCTTTGTTTTTCTTTTCTAGGAGGCTCTGTTGGGCCTAGAAGTTTTATTCAAGATCAAGATAATGCTGGAAATGGTTGTTTAGTTTTGCAGCATGTCAATTTCTGTTTTTCTTTAAAAAGTTTTTTTTAATGTGATAAATTAGATGGGACAAAGTAACGTTGGCCTCTAAAATGCTGTAGATTTCAGATTTAATCCTGCTTTGAGATCCCAAACACTGCTTTATTTCACAGTCATTACATATTTCTACTAATGATACAATATATAATTTTGCATATCTAAGTAATATAATTTACTCATACATTATCCATTGAATAATCAGCTGCATCATTTTGGGAGTCTTCCAAAGATTTACTTTTGCCTTTGTTGTTCTAGATTCAGAGTGGCTTCTTAGGATCAAAGATGAGAACCAGAAACTTTACCGAAGGGCTCAGCGCCATCAGGAGAAAAAGGAGAAAATCCAGAGGCACAACCGCAAGCTTGGAGAGCTAGTAGAGAAAAAGAACTATGACTTGAGAAGCCATCACGAACATCTGGCAGATCTCCGGCGGTCACATGTCCTGGAATTAACCTCTGTTATATTCCCTATTGAGGAAGTGAAAATTGGTATGAGGTAGGTAGGAGGAGTAGTGTGGCTGATGTGGTTAACCATATATTCAGGAAGTGATTCATGTTCATAGTCTATATAGAAGAAATGTGATTTCTACATACTTTTGTAATGAGGGGTGGAAAACCAGAAGGCGGTGACACAGAAGATGCACTGAATTGAGATGTTCTCTGGTTATTTGAAAACAAGCTTCACTGAAACCAGTTGAATTTACTTCTTTAAATTGAAATATCTATTTAATTTGTATTCTCCCTTATGGTAGTTTATCTTCGGTAACGCTGAGATGATTAGGTTGAGAATTCATTACTGGTTTAAGATGTTTGGAAGCTTCAGGACCATACAATATTAGTTATATGGTTTAGCAAATACCTTATTGTTTGGAATGAGTCAACTGAGCCTTTGGATAGTTGGCAGAGTTGGAATACTGGGACGTATCAACCACAAATTAAGGTAGTCCTTAACTTACAACAGTTTGTTTAGTGACCATTCAAAGTTACAGCTGTGCTGAAAAAAATAACTTACCCGTGTTTCCCCGAAAATAAGATCGGGTCTTTTTTTTTTTTTTGCCACCAAAAGAGGCACCAGATCTTATTTTCAGGGATGTCTTTTATGCTCACCTCTGGCACCAACAGCCTCGCCCAGCTGGCCCACTTCCTCTGCAGCCAAAGAAGCAGCTTCATTCTGCAGCTGCATTTCTGCCTGTATTTTGCAGTCAGGCCTTTAGCTCAGTACGCAGCTGCATAGGCCATCCAGAAAGGCCTGACTGCAAAATGCAGGCTGGAATGCAGCTGCAGAATGAATGAAGCTATGGATTGAATCCATAGCTCGGTTCTTGGCTGCAGTGGCCTTCTGGAAAGGCCTGTGACTAAGAAATGCGGGCTTGGTTGCAGAAGGCTCCGCAGAAGAAGTGGGGCGGCGAGGAGAGGCCTGGCTGTGAGGTAAGTGGGTACGGGAAGCGAGGGGCAGATACACATACCTAATCCCGCTCTAGCTTGATTTTTAGGTGTGTGCTGTGCCCCAAAACTAGGGCTTATTTTTGGGGTAGGGCTTTTGGGGAAACACGGTATGGTCATTTTTCATACTTAACGACCATCGAAGCATCCCCATGGTCATGTGACCAAAATTGAGACACTTGGCAACTAACTCATATTTATTACCGTTGCAGTGTCCCAGGGTCATGTGATCTCCTTTTGCTACCTTCTGATAAGCAAAGTTAATTGGGTAGCCAGACTCACTTAACAATCTTGTTACTAACCTAACAATTGCAGTGATTCATTTAACTATGACAAGAAAGGTCGTAAAATGGGGCAAAACTGAATAAATGTCTTCTTAGCAGCAGAATTTTGGGGCTCAATTGTAGTCGTTAGTGGTGGACCACCCGTATACAAGATTGTAATCGACAAGTTTGCATAGAAAGGACATAGTTAAGAGGATTTCAGAGGTATTAATTTGGAAGGGCAAACATCAGCCTGTCAAATAGGTAGATAGCATTCTATTTATTTATTCCCTTTTCAACAGAAAGCCCTCCCTCTAAACTTCCTTAAAGTGTTGGTCAAATGAGGTGGGATCTTTTCTTGAAATAGGTTGCTTGGGCTGAAGCTCATCAGTTGTTGTTGTTGAAAATTCTTAGATAGTTATAGTCTCTTTAAGTAAGCTTTGCTGCCTGTTCTTCTCCAGAAGTAGCAAATACTTTAAAGGAATAGATTCTTTTTTCAGACCTTGTTCCAGTTCTTCTTATTTCTTCTCTTGCAGCTTCTGGCATTTTCACTTTTATTTCTGCAAAGCTGAACAGTTTGTTTAATGTTATCTAGTCTGGTAACAAAACACCTGCAAGCAAACCAAATTCAGAGAAGACAAGGATTCCACAACTCACAATCTTTCCTCATAATCTTCACTGATTCTGCTAACTTTCTTTTATTCTTATTTGATGTATCCTTTTTCCTTTTCTACTAAAACAGGAATTATAAATTACTGTTCCCCATCCTGGAATGGAGATTTCTCAAAACGCATTGTTTGTAGAGATGTCTATAACTTCTTACCAGACCTGGCTCAAAAGCAGGGCATACAGTGGGGCAAAAAAGTATTTAGTCAGCCACCAATTGTGCAAGTTCTCCCACTTAAAAAGATGAGAGAGGCCTGTAATTGTCATTATAGGTAGACCTCAACTATTGAGAGACAAACTGAGAAAACAAATCCAGACAATCACATTGTCTGATTTGGAAAGAATTTATTTGCAAATTATGGTAGAAAATAAGTATTTGGTCACCTACAAACATGCAAGATTTCTGGCTCTCATAGACCTGTAACTTCTTCTTTAAGAGGCTCCTCTGTCCTCCACTCATTACCTGTATTAATGGCACCTGTTTGAACTTGTTATCAGTTTAAAAGACACCTGTCCACAGCCTCAAACAGTCACACTCCAAACTCCACTATGGTGAAGACCAAAGAGCTGTCGAAGGACACCAGAAACAAAATTGTAGACCTGCATGAGGCTGGGAAGACTGAATCTGCAATAGGCAAGCAGCTTGGTGTGAAGAAATCAACTGTGGGAGCAATAATTAGAAAATGGAAGACATACAAGACCACTGATAATGTCCCTCAATCTGGGGCTCCACGCAAGATCTCACCCCGTGGGGTCAACATGATCACAAGAACGGTGAGCAAAAATCCCAGAACCACACGGGGGGACCTAGTGAATGACCTGCAGAGAGCTGGGACCAACGTAACAAAGGCAACCATCAGTAACACACTACGCCGCCAGGGACTCAGATCCTGCAGTGCCAGACATGTCCCCCTGCTTAAGCCAGTACATATCCGGGCCCATCTGAAGTTTGCTAAAGAGCATTTGGATGATTCAGAAGAGGATTGGGAGAATGTCATATGGTCAGATGAAACCAAAGTAGAACTGTTTGGTAGAAACACAACTCGTGTTTGGAGGAGAGAATGCTGAGTTGCATCCAAAGAACACCATACCTACTGTGAAGCATGGAGGTGGCAACATCATGCTTTGGGGCTGTTTCTCTGCAAAGGGACCAGGACGACTGATCCGTGTACAGGAAAGAATGAATGGGGCCATGTATCGTGAGATTTTGAGTGCAAACCTTCCATCAGCAAGGGCATTGAAGATGAAACGTGGCTGGGTCTTTCACCATGACAATGATCCCAAACACACCGCCCGGGCAACGAAGGAGTGGCTTCGTAAGAAGCATTTCAAGATCCTGGAGTGGCCTAGCCAGTCTCCAGATCTCAACCCCATAGAAAACCTTTGGAGGGAGTCGAAAGTCCATGTTGCTCAGCGACAGCCCCAAAACATCACTGCTCTAGAGATCTGCATTGAGGAATGGGCCAACATACCAGCAACAGTGTGTGCCAACCTTGTGAAGACTTACAGAAAATGTTTGACCTCTGTCATTGCCAACAAAGGATATATAACAAAGTATTGAGATGAACTTTTGATATTGACCAAATACTTATTTTCCACCATAATTTGCAAATAAATTCTTTCCAAATCAGACAATGTGATTGTCTGGATTTGTTTTCTCATTTTGTCTCTCATAGTTGAGGTCTACCTATGATGACAATTACAGGCTTCTCTCATCTTTTTAAGTGGGAGAACTTGCACAATTGGTGGCTGACTAAATACTTTTTTGCCCCACTGTACGGTGCTCCTGAATATAATAACTGAGGGAAAGGACTCGTAGCACTCAGCCAGTACCATATGTTTTCCTATTTCTGTTCTAGTAAGGTGCCTATCTGGCACTTTCTTATGTTTCATGGAATCTCAGTTTTTAATAATTAAGTGCTTGAAGTACTTTAAATACCGTTCCAAGCATGTGCTGTGAAGTGTAGCAATGGGCCTTTTATGTAGAGGTGGGGAACAGACAAGCAGGTCCAAGTGTCATGAGGCTAATGGAAATAATAAAAATACAGTATAGTAATTTATTCACATTTGGCCCTTCATGGTCTCAAAGAGAAAGCCTATACTTTCCCTAGAAATGGCCATTTGTCATCAGATTACAGTGTCCATTATGAGAAATGAGCTGTCTCGATAGTAGCAGTTTATGTCTTTTGGTCTTTCTTTCCCCAATTTGGAATCATAGACTCAGCTGAAGAAGTTTAAGCAGTCCTTTTCCTTTACAAGAATCAGTTGCCTTGCTCCCCGTCTGATATTCTTGCTGGAGGAAACTGATTAGCTCAATTCATCAAGGAAGTGAGTTATTTCATGGCCAGGCTTCTTTGAAGAGTTAGGGAGATTTTACGGGCATCAATAGAGAAGGTTAACAGTGTTTCTTCCATCTCTGGCTTGCTCTGCATTATTACCAGCTTGCTTGCTATATCCTTAGTTATTCCGTTTCCTCCCTTCTCAGAAGCCCTACTCATCTCTAAGCTCACTAGGCACTGAGGCTTACTCCCAAGAAAATTGGTGTTTTTCCCTCCCCACATAGATGGCCCACAGCTGCCAAATATAGTACCTTTCTGTAATTTTTTAAAACAATCACACCTTTTCCTATTGTGCACACTCTGAAACCTCTTCTTGGAATAAAATCTGAACTCCTGTGCAATCCTTTAAGTAACCATTCCTTGCCTTTCCTCCAGGGACTCCACAGATGTATCTTCAGAGAGTGACAATGCCATGACCTCTAGCACAGTAAGCAAGCTTGCAGAAGCCAGGAGGACCACCTATCTTTCTGGGCGATGGGTGTGTGATGACCATAATGGAGACACCAGCATTGGCATCACAGGGCCTTGGATAACCCTTTCCAACAATGGGGATTATTCCGCTTACTACAATTGGGTAGAAGAGAAGAAAACCACACAAGGACCAGGTAATGGGCTAGGCGTCATTTAAACTATTTTGAGTTTCAGGGAGCCAGCTTCTTCATCAATTTTTTAAATTAATATTGAAAAGCAAATTCAGTGATCTTGCCCAGATATTTGGCATATTGAAATGTAGGAAAAGCACAGGGATACCATAAACGGCCTTCTGACTGAGCCATGGTTTTCCTGGGGAGCCTAAGAATTGCAGAGCATGATATTGGCTAGAGAGTTTCCCAAAAGCATATTTTTAGCTCTCATAGTTCATTAACTGGCACTATATCTCAGAAATCTCAGAAGCAAACAGATTGACTGATCTCAATGCTTTGGCAACCCTGGGTGCCAAAAAACCCCCAAACCCTTGAAGATCTCACACAAGAACTTTAGTGACACTTGGTGATTTTACAAAGATAATTTTTAAACAGTTTATTTAAATTTGAGATTCCACAGCAACATTCATAGTTGTTATGGGTATCTTGTTCTCTATGAGTACCATATTGTGAATCCTTGGTCTTTGCCTTTTCTGGTGTGGCCATGAAAATTGATTTTTTTTCCTTCTGTTCCAGACATGGAGCATAACAATCCTGCTCATACCATCAGTGCTGCTTTGTGCTATGCAACTCAGCTGACTAACATTTTGTCACTTATACTGGATGTAAACCTTCCCAAAAAGCTATATAACAGGTAAGGAATCTAGAAGGAGCCAGAACATGTGCAAAAACATTTATTGAGAACATTATGTTGAATGAACATTATGCTCTAGGAATTGTAACCATTATAACATATCACTTTATATACACCAAAGTTTGAGTTCTAAGATTTTGCAGAAATACTAATAACTGTAGATTGACAGACTGCCAAGAATTTGAATGGATTCTGAGATGGTAATAAAACTTTAGAGATGGTGGATAGCAAACCCTTTTGTGACTTCATTTTTTAAAAAACTGACTACCCAGGACTGCAATATTCCTGGCATTTATATCACTGGAGTAGGTGGGCACTAAATTTCATTTCCCTTTTCCCTCCCCCCCCCCTTAGTTATTCCAACAAATCTATTTTGCCAAATCAGAGTGATCCAAAAGATGTTTATTTGCCTTGAGTCCTTGTTCAAGATTTTATGCCTTAATATTTGCCCCTTAATATATTTTGCAGTGAGTTCTGCGGAGAAAATCTTAGCAGGAGGAAATTCACCTGGGCAGTGAAAAAGCTAAATGCCAATATCCTTTACCTTTGCTTTTCTCAGGTAGTTTTCATTTGGTTTCTTTTCCTTCTTGGAAGGCTTTACATTGTTTCCTCCTCATCTTTCAAGTCCCGCCTGATGAGTATTCTGCTTTCCTTCATATGCTTTTCCAGCATGTCAATTTAGATCTTCTGCATCCCCTACATACACTCAGAAACTTGATGTACTTGGTCAGCCCTGAGACAGAACATTTGGGAAGGTAAGAAACAGTTCCATAATAAATGCCCCACTTTCTTCCCTGCCATCAATTGCTTTCTAGAAGAGTCTCCTAGCAACCCTTCTCTATATCAAATATCACTGTAAACGGTAATGAAGTTTGATAAATACTGTATATTCAACACCTGACACCAATAAATCCACTCTGACCATCACCAACTCTCTGACCATCACCAACTCTCCAAGTCAGAGAGAAAAGAGAATATTATTTCAATTACAGATGTACTTTGTTAAGGAATTATGAATTTTCAGGTAAAATAGTAGGAGTAAGTTTCTGACTTCAGTCGATAGCTTGCCTATTTTTCAGTTTTTCTCATTGTGACAAGGGATTGAACTTTGTCTCAGTTCTGCATGAATTGCCATATCCCATAGAAAACCAACACTTCTTGTAACTTGATGCTTTATGGGATCTCCCAAGTATTTATTCCCTTATTCTGTGATTTTTTAAAAAAATTATTGCTTCATCATGCAAGCTTGCTCCGAATGAGATTTTGAGTCAGATGCTCAGCACAAGTGTCACATCCTCAGCTTTGACTCTTTTACTTCAGCTCATACGCCTTTAAACATAAATGTGTGCTTATTTTCCCCATTTTTGCTACCAATTGTGTGATCAAGCATCTCTTTCTCCCCCCTCCCCTTGCTCCCTCTCCCCCTTCCCCTCCTCCAACAGGTCTGGACCATTTGAGATCAGTGCCGATTTGGAAGATTCCATGGAGTTTGTGGACCCCAGCGGTGCTGGTGAAACAGATGAGAGTGGAGATGAGCACATAAGTGATGAAGAAACTGACCTTGGAACAGACTGGGAGAACCTGCCCAGCCCACGGTTCTGTGATATCCCCTCCCAGCCGGTAGAGATGCTGCAGAGCCAGAGCACGCAGGCTTCCCAACCGATAGCCAGCAGCAGTGCTGGTGGCATGATCTCCTCGGCAGCAGCCTCAGTTACCTCTTGGTTTAAGGCATACACTGGACATCGTTAAGAAATAGTTGGGCCTCTATTGATCCACCGTCACTGTAGAAGACTTTGTGATTCAGTTCGGTAGTGCCTGGAACAAGGAGGGGGGGAGGGTGTGTGTCTGACTTTCATTTGCAGAAGCTCCAGCAGCTCTTGGTTTGCCCATGCTGTGAAGTTTTCTGACACCTGCGACGGAATTCAGCAGCTCGGAATCACAGTCCTTTTTTTTTTTTTTTTTGTGCTGAAAAGAATTACCTGAACATTTTATTTCTAGTCCATGTTTTCTAAAAGAAGCTAAGAAAGGCAATCATTTGAAGCGTGGAGACAGGAAGAGAATCATGGAAGAAAGCAATCTGAGAGTCATGCAAATGCTTAAACTCATCCTGGTCAATCAGTTCCAGCAATGCCCTTGGACTTCTTGGTTTTGTGGAGTGTGCATCATTTACAAACTTACCATACAAATGTACATTTCAAGAACCTTCTGGCAAATGATGCTTTTTAAATGAGTTTCTAAATTCTGTTGCCATAATTTTAATACAGAAAACCATCTTTTTTAAAAAAACAAAAACAAAACACTACTGGCGATAATTCTATCTTTTGTATGTGTTGCGTTCATCCATTAGAATATCTTTCTGAATATTTTTCACAGTGAACCATCCAGAATTTCCAGGGTCCTTGATCTAGCACCAGACACCAAAGAAAGGCTGGCCCATAATAATTTGCAACTACAGAGCCACTCTGCTGTAGTCAGAAAGTTTGTATTCATATGTTCTTTCATAGGGTGAAAGCACACTTCTGTTGCAATTTGGTTTTGTGTACTACATGTTCTCTGTCTTTTGGAAAGCTGGCACTCCAGATATGAGAACATGAGGACTTATCCGCCTTTTTGTGTCAAGTTAGTGGATAAAGAATGTTGTACATAGAATTTGAAACTGTTGTGATTTTGTTTTGAGTTTTGGAAGGATTTTAGAAGTAAAAAAAACTTTCCATTTTCATTGTATTATTCTTGTCCATTGTCCTTTAACATAGGTTTATATATTAAACCTACTTCAGATGCTCCCTTGGCTGTCAGTCAGTTTGCATGTCTGTTTATGTTTGTCGGTGCAGTATTGGCCCTCCATGCTGAGATCAGAACTTGGGGGTTAGGCAGTTTTGCATTATTCTTCCCATTAACAAGGATGAGGGACAGTCTTGCAATTCAGGCTTATTTGAGAATTCATCACATGTCTTTCATACCATCATATCTTTACTTGATCATAAGAATTATTGACTCTCATTGAGCACATCTTCCAAACCATCATGTTTGGAACTCCAGTGAGAAAATCTCTCTAACCAACAGGTCTGGGTAGGGACTGCTTATATTGTAATGGAGTAAGGAGAAAATGGCATGTAATCATTGTGCTCCTTCATAAAGCAGTTTCTGCCTTTATATTGCCTAGTGATCCAAAATATTGGCTAGGCAGCTGAAGCTTCTGTTACATCTTTTGTATGCTGCCCCATTTGTGGACTCTAGGTATGTAGTTAATAGTCTAGCAATGTGAGGTTTAGATGCTTTTCTGCCTTGGAGCTGGTTCAGCCTTTCAGCAGAGCAGGTACATCTATGATGTGGAATATCCTATCTTCAAAAATACACCCACAATGCTTGTCCAACATTAATGCTCTGGAGATTCTATGTTGGGCACTTTTTTTCCTGTATTACAAAGATTTGCAGTCATGCAAGAACTTTTGAATTGGCAAATAAGTTTTATTTAGTGTTTCTGTGATGGTCTTCTATTTAAGCCTGGAGTTCATATAACGAAGTGCATAGGGTTTTAAGTAACTTTGCTATGCATTTTTTCCCCTGCCAAATAGGAATTTATCTGGATAGGGAAACTAGTCCTTTATATTTCTGTTGCTAAACCAAAGATTGCTTTAGCTAGGTGTTTTGATTTAAAACCAGATGGTGCGATTCTTCCATTCATAAGACTTAGTATAGAAAGATAGCAATACAATGATCCACATGCATCTTTACTGGCTTCTGTGGAAGCTATATTGATTTACAAAAAAGTGGCAGTGGATGGAATTGTGAGCGACTTTGGGCTTTGTCTCAAAGATCTTTGGTGACATGGGATTGTCCTCTTACTTCTGTTAATGAAACAAATGGAAATTTGTAAGAAGCAAGGCACTTTATTGGTTGCAGGTGATATGGGCTGCTTAACATTGAGTGCAGGGGGGGGGGAATTGCAGGTGGGCTTTCAACACTGTAAATGTGTTTTCTGTTGTGTGTTCCTTTTCTCTCCTGCTTATTTTTGAATGCAAATACTTGGAAATCATTTCTAGTGAACTGAGGGAAATAAATTTAAAAAGCCAGTAAGCCATGAATCCTTTTTGCTTGTCAGTTTCAACTTCTTAAAATGGTGCCTCTCTCCTTCAACAGTGGAACATTGCTTTGGAGGCCACCAAAAGGCATCCAAATAGTAATAAGGTAGGGTGCTGCTCCCTTTCAAGAAAATAATTGTATTTTTGTAACGTTTTTATACTTCTAGAGCTGTCTGGAGAAGCTACAAAAACATTTCTACCGTAAAATTACAGTGCAATAGAGGAACATTCTGCTTCATGGACAGGGAAACCATTGATGGGTATCCTGGGTTTACATCACTAATTGCACATTTTGCAAGACATTACGGTGTCACAAAAGTAGAGCCGTATATATAGGCCCAAGAATCTCAACATGCTTAATGGGTTACTAGAAATACAGTAAGCAGTTTGCTGTCTGAAAATTGGTTCTCAAACAAGGATTGCTAATTGAGTATCCCTAAATCCTTAAGCTTCTTTTTTTAGCTCATGATCTTGTGGTGCCACTTTCAAACTAGTAGCCCTAACTAAATACAAACGTGTTTTTAAAATTGTACTACTGCAATAAATCTTTGGTTTTTTTAAAAAAATTGCTTGGTTTGATTTTTATTTTGTTTTGATAGTGCTGTTATCATTAGAACTACCTAATGTCCATGTGCATGTATTTCAGTTGCAGAACACTATGAAGGAGAAAATACACATTTCATGCTAAAAATATCTAGTGTTTATATTATCAAGAACTTACCTAAAGAAAACATTTGGCAGGAATCTTTTCACTGGTTATAACCCCCGACAGCCCTTTCCCCCCTAATTTGTGATGCAATTCAGCCATCAAGATGTAGCTAATTTTATAACTTAAGAAATGAAAATTGAAAGGGACCCTATAAATGACATATCATGTTCTCTGTAAATATTGGAACCAATAACTGTTTGACTAGCAGAAGCCTGTTATATTTGAATGTTTGGATGTTTGAATCAAATTGATCCAAACTTTTTTTTAGTAATTTTCTAGCAGTTCAATCACCACTACTTGTGATAGACAAGAACCTGGCTTCTGTCGAGAATTGAGAGTATTATATAGCTAGTATGTTCAGAATACATAGAAGGCAAATTACACATTTAGCTGTAACATCACCAGAGGCTGGGGGATGAATTCAAGGATGGGAAGAGACTGGTATGGGGGCCTTGGCATGCTTACTGGAAACAGCACTGACCATGACAAGGGAAAGTGTGCAACTGGTAAAGTAGCTGAAGCTTCAAATGATAGCTCTACTAGTCACTTGCAGACAGCAGGAGAGGCTCATTGACTTGTCTTTCTTTCATGGAAAACTGGCTTTCTTGTATTACACTTTAAAAAAACAAAAACTCCCTCATTTAGAAATCTTCAAATAATTAAGATGGGTGGGAAAAAACAAATACTTTGTGATCTATAATTAGACATCTTAATTTACAACAAGTGTTTCTGACTCAAAAGTCATCTTAGGATTGAACTCAGTTTCTGATGACAACATTGATGTGTCCGTCCATCTAGTTTTCTTACCAATAAGAGATGTGATTTATCATTGCCATTTTTAGGGATGTTTTTCAGCTTCCTTGTTACAGTCCCAAGATTCCCTAGTGGTTGCCTACGTAAGTATTAAACTGACCTAACCCTACTTAGGGTCAAGCCAGGCAAATGGTCCAGGTGCTATATGGTTCACTCAGATGTTTCTGCCAAAACAGTTTGAAATCAGATGTAGAATTGTTTGGCACTAAAAACAAATTCCAGAATGAACAAATATTGTGAACCATTAGTTTTGCACCTGCCTCAAGTATCTTGTGTCTTTTGAACATAATCAGAATGGCTGAAGACAGTCTATTCCTGCATGTTTGGCAGTGCCTAAGTGGAAGTAGTGTCTCATGTTTCACAGTGTATACAATATCCCATTGTGTGTACAGATTACTTTGAAAGATACCCATTTCAATTAACTCTGAGAAGCTGTTTAGGTTTGATCCAATCATAGGGATGGATCTTGTTAAATTCTTTCCTTTTATTAATAGCCCTTAATAGTTATGCAATTTTTGATTTTTAGAGTGTTTTTCTAAATCCTATAAGTTTTTCCATTTGAGGCTTATTGTGCTGGAAGCAGCACACCAGCCATCTTCATGGTCTTAATCAAAATAAGAGTTGGAAGGGACCTTGAGGGTCTTCTAGTCCAACCCCTTGCTCAAACAGGAAACCCTGTATCATATTGGACAAATGGCTGTCCAATCTTTTCTTGAAAACTTCCAGTGATGAAGCACCCACAACTTCTGAAGGTAAGCTGTTCCACCGATTTATTATTCTGTCGGGTAGTTCTAGGTTGCTTCTCTCCTTGATTAGTTTCCATCCATTCCTTCTTGTCCTGCCTTCAGGTGCTTTGTAGAATAGGTTGATCCCCCCCCCCCTTTTGTGGCAGCTCCTTAGATATTGGAACACTATCATGTCATCCCTAGTCCTTCTTTTCACAAACTAGACATACGCAATGCGTGCAACCATTGTTCATGTTTTAGCCTTCAGTCCCGATCCTTTGTTGCTCTTCTCTGCACTCTTTCTAGAGTCTCAACATCTTTTTTATATAGTGACCAAAACCTGATGCACTATTCCAAGTGTGATCTTACCAAGGCATTATAAAGTGGTACTAGCATTTCACATGATCTTGATTCTCTCAATGCACCCTAGGACTACGTTAGCTTTTTTGGCAGCTGCATTACACTGCTGACTCATATTTACGTACTCGTCTACTAGGATTCCAAGATCCCTCTCAGTTACTACTATTGAGACAGGTACCATACTATACCTATGCATTTGGTTTTTCTTGCTTAAATGTAGAACCTTTTTTCACCACTGAATTTCATTTTGATAGTGCCCAGTGTTCAAATCTGTCAAGATCCATCTATATCTTAACCCTGTCTTCTGGAGTGTTGGCTATTCCTGCCAGCTTGACCCAGACATGTTGAATGGTCCTAGGCAGGCAGTAGTCAGTTTAGTGAGCCCTTACTCAAGCTTATCTAGAATGGGCTATTCTGCATGACAAATTGAAAATCATGTAATTTTTCTTCCAATAACCTCACAGGCCTAAACTGCATTAATAGAGGGATAGAATAAAGATCACGTAAAGTGTTAATACTTTATAATAAGACCACATTTGGAATGCTGCATCCAGTTTTGGTTGCCATGATATAAAAAAGATGTTGAGACTCTAGAAAGAGCATTGCAGCAATTGGGTACGTCTAGTGAAAAGGACTAGAGATGACATAATAGCAGTGTTCTAATATCTAAGGGGCTGCCACAAAGGGGATCGACCTATTCTCCAAAGCACCTGAAGGCAGGACAAGCAGCAATGGATGGAAACTAATCAAGGAGAAGCGTGAATGAGAAATTTCCCAACAGTTAGAACAATCAGTGGAACGACTTGCCTCCAGAAGCTGTGGGTGATCCATCACTGGAGGTTTTTAAGAAGAGACTGGACAACCATTTGTCTGAAATGGTATGTTTCCTGCTTGAGCGGGGTTTTGGATTAGAAGACCTCCAAGATCCCTTCCAACTCTGTTCTGTTATTTCCTAAGGGTAACCTGAGATTTGTGGTAGAAATGAAATCCGAGTTCCTAGTTCAAAATCTTACCTCATACCTATACATACATGCTACAGATTATTGTATATAGTCATGTTTGTTCTAGCTTTATAATGAGGGATCTTGTAGTTCAGCAACATCAACTCACTATTCCAATGTTAGTAATTAAAGAAAATGGGATGGTAGTTATGGTAATATCCATGGGAAATACCCATGAGTAGCTGCGTGAAGAATTACTCAACTTAGGCTAAAAAATGCTGAAGAAACTGCTTTATTTGAGTTCTTTAATGAATGATACTAATTCTCTCAATTGGTCATCTAATTACTGTGCTAACTAGAACTAACGATTACCATGAAATTTCAGAGTCTAGAGCACAGGTGTCAAACTTGCGACATATTGTGACTTTTTCCCCCATTACTGGCAATGGGGTGGGTACGGTTTTGGTGTGATGCATCCACCCCGTGAGCTGGCAGTTTGACTGCCCATTTCACAAGAGGTGACTGGGTAGCACACAACAATGCCATTTGGTGGCTATTTGTCCATTAGTTGACCTTCATGTTTAAGAAATATTTTCCCCCAGTATGGCTTAGAATGCTGTTCCATTTTTTATAGGAAGTGTGTTGGTCCCCATATACCCCCAAAACAGGAGAAAGTAATGTAACCTTTATGAATGATAAAATTTGTAAAATGTTAACCCTTCAACACTTGAAATCATTTTCATCTGAATCTGAGATCTGCAAGGATACCAAGAGGGTTTTGTTGTTAAATGCAATGGTAGGGGTGTGTTGCCCTGATACAATATATTTCACAGCTGCTGCAATCTCTGATTTGGCTCATGGCTGCCAGACTGAACCCAACCCTTCAAAATAAAGTCTGGTTGCCTTCTCCATAAAGCATGATACCAACCAATGTTTTCTTGACAAAACCTTAGAGCAGGAGCGTCCAATCTTGCTAAGACTTGTGGACTTCAACTCATGGCTGGCCGGGGGATTCTGGGAATTGAAGTCCACAAGTCTTAAAGCTGACAAGGTTGGACACCCGTCTTACAGCAAATAATGGCAAAACTAGAGGTTCCCATTACCCTTTCAGATTAGAAATTATTGCCAAGGTAGTACCCTTAATTAAGAACATAGCAATTTCACCTATATTTTCCTCTTCCTCCATTACTTCCCAAAATTTAAGGCAACTGAGCTGTTGCCTCTTTTTAAGGGATTTCCACACTTGGTTTATTTTCATAGCTGAAATTCTCAAATCATTTTGAACTTCCTCTCTGTGGCTTTTATATGAAGCACAGTGATGACAAATAAAACATTGCTTCCTATTTCTTTGAGTGTATTTTTCTTAAAAATAATATAAAAGATTTGCTGCAAATATATGAATTGTAAAAACCATTTCAATCTTTCATTTATATAATCTTTTTTTTTAAATTTTAGTGTGCAGTATCTTGAAGGTGTAAATTTGCAGAGCATGTAACAATTCATGAAACTAACCAATCTTTCCAAAAAACATTACCAGGTTTCTCATCTTGCATTTTTTAAACTTCATAAATGTGCCAAGTTCAAAATACACTGCTCTAAAATATTTGTAATATCTCCATTTTATGCTAACTAGAAAATTAAACAATTCAATTAAGCAATTAAACCATTGCTCAAGATATAGGACTACACATTGACTGATGTAGAATCCAGAAAGAAAGGAGGAAATTCTTCAAGCTAAGGACAAATCTATTCCTTGCTATCCTTATTTGCTTTCACGGCCTTCTTAGGATTTCTTAAAATTAGCTATTTTGTTCATGAATTTTCCATAAGAATAACAATGTATTCAGGAAGAACCAACCAAGGAGATTACAATTAAAACAGACTGAAGCCTGAAACCAGATCTTGATTATAAAGGGAATCAGGCACAGAAGGGCCCGTTGAGTTAAGGAACTGGATGGGGCCAGCTGTGGGTTAAATAGTGAGCCATCATGTGGGACCTGGGGAACCTGGACTGTCTCACTGGTGCTCAGTTGTTGAGCCTTGGAGAATTGTTTCTCCAAGGCCAGGTGTCTCCTGCTGGCCTCCTTCTCTGCTACCTTAGAAGGCTTCTTGCCAGAAACAGCTTTAGCCTTGGCTTTAAGCTTTCCTGCAGCCTTCAACATGGAGGACTTGGGATTCCCTGGCACACGAGTGCCAGGTTCATCCTGCGCGGTCTGAGGTACCGCGTTGTCTGCCATCACCACTGAGATCCTTGAGTGTTGCTCTGAGAAGGATCTCGGAATATGGAAGCGGAGCGCTGAGTATGGATGTGATCCCAGATATTGGCAGAGCCAGTAATTGCACGAGACTATGGTGGACGCTGGACCGGTAGGCCTCTCTCACACCAAAATGCTCCCGATGGCTTTTTATCGATGCCTGAGAGCGCACTGACAGCGCAGTGTTCAGGCGGACGGGGCGGCCAAAACCACAATTTGGCGAGCGCCAGCACACACGTCCCTTGTTAGTGGCAGCAGATTGCCTGTCCTCCTTTGATGTTGTGAGGATTAGTTATGGTGATTTAATACTGCTGATTTAAATTAATTTAATAATGATTTAGTAATTTGATAATACTGATTTAATTAATATTAATCTATTTTAATTTACTAACAAGTTGGTTAATAATTAATGACAATTAAATTAATTAATAATACACATTAATTATTATTAAATCAACTGGTAATACTGGCCTGGCTTGAAGATCAGGCCGGTTTGGGGCAGATCCTCTGCTCTGGACTGAAGGCTAGTGTCTTCTGTTGTGATTCTAGCCGATCAGCTGGACTCCAGCTGAAGCGGCAAATTTAAAGAACAAAGCTGTGCCAGGCGCGTGGTCCAAGATGGCGACCACGAGCTCAAGGCAGATACACAGGGAAGTCCTTGGTGCCGGGGCTCAGCTGGTGAGCCTGTTCTGAATCCTAGCCTGCTGCTGATCCCGCCGATCAGCTGGTCTTCAGCTGAAGTGGCATGTTTAAATTGGTGAAGTTTTGCCAGCCGCGTGGTCCAAGATGGTGGCCGCGTGCCGAAAAACGGAGCCCTAGAAGATCCTTGGGTCCGAGGCTTCATCCACTAGCCTCCTCTGACCCAGATGTGTCGCCCCTGCCTCTCCTGCGGGTGTCTGAATAAGGAGCAAAACCACGTGGTTTAAATAGGCGGTGGCAGCGATCAGCGCGCCAAACAGGACCATCGCTCAGCTGTTTAATCTCCGCTGTCCAGCCCTCAGCTGCCGGGAACGCTGAGCCCAGGGTTTTAATTTCTTTTAAAATTTCAAATTAATTAAGTTAGTTAAAATTAGTCAAAATATGATTCATGAGGAAAGTTGTTTCGTGATGTAAACAGCTATTTTAGTGTAAGATTAATTCTGTTTGTATGAATTTCTGTAGAAGACATCACTATAATAAACATCAGTAGTCTGCATTGCTACTGATTAAATCACAGACTGTCCTATTAACCAGTTCTATCTGGCAAAGAGTCTAGGTTTATTTTGAAACTGGCACCATACAAATGATGTAATATGTAGTTAAATACACATAGGTATAGCTAATAGTATGTTATTTGATCCAGGTCAATGTTTATGCAAGCTGGGAATCTCAAGAAAATTTTGTGGCTGTCTGCAAAAAAGATAGTGTAGATTTAATTTGTGAAGGCTGATAAAATTTTCTAGGATTTGCAAAATTCATCAGACATCTGTAATATTCATTTTCATATCTTTGATATTAGAATCTGCTGCCTCTAAAAAAAGAAAAAAAATAATGTGCCACAAAATACACATTTATTTCCCAAATAATTTCTTTTAAGTACTAGGTACATAGTACTTTTTCTAAGCACTGGGAAGGAAAAAAAAATGATAAAGGACAGATTTAGAATGCACATTTTATTAAGTAAAAAAAAAACCCAAGATAAGGTGGATGCAATAGACCAGAGCTCTCTTGTTATATGACAACAATCTTCTTTTTCCTGCTACCACCCTCAAATATAACCTACCGCAAATGTGTTCTAGTCGTTTTAAGGTTGTCCAGTTAAACCATCCTTTTTGAAGACTGATTCTTTACATATTTAGAGTTTCCTTTCAGAAACAATGTTAATATATATTTATATATATTTATATATATAAATGTATATTTTATACATGATATACAGATTTGAAAACGAGACACTTTTAAAACACAGGACTTGTAGCCGCAAACACTGAGGTACTGCGTTGCAGCACTTTGATGTTGGTCAACCGGCTGTCAGACACCCAAAATGAAGCTATTCTAGAGCACTTATGTACACGGGTGGGCTAAACACAATCTTTTCTCTAAAAGGTAAAAAGGCCTTTGTGATTTAAAGTATGTGCAGTTTCGTAGCCCTGTGGAAAAATAAAGAAAAACCACCCAACAACTACATACAGTGTAAACATCACAAGGCATGGAATTCTCCTACCCATGATTGAGGCTCCCAAAAGATGTGCAGAATGTGCTAACAGTCCTCATCTATTTCCCTGGATTTCTTGTGAATCGCACGATTAAGGTTATGGCAGGCGGGGACCCAATGATTGTCATGGAGGCCTAACTTGCATCCGGGGACATTCTTTTGGGATCTGTGACAACACATCCAGTACCCGGGCCCGTAAGGTAAAGCTTGGCAATAGGGCTTGGGGTGCCATCGACATAACGAGACGTCGCCCTTGGCATACTTCTTTTTGCACTGTTTGCAAGGGTCTTCTCTGTAGCGTGGATCACGAACCCAGCGTGAATCTGCTGGCCTGACATTGTAGTACTCAATGATAAATTTGAAATATCCACAAGTGCATTTGAGTGCCACCAGACTCTTGGTGGGCAATAAGCCAAATATCTTCACCATAATGTGGTGGGGTAGGAAGACCAGATATTGCTGGGGCTCCAAAAGTTGCTGGATCTTAAACCTGGTTTCCAAAAAGTCATGAGACCTTTGTCTCTTTAGATGAGATGAGTCAAGGATCTGCAGTGCATTCTCTGAGGAAACATCAGGGCAGTCACCTGAAACATGGCTTCTCATACAAACTTGGTCAGCAGAGGAAGCTTCCTTTCCTTGGGTCCCTGCTGGACATTCCTGCGTAGGAGTCTCCACTGACTGCAGGCACTCTTGGGAGATTTCACATTTGGATAATAGCAAGAAAAGTCTTCCTGGAAGAGAATCTTCACCAAAGCTCAAATCAGAAGACAGGGGTTTTTTGCAATTCTGATCTATCTTGTTGACAGATATGCTAATATTCAAGGATTCACTCACTCTCACATTTGAATTCAAATTAGGAACATCTGCTGATTCTTTTGGTGTACGTTCAGTTGATGAAGATTTGTTATATAAGAAATGTGGAGATGTCTGACCAGCTTCTGAATACTTAGAGGGATGTAACTCAGTGGTGTTTTGAGAATTATACCAGTTGACGGATATGGTTCCTTGCCCATGCTTAAGATCATGGTTGCCTTCAAGAGAATCATCAAAGGAAGACTGGCCAGAAGAGGGACTTTCCCATAAACTATCTTCCACTGAGCCATTGTGCTTTGATTCCCACCCCACCTTCTCATCATTACATTCTTCTTGGTGGAGGACCAGAGATGATACCTTGTCAGACTCGTTCTCTTGTAGTATTCCACTTGCCAGGAGCACTCGCCCTACATTCCGCCGGAAGCTACTATTTCTAGACAAGCTCCCTGCTTCACGTTCACTTTGGCGCCTCAGGCACTCCGATTCAAGCTTTGCAACCATCTCCAAGACACGCACTGGCTCAGCCCGCTGCTCTAGACTGTGACTGCCACAGGGTGGCTTTTCAGATGGAACCTCGCAAGCCCTGAAGTCAGAAAAGAACCCAGGAGCAGAAACTTTAGGTTGCCCGGCAAACCTGGGCACAGCAGAGGCACTGGGACAGTTTCTCGTGCAACTGGCCAGCAAAACACTTGCTCTTTGCTCCAGGAAAGCAACCATCTCAACCACTGATAACGGTCGAACAGGGAACCCCCCTTCACCACCATCATTCACATTATGTACAGAGCAGTGCTCAATGCCACAGGCAAATGGCTCAGGCTGGTAGCACCTTGCATTGGCCTCTCTCATCCTTTCCAAGTGGATCTTGGCCTTTTTGATATCTAGTGACTTTTTCCGGCGTTTGGTTGCTCGTCCATCTATGTCCCAAGTGCTTTTGTTCTTCATGGAAAATACTCGGGCGTCACTACATAGCTGGGCTGCAAAAAAGGCTATTTTCTCTTTTGTGTTCCCAGGCTTTACAACTGCCCAGATATCCAGCAGTCCCTCTTCCTCTTCCCCCTGATGGATGGAGGCAGGCGGGGTAGCTCTCTTCTCTTTGACCCTGGGTGCTTCCACATGGCTTTGGTTGCTGTTCCTACTATAGGGTGTATTGGTCGAGAGGTTCCCCAATGGTTTCCAAAGAGGCGGATTGGGTAAACATTTTGGTTTGGGGTTCCTAGGTTTTTCGTCTTTTGCTAATCTCTGCTCGCTCATGGGTGGGCTTCTTGGAGAGTCCAGGCTTATTTCAAAAGATCTCTCTTTCTTCTGTAACTTGAGATAGGGCTTTAAGTGCATTCCAGATATTCTGGAGAGGAAAGGGAAAGGGAGTGAGAAAAAAAAGATACAATTTAAAAAAATTACTGATTTAAGGGTAAATATGAATTTAAGGATTAAAACTGCTCTATGAACTTTGGAATCATTACATTGTGGGTTGGGCTGCAAGTGCAAATCACTGTATCGCGGATGGATAAACCACATGGAAAGGCCCTTACGTACCCCAAATTCTTTCTTTTTTTCAACTTTGTGTGACGGAAAGCTGCCAGCATGAAAAGTGGTAGCATAATTTTCTCAAATTACAAATATAATATATCTGTTTAGACTTCAGCAGGTAATAAGGCACCTAATATACTTTTGTAAAAGGAATAGACAGACAGATAATGAGAAGAAAAAGCAAATTTGTTTTTTTGAAGGGTTGGAATTTTGGTTTTATTCAGAGTAATAAATATTCAGCATGTCTATTTAATATCTTATTTTTTAAAAAAGGAAACAATGATGCTGCCTCAGTGGGTGCATCTTTGGGAGCCACAGAGGCTGCAAACAGGTAGCCATGCAGAGTAATTGAGATACAGAGCAAGCAAGCTGCTTATCAGCAACCACGCTACTTTCCAATCATGTATGTTAAGTAGTATTCATTCCATCCTTTAGGATGTGGAAATCAAAGGCTGAAGAGGAAGATGGGGTGCTAGCATTGCTTATAAAGCACTTATACTGAAAGTCCAAAGGAATGAAAGGAAGTTTCCTGACGTCTCAATTGATTTTGTGGCAAAATCTACAATCTACAACTGTGATGCTGATTCAGGTGGGTCAGCAATTCTGGGAGTTGGTCCATACAGCTTCAAGTTGCCAGCCTCACCTTGTCCCAGAATTCCTCTGTGGTTTATATCGGTGTTCCTTAACCTTGACAACTTTAAGATGTATGGACCAACTCCCAGAAATCCCAGCCAGCACATTTTGAAGTTGCTAAGCTGAGAGACACTGGTTTATATGATAATTGATTTGATGATGAATCCCTTTTTGGATTCAAAGGATACCCAATATTTAAATAATTCAAATAATTTGATGTGTTCTTATGTCTTATTCAGAAACAGCCTGTTCTTTCATTTTATATACCTGAATATAAGTCAAACCCCACCATTTTGCTAGGGACGCAATCTATAAACCTAGGCATTCCTGGGGAGATCCCCATGCCAATTATTTTAGCCAATGAGCGCAGCAAATAGGAAAGTGAGTCCCAAAGCAGAAGCCAGAAGGCTCTGAAGCATTTCACTTGGCCACAGAAGGCACAAGGCATTCATACCGTTTGACTGGGTAGAAGGCGGAGGACGTAGAATTCAGCAGTTCCCGGTGGAGGCCAGCTCGGTAGGAACTCTTCATCATCACTCTCCCCACTCCCTCCCCCCCTCCACCAGCCGCAGGTTGTCACAGCCAATCCATCTCAGTCCACTGCCAGGGCTCTTGCATCAGTTTGTTTCGCCCCTTGCAATGGCCAACTGGGTCTTTGACACCTAAAAACCACAGGGAAGAAATGAAATTAGGTGATCAGGCTTGAATTAGTAAAGCATGTACAACCGACCGGTACTTCAGCCAATATTCAGGATAATGTAAACCCCCTCAATCAGGAGGGGCACAGGTTTATTTGCATAAGGTCACACAAATGCTAAGCAATCAGATGGTTTCTGTATGTGTTACAGTGTGTAAACCATGGAGTGTGAATCCAGCCAACTATGGGGTGTATACCACAATCAAGGCTATGTGTGAATATAATCACCTGTTATCCATCTGCATCAGAACTGTCCTGATGCAGCTTTCAGAAAGCAATTTTTCTCCATTCCTACCTAGAGATGGCAGGCAACAAACTTGGTATCTTCTGCATCCAAAGACATATCTATCACTGATCTACAGATCAAATTTTCTTTCCCCTACTTCTTGTGCTAGGTAGTCACATTTTCCTTTTGGATTCTCAGACAAAGGATTTGCAAGGCTCAAACATCTGTTAAGTAATATGCACATGCACAAATGCAGCCATACAGTATAAAAACCTATACTGTAATATGCATAATAACAAAACAAAGAATAGATCTCAGAATATAATGGTCATTTAAAATTACTTCTACGGTTATTACAGTAGAAATAAAAACAGGAAGCATCAAAATTGCCAATATTCTCAAACTATTTAAAATTTTACCCAGCATATTGGATTTTGGAGAGAAACAAAAAGATCTTCAAGGTAGCTTCTTAAAGAAAGTTCATTACCAGACTACAAAGCATCATTGTGGGGAATGGAGATTTCTGGTTGCTTGCATGAAATAGCTTATTCTACTAGTCTTGACTGGAATACTTTTTCCTTGATTGCATTTTGGGCGGGGTATTGTAAACATAGACTTAAGCTAACTTGTACTGATGCCTCTATGCGTACACCTGGAAAGAAGCCTAGAAATTTATCTGAAGCAAACACAGAACTTGTGGCCAGAACACAGGGTGGAAACCAAACTCTGTGTTTGTAAAAAAAATAATAAAAAATAGACCAATATCAACCTTAGCAATATGGCTCTTTATGAATACATAGACATCAATATAATTGTATTATGGATCTCCATGAAATGGTATCAGTATGTCACTTTATATTCTATGGAAAAATGTCAGTTCTGTCCCTTTATCTCAGAAATCCAGAGCAGAAGGACACTCCTCAAGAAACAGGTGTCATCTCTATGGCAGAAGAGTAAAAGCTATCATGAAGCTGCAAAACAACATTTACCAAGAACTTGTTTTGTACTAGGTAGATTCACACATTGTTCTAAACTATAGCTAGTTTGACCATACGTTACTGAATATATATTATAGTTAGCTGGCTTTGCAAAATCATCCATTGTTGACAATTTTTGCTGTGTTCAACTTTCTCCTTTTAGGGAAGGTAGTTGAGAAGATGGTTGCTTTGCAGTTTCAGAGGGCCCTAGATGGAGCAGATTATCTAGATTCCTTCTAATCAAGTGGCTGGGGTAGGGGACTGAAATGGTATTGGTTGCACTAGTGGATAACCTCTGGAGGGAGGATAGCAGAATGTCTATCCTGGCTCTCTTAGTGGCCTTCAATACCAGTACACAACTTCAGTAACCAACATCCAGATAAGCAAGATGTTAACACCAGACAAACAATCAAGCAGAAAACAATATCCTAACCAACGATCTACTAAGGAGACAAACTATCAAGCAAATAATCAATCAATCTGACAATCAGAAAACAGCTGAACTCAAGAACCACCAAGGAGAAGATCATATTCCCACCAATATTATTGGCAGGGCAAACTACCGTAAACGAAGACCAATCCACACCTGCACTAGCACTGATTTTATCTAATCAAACAATGAGATGTCTGCAAATATCTCATTGAGGGAGATAGGGGTAAAGTAGCCTGATATATAAATAAATAAACAAACAAACAAGCTCAAAGAACATCAAGGACTCCACAGTTCAACCTCGAAGACCTGGCTATTTTCCTGGGCATGGAGGCCTGAGGAGTATGGGTGGTCCTTGACCTACGACCACAATTGAGCCCAAAATTTCCATTGCTGGGAGACAGTTGTTAAGTGAATTTTGCTGCATTTTATGATCTTCATTGCTATAGTTGTTAAGTGAATCGGTGCAGTTGTTAAATTAGCAAGACGGTTGTTAAGTGAATCTGGCTTCCCCATTACTTTGCTTGTCAGACAATCATATAAAGGGGATCACATGACCCTGAGACACTGCAGCCGTTATACAGGCCAGTTGCCAAGTGACCAAATTTTGATCATGTGACTTTCTGTACCTAAGTTGTAAGTGTGAAGAACGGTCATAAGTCACTTTTTTCAGTGCTGTTGTCTGAATGGTCACTAAATGAATAGTTATAAGTTGAGGACTACCTGTAACTCATGCTACTGGTGAATGGTGTGTTCAGGAGCCACTTTGTATTTGTTGATTGGTTGTTGTTTTCCTGTGGCTTAGCGTGATGGGCATACCAGCTTAGTGAGTTACATTATTCTTTAGCCACTAGGAAAAAACTGGTGGCCAAATGTCACCATTAGCATTTAACAGTAGACCCAGTCTGCTAAATGTCAGTGGCAGGGTGGCTGAATTTCAGTGGCATAACTTTTCAGCTAAAAAAAACAACAAGAAAGTAAGTGTGGGAATGGCTTTCAAACCAAAATTCATTAGTCACCGTGATCTGGTCCAATGTTAATCATATGTATACCTGCTGCAATCACAAGATCTTCAAAATTGTCTATGCAATCAGTTTTCATGACTTAGTCTTGGTACCCACCCAATTTAGTATCTTGGGAGAATAACCCATATATTCTGGAATTTTTGTAATAACCAACTTCTTGAAAATAGAATTTTAAGCTAGCTGAAAATGAGTTGTTCAGATTTCAGCAAAGAATTCTTTCCCCATCAAGCTGGAAATGATTTTTCAGTTTGTGAATCATCTCTAACTAACAATAATTTCCAGTTATAAACCAACTTTGAATAATTGACAGGATATAACAAAAAATAGATGAAATCCTTACAAATTGACCAGAGTCCCAAAGTTTTCACTTTTTGCTTATCTGCATGTCCATAATCATTTATGGTCAGGTGATTCTTGGCTAAATATGCCAGATTTTGTACCCATTTTCTTATGTATCCACTCAAATTCATCTTAAACCCACTTCGCTAAAGGCAAATCCCACTGATTTAAACAGAAGTTACTTCCAACCACAGATGCTCAGGCTTGCAGGACTTTTTAATGCATTTATCAAAATTCTCTGCCGTTTTGTGGGATAAAACATTAGACTTAGTAATCGAGCAGAAAGCTGTTCCATTTCAAATAGTTCATCTGACTGCTAGGGGGAGGGGGTGTCCCAGAGGATCACAGTGAAACAATATGTAAGTATGCAAATGCCATTCAACTCTGCCAAAACCTCAAGTTTCTTCAGATTAAATCCACCCTGAGAACTTCAATTAGTAGACAAAAATGTTTGCATTAAAAAAATAAAATAAACGAGTGATATAATTAATTCCATTGCTGAATATAGATGATTTATGACTCTGACAAAGCTGCTGATACTGCTGTGAGCCTGGAGGGCAAAGCTTTATTGGAAATCCTGAACCAATCTTCCCAAATGTGCTGTCCTTCTGATGTGTTAAACTGTAATTATATCTGGCTGGACATGACAGAGGGGTGTAACTTAACATATGTTGAAAAACAGACATGATCTATTGCCCCTGAAAGGAAAAGCAAAGGCAACATGGAAGGGATGTGAGCTATTAAGGATAAAGATGGGAAGGCCTCCTGCTGGCAAACCACTCCTATTCCCATGTGTAAAACTATCCAAAATCCTGAAAAATGGATGGAAATTGCTTGTTAAAATTCAACTATTTTTACCAATGAATTCTGGCAACACAATCTGAGTGCTGGTGAAGTGCAAATAGGTTGCTGGACTGAATCAAAGTCTTCACACAAAAAGTGGATTTTGGAGGGAAAAAAGAGGCTAAGAATCCAGCAGGTATTCAAAGAACAAGCTCCCGATAGAGGACAGCAATGTCATTATTATTCTGTCGCTTTGCATTACACAAAGAATTCAATTCAATTCAGCATCTAAAAAAGTAGTCCACTGAGTTAACCCAATAGCAGCAGCTTCCTGACCAGCAGAGTCCCTGGGCTTCACTAGTATACCAGAAACTGACAATGGAGCAACACCCAATATGTACCACAAGAAGCATGTTGTGCAGAGACATAAAAAGCCCAAAGTGCTTTTTCAAAAGGCAACTGGACTTTCTTTGTTTTTCCTTGAAGATGTTTCGCTTCTCATCCAAGAATTTTTTTTCAGTTTTCAGTTCTCCGCACTGAAGAAACTTCTTGGATGAGAAGAGAAACATTTTCAAGAAAAAACAAAAGTAAGTCCAGTTGCCTTTTCAAAAAGGACAACCATGGACTTCCGGTGGATTTTGCGCGCGCGATGGCGGCTACTTTGTAGCCGTCTCTCCTGGGTAAGTGTAAGAACCGCTATGAACAGCAGACACCAGCTGTTCAGCGGTTCAAAATCCCCCTCCCGGGCAAAGGGGGGGGGTAGAGAGTGTCTGAATAGTGGTAGAGCCTCTTTTGCACCCCCCAAGTTTTTTTGGGGGGGTGAAAGGAGTGCTCCCACGGAGTTCAGACTTGTCTCCGCTTCCCAGCTGTTTTTGTCCTCAGGGACAAAACGAGCCGCTGCAAACACCTCCGTGCTTAAAGAGAACTGGTGAGTTTTTTTTTATAAACGGACAGAGCTGAGTAGAGGATTTAGTTTTTGCTTTCTTTGATTTATTTGGATTTTAAGTTTTAAGACTTGCTTCTATTTTTATTCTCTCTTTTTATTTTTTTTTTCTTTGTTGAAAGGGAAAGTAAAATGGCGATCGGCAAATCTCTCGGTGTTTTTTTTTTTTTTTTTGAAGTTAGAATGCTGACCGGCAGGCTTTTTGGTGTTTCTTTTTCTTTCCTTTCCCTTTCCCTTTTTAT